ATTTTCGGTCCTTATGAATGTGTTCGCAAGGAATTAAATTATAATTCCTTGAAGGATCCTCAAAAAGCAACTATTTAGGACCCCCTTGGATTAAAGATCTTCCAAGACAACGGGTTCGAAAGTTCAGTTAAACATATGTCTTTTTTAAACAGAATATTAATGGACCTGGCACAATGAAGTCTTGTCCAAAATATGATTATAATACGACACTAACGGAGCAGGATTTGCTTACCCTTCCTGAAAACCATAAATCATCACGGTTTTTTACAGGGTTCTTGTTGCTCAGATTTTATTTTTCAATGTTGTGTTTTGTAGACTGTTGTGTGTCTTGTTGTTTTTCATTTAGCTGTGGCTTTGTTGGTTTGTTTCGACCTTTTTTTAGTGTGATTGCCCCTTTGGTATCTTTCGCCTCTCTCTTATATATGATATCACAATAATTATATATATGTAAGCGTTCATTTATATGGATACAATGTTGAATTAAAATAGACGTAATAATTAGATGAGTGAAAAAAAGAAAATGAAGAAATAGAAAAAAGGGGGCATAAACAGGAGAAGTAGAAGGCAAGATATAAGGATATATGTACGTGTGAGGAGTTGGCATTCTTAGTGTTTTACACAACAAGGAATATTTTAGATCGTGTTATATAGACAAACGCTTATTCATTCTGGTTGTAAGTTAGTCTGTCATCCTCAAACGTGTTAGCAATGGTGTACCTTCTCCAATTTGTAGAATGCATGGGATATTCAAAGATTTAGACAAACATGTTCAAATCTTTATAATAGTTTAGAAATTGATCAAATCAAATAATCCATGTGTGATGGTTTCGTTATTGAAATTCTAAATATGTTTAACCGCGCTAAATATTATATATGAAAATCATACAAATAAGTCAGGAACGGGGGTTCAACCTGTAATTTAGTAGTTGTTGTTTGTTTCTGTATATCATATTTGTTTGTCGTATACAGTTTTGTAAATCAATCAAGCCGTTGGTTTTTCTCGTTTGAATTGTTTTACCATTATGGTAAATGGTGTCGGCGTTTGCTAAATGTGGAAGTGCATACATTTACGTCATTTTATAGCTTATACGCATAGTTTCTTCTTTCCGCTAGTGATATATATAGTCACCATTTGCACTGATCTACGAACGGCCGTCTGTCCGTCGCTCCAAAATATTTTGCAACATTTTAGTTTAAAAAATTTCTTTTAAGTCTGGTAATAATTTCGTCATATTTCCAACAACTTTGTTTTTTTTTTAAACATTACAAACATTACAAATATAACAAACAATGCTTTAACTTTTGGAACACTATCGCAAAGTTTAAGGAATACATGTGTAGCTATTTATTGAGATAAACTGTATTAATCTTTAAATTTCGGAATTGTCTAGCAACTATTTCGAAATGGCGTACCGTTAAGACGTTCGAGCTAGGCAATTCAAGTAATAAGCAAACTTTGGTTAACACAACAGCATTGTCAGCCAAGTAATTAATTGTTGTTTGACAAACTTGAAAAGAGGGGGGGGGGAGTAATTAAAAGGCTACTTAGCATTTTCTTAATTTTTATAACGAAATAGATGTGCACAATATTTTAGATACAGATAGTGCATTTCTAAATATATATAAATTTCTCCTCACTGAAATGCGATACTTTTAATACTAATCCGTAAATGTGATTAAGTTTTCGGTATATTTCTTATCAATAGAGTATGCATGTACAAACCAAAGAAAGATGACTGTATCCCGGGTTATTACTCCTGAAAAAGAAAGATAAATAAAATCAAATCTGGAACTAGTCTCGGTTACCCAGACGGTTGAATTTTACAAATCAATATGTGATGATCTGTGATACAAGTGGAAAATATCAATGAATTAAAAAAAAACATTATAATCAAACATAACTCTGTTAAAAAATTGTGTATTTACAAGAAGTAGTTTTTAAGTAAACAAGTTAGTTAAGTTGTTTAAATGAGTTAGTTTAGTCGTTAAACAAGTTAGCTAAGTTGTTAGCTAAGTCGTTATAACAAGTAAGCTAAGTCGTTATAACAAGTAAGCTTAGTCGTTATAACGACTTAAAAATAAAACTCCAATCAAATAAAAACCAAAAACTGCTAATTTTCCTTAAAATTACAAATTCAGGGGCAGCAATCCAAAAACGCGTTGTCTGATGTGTCTGAAAAATTTCGGGCAGATAGATCTTGACCTGTGAAACATTTTTACCCCTTGTCCGATTGGCTCTAAATGCTTTAGTTTCAGAGATATAAGCCAAAATCTACATTTTACCCCAATGTTCTATTTCTAGACATGGTGGCCATCTTGATTATTGGGCGGGGTCATCGGATACTTTTTTGAAACTAGATACCCTAAGGATGATTTTGGCCATATTTGCTTTCATTTTGACAGTAGTTTCAGAGGAGAAGATTTTTGTAAAAGTTAACGACGACGACGGATGCCAAGTGATGTGAAAAGCTCACTTAGCCATCTGGGCCAGGTGAGCTAAAAAAGCAAAACGGACAAAAAGCAACGGACAAAAAGCAAAAGTGTCGGACAAAAAGCAAAATTATCGGAAAAAAAGCAAAACGAACAAAAAGCAACGGACAAAAAACAAAATTGTCGGACAAAAAGCAAAATTATCGGACAAAAAGCAAAACGGACAAAAAGCAACTGACAAAATGCAAAAGTGTCGGACAAAAAGCAAAATTATCGGACAAAAAGCAAAAGCGGACAAAAAGCAAATTGCGGGCGAAAAGCACCGTATCATAAAGTACCAAGTGTTTAAAAAAAAAGGCAAAGTCAAACCTACAATGCTCTCGACTCTGGTCTCTCGTTTTATCGTTTAAAATATGTTGACCAGGTTATGTTTGTTTTGGTTAACGTAAAATTTGGTCACCGATTCTTGGCATTTACCCTACACCTCCTCACACACACAAAGTAATTTGTCTACAAGCGACAACTTGTCATTGGAAACTTCAAACATGCATGACAATGAACAAAGGTGCTAATTTGATGCATAACTGGATACAAATGATATATGCAGTTTTAAGCTATTTTGTTCAAATCTGTCCTTGTTATAGTTTCACTTTGAATATGAAACTCGTTTATATAACATATACCATACATCAAATATTAGAAATATTAAAATTCATATATATATACAACCAGTTACACATGTAGGTAAAGATAATTCATAACATGCATCTTTTACGAAATATGTGCAACAATTATTCAAGAAGCACGTTTCTTATTAAAAGAATATAAATAATACTTTTTACAATTATTTTTTTTCGAATTTTGATTGTGACAAGTATTGAATTTCGGAAACGAATTTCTATATTTAGATTAATTAATGTTTTCCTAAAAAAATATTTTGTCTGACATAAAAAAATCAATTGTTGAGTACACGCTTCAAGCTTGGTTAGACTCAACATAGCAGACACTTCCACGTTAATTCTCTACCAGCCAGGTCAAGCTTGTTTTAAATCAAAATATGTACATGTATTGATTTCAAATTATTATTTGATGTTATTGTACCTATTAGAAACATAATTTGAAAATTTCTTAATTTGTTAAAGAAGAAAAGTTCACAAAAGAGAGGCGAAAGATACCAGTTTCTGCTTCACATGTGGCAACCGTCGTGTTACTCATGTTAGTACAAACCCGGTAATAAGTCTAACTAAACCACTTTTGTGCGCGTCACATTGAGTATTTTAAAAATTGATCCAGACCTTTTGAGTATTTTAACACCGTGTCTATTGCTAAACCGTTAGTTTATTTTCGTCTACTCAAAGGGTAAATTGGGGTATAGAAATACGACCATCCCTTGGTCTGCTTCCGACCGCTAGTACTTTCCTCGCCGAAGTGGGAAAATAAAATTAGTTTCCCAAAGGAAAGATTAAAATTACTATAGAAATAAAAGTTCACGCCGTGAGATTTGAGTAGGTTCCCATTGTGAAAAGTAATCAAATGTATATATAAGGCTTCAAATAAAATCTGAATTGACAATTCCTAATTTAGTGGTACTTACCTTTCAAATATAAACATAGACATATCTCGTATTGTCAAACCAATTTAGTAAAGAATCTAGAGGAGGTTTCTTTATATTTCATTTTCGTCCATTTACATTTTATATATAATACAAGTGAAGTTCTTGAATTTCTCTTTACAAAACTAGGCAAATAATTGCATGTTTTTTTAAACCTCAAGGATGCAATATACGGATGTAAGCAGCAGAAATCAGCTACTCATAAACGGTTTTGTTAATATACCAGCGAAAGGATACCTCAATCATTTTTTTACTGCAGCTAGAACACTTCCTGTTGTCTTTATCTACCACATAAAGTAACAAAGTGATATTTCGTGCAATGTCGATTTCTTCACAATTTGAGATTTGTTTAGGGATGGAAATACGTTTTATTTTTGTGTTTACATTTTCATAACTGTAAGTGTAGCTATTTTCAGCTGCAGTATATAAACAATATTAGGTCAATGTCAGAAAAATGTCAGAAAAATGTTAACTATTATTCGGCACAAAATAATTGAAGGGCTCGGCAAACTTCGCCCTTCCCAGTTTCTAAGTCTCATACAAAAAAGTTGATATTTTTCAGACATTCACCTAATATTGTATATTTTCATACATTGATGGAACTCTCAGACTGGTTTTATATCATAATAACAACAAGGAAACAAAATATGAATACCAAATTAAAATAGATTCTGTTAAAATATGCTCTCTCTCTCTCTCTCTCTCTCTCTCTCTCTCTCTCTCTGAATTCATTTTTTTAAGTAGATATAAAGAATATGCACACTTTTTTCCGTGAACATACACATAACATTTCGGAACAAGACTGTAAGGGTATAATGCTTTCAGTAATATACAGAAATATCGTACTCTCTGAAAGTATGACTTGGCAAATAACGTATTGTTTTTCATCTTATTGTTCTATATAATAAACAACCCAGTCTTTGAAAAGTGTTCAAAAACCAAAGATAATCTATTTCAGGAGAAAAAGATAGTCATGGACTTAATTTTGTATTTCCGGTCTGGCAACATGATGGTGACACAAAGTTTCAAGTTGATGTATTTGGAGAGGAAACAGATGTTAATGGCGAAATAGTTAAATATTCGAATGGCATATTTTATAAGAACGTAACATTAGAAGGCGTATATGGATCGGATACCGTGGAAGATCAATCTGTTATGCAGGTGATTCGTATAAAATCTTATTCTGAGGTATCAGCTACGTTGATCATGTGGAAAACAGGTGTAAAAGCCATATCAACATTGTTGTATCCAGTTGATATGTGGGGACTTGAGTATCATGCTGCCAGTTATTGTCCTATGAATTGCACTTCCTACTGTTTTATAACTTCAGCATACAATAACACAAACGTGAAAATTGTGTTTAAGTCAATTAATTTTAATGTTACTATTACAAAGCTAGATCATTCGTTTACTGCAACAAATACATTATCTATTAATCTAGAAATTAAAGAATATACTTATGCTAAAATTGAATCTGTTAAGGATTTGACAGGTACCTATATAAAGGCAGATAATCCTATTTCTGTCATATGTGGATCAACGTTTGAAAACAGCGAAGTTGCAGAGCAGATATTTCCTGTTCAATATTACGAAAACGGACTGTTTACAAACGTTTTTCAGTTATATACTGATACGATATACAAGTACATAGTTCGAATTATGGGATCAGAGCACTTTACCCTATGTGAAGTTCGTTTAAAAGGAACAGAGAACTTTATTCATTTATTTTTCCTAAAAGCTGCAGGTGACTTTTATGAATTAAACAAAGATAGCTACGAAAACGTTGAATCCATTTCTTGTAATCTACCTGTTTTTGTATGGAGTGTCATTTTTGAAGGTGATGACAAGGGTATGATGATTATCATTCCATCCACTGAGCTAACAGCAGACATGTACAAATGGAATGTCAGTATTAATGACGATGCTATTGGAACTAGTAATGGAATGAAATTTAGTGAACGAGAAGTACGTTTTTCCATTAAAAAAACTTGAAAGATGCCCTTTTCCTTCCAAAATTAAATCATTCACTATCAAACCATATACTTTTTTATGATATTTTTTCTTTATGAATTTTCCGTTTTGCTGATAAGATAATTGTTACTTGTTTTAGATTGAGAATATATTTTTTACAGTTATGAATTATGATAAAAAAAAAATATGATATATCATAAAATATTTTCTTTAATTTCAATTATATAGAAAATAAAACGGTTGAATTAATTTAGAGTTTTGTAATTACCTTTTTTTTTACTAACATTTGAAATAACATTTATCTATTTATTGATTTATTTATTATCAATATGAATTAGGTCTGCACTTTACATAATTTGGAGGACCCTGATTGTGATGGTCTGACCAAAGAAGAGATTTGTACAGTTAAAGGTTATAACTTTAGTAAGTAAACTTAAAAAATATGATGAAGTACACTCTATTTATTATATTGGTACCTAAAATGTATTTTGGTTAATGTACCATTCTTATTCCTGTGTAATGTAACTGCATGATTTGAACACACAACAGTATGCAATGCTTCTACGTTCCTTTCTTTGTATTACTATTTTCTTGGGCATGATAATCTTTAAAATGGTAAAGAATGCGAATCCAAGCACACAATTTTGTATTCAAATAAATATATGTCGATAAACTACCATTCAAGACTTAACATCAAGAAACCGAGGAAAACAGTAGGAATTGAACGCCAGTTACATGCATTAGTTTCCACGGCAGTGAAAATGTGTAAGCAAGTTATATCAAAACGACGAGACTAAAGCCAGCCCCCACTATCCACTTGCGTAACAAGTCTTGACTATAAGCTAGCTATATAATAATGGAACTTAATTAAAGCAATAAATTCATTGTCAATTACAATTTATGGGTATGAAATAATGCCATCAACTGATGTTTGTTGATACGAATGACAAGAGATGTTTGGACTTACCTTACAAAAAAAAATCGCAAAAAGACATCTACAGGGCCACATACAGTCTAATTTAATTGGCGAGCGTCATGGCAACCAAAAAGTTTATACAAGTATGAACCCGTTTCATGATGATTGACCAATGGTTTACTGGGGTATATAAAAATGCTTCTCCGTGGACTTCTCACATCCTTCAATATAACCCATGTTAAAAACGTTTGGATGTGCAGGGTGTATAAATTCGCAGCCCCATCGATATCCGGTCTGAATGGGGACGTTAAATCTGATTCTTTTTGTAGGGAGGGTGACATGTTCTCTGAAGGTTACGGAAACCTTTGCAACAACTCTCTCAGTCTGAGGGATCCGTAGGTTGCCTGTTGCAATGCAAATTTTTCCGCCCGTAGCAAACACTTCCTCATATTCCAGTGGCTGTCGAAATTTCTCGCCCTTCAACTAGGGGCAGTCACCTTCCTATTAGAAATTTCGTTATTTTTTTCTCGTCCTGAATTTTTTTTTCCAACTGGACGTAAAGCCCCCGTCACACTAGATCACGATCGCAACACGCTCACCGCGATCTAAAATAAATTCAGATCGTGGTGAGGTCGCGGTATGAGCGGCATGAAAATGAAAATTTTCTTTGTTTTCACGATGCTACCACGTCCTCATTACGCTTCTACAACGATCCCGCTACGATTATACCACGTTCTCACCACGCTTATTCTGCGACCTCACTACGATTATCCCGATCTTACTACGCTCATCACGTTCTCACTAGACCATACTACGTTTTATCCGATTGCAACACGATCTTACTACTGCGATTATAGCACGCTCTTTTGTAGACGAAACGCGCGTCTGGCGCATATACAAAATTTCAATCCTGGTATCTATGATGAGTTTATTTACAACCACTGGGTCGATGCCACTGCTGGTGGAGTTTTTATTCCCCGAAGGTATCACCAGCCCAGTAGTCAGCACTTCTGTGTTGACATGAAATATCATTGATATGGCCATAATTATAAATTAACTGTTTACAAAACTTTACATTTTTGAAATACTAAGGCTTTTCTACCTCAGGAATAGATTACCTAAGCTGTAATTTTTGATCCTCAATACTCTTCAACTTTGTACTTTATTTGGCCTTTTTAACTTTTTTTGATTCGAGCGTCACTGATGAGTCTTTTGTAGACGAAACGCGCATCTGGCGCAAATACAAAATTTCAATCCTGGTATCTATGATGAGTTTATTTACCACGATCATACTACGATCATACCACGTTCATACCGCGATCTTACTACGCTTTCAGCAATAACGTCAACATCGTGTTCCATATAAATACTGTTCCAACATCAATCCATAAAAACTTGTAGTCAGCATCAACCAAGGCAAGGAGTACCAGTGAGAAAAACCTTTGTAATTGTGGTAAAGGGATCCAGTTTTAGGTGGGCATCTAATAGCAACATGTTTGCCATCTAATGCACCACACGCATGTAGAACGTTCCATCTCTTCTGAAATTCGTCTGCAATAGCACTCTAATCATTTAGGTCAGTTGGACATGAAATCACCTCATCTTTATATTCTTCAACTATTGCTCGGCAAACCGCGGGTAAAAATGTGCTTATAGTATTCCGAGCAACTCTAAAGTCATACTTCAATGTCTAATACTTGTCACCAGTAGCTAAATGTCTTAAAGTGATGGCAAGTTAAAGACCAGGTTCTTGGACCAACTCTGTTAAGAAGTTCATCGAACATCTCTGGTGGCATTCTCAAAAAATTAAAGAAGGAAGGTTCATTCTCGATTCGTAACTCGTTCATCAACTGATCATAATGACCAAACTGGAGTCTCCTTTCGGTTGATAACCAAGGACGAACCCAACAGGACCTACGCCGTCTAAAATTTCCTTATTCTTCTTCTTCGCTCTCTCAATAACAATATCATGACCCGGTCGTTAAAGCTAGGTTCACACTGCCAATCAGATCAACTCGATCAAGCCCGATAAAGACAGATTAACCGATCGGGAGACTGGTCTGACTCGTTTGACAAGAATGTTCGGGGTGGTCTACCTTGCTCGTCATCGCTCTGACTTTCTACCCGTTTTTTTACATGTCAAAAAAGTTCGAGTAGAGATCAAGAAGCCAATCACTCGAGAAGAGATCGGGAATTCGTCGAGTAGCGGTCGAATTGATCGGGAAAATATCGTGTAGAGGTCGAGTTTGGTCGGAATACAAATATTTAACCGATCAGTACTCGATCATCTCGACCTTTTCTCGACTTATATCCGATTGCTTCCTGACCAACGCCATCATGTTTCATCTGTTGTTCAGATTAACTCGACCAATGCCCGATCACTTTCCGATCGCGTCCCGATCACTGCTACTACTATTGTTTTTTATCCCAGACTAACTCGACCAATACCCGATCTCTACTCGACCAAATTCGACCACTTTTCGATCTCTACTTGGTCATACACGAGATCACGTGACTGCTTCAAGATTCTATAAAAGGGTGTGCAGATCTGATAAACTCTCATAACTTGCTGGTGCTCCGGAAGGGTAAGCAGATCCTGTACTACACGTTGTCCCGTCATATTGCTTAACAAAGGTACCAATCCGGTGACAATTCTCATTTGGTGGTGTCATTTTCAATAAAAGAGGATTAAATTTTATAAAAAAGAAAATACAATCGGTTCAAATTATTTTTATTATCATTATTATTATTATTATTTTAAGTATTTCCTTAACTATAAGGATCTCCTAATGAACGTGCAATAAAAAAAAAACTACATTTTTTTAAACGCAGAAAAAAAAAAACAAAACATATACCAAAGCTAAAGTTAAACTTATTATAAAACAAAACAAAACCTAAATACCTTCATTTTAAAACAATCTAGGCAATTTTAAAACACATGAGAACAAGATGTCATACTAAAATATCTACATCGGCGGTTTCATGGTGAAACTACAAGTAACTGTATAATTACACTGCTGAACTAAATAAATACTATATTGCCACTCAACTGATTCAGAACCTGCTGGTGAATTGAAATAGTGCTTAAAAGATAGGCGAAAGATACCAATCTCATTGTCGAAATAAACTGACAACGCCATGGCTAAAAAAGAAACAGACAAACAGCAGTACACAACATAGAAAACTAAACATGCTAAAGACTGAACAACACGAACCCCACCAAAAACTTGGGATGAAACTTAAGATAGTATCTTAGACGGACCCCAGTGGATGTCACAGCATTCCTTCCACGGATATGATCAATATCTACCATCTGCCTTCCCTGACGCCATTCACCAGATTGTAGTTGATTGTGAATGATAGAATCAATGGTCTCTGCATTGATTGAATGGTAACCAAAATAAATGGAGAATGTGTCCATGGGACACAGATGATGCCTCGCTTGCACATAACGTTATAAAGGGACATAACTCAAGAACGATAAAAGTGACGCAACCCAAAGTCTAACTTGATCTGAGTTTTCTTGTGATAAGCATTGTGTATAAGTTTCATACCATTTGGTTGAGGCAAACTTAAAATAGAGAACGGAAACGGAAAATTCAGCAATTTTTCCATTTGTATAGGTACAAATCTAGAACGGTAAAAGTGACGCCACCCAAATTCAAACTTGATCTGTGCTTTGTAGTAAAAAGCATTGTGTATAAGTTTCATAACATTTGGTTGAGGTAAACTAAAGTTAGAGAACGGAAACCAATTTCGAGACGTACGTACGGACGTACAGACGGACAAAGGTAACACTTCATGTCTCCTCCGCTGCGGCGGGGGCAAAAACATCAGACGTTTTCATACTGAAATTAAACACCCAACCAATTGCCGTCTTACCCTACGACCCCTATACGATCAGGTCGATCTGGTTTGGTCGAGATCGGGATGAGATCGAGTATAGTTGATTTAGTCTAGCCCCACAAAACACAAAAACGTTCAAGGAACATTAAAGTGTGGACTACCAGTAACGTTATAAGAACGTTATGATATAACGTTATGAAAAACAATCTGGAACCTTAATAGAACCTTGTGTAACCAATCTGGAACCTTGATAGAACCTTGTGTAACCAATCTGGAACCTTAATAGAACCTTGTGTAACCAACCTGGAACCTTTATAGAACCTTGTGTAACCAATCTGGAACCTTAATAGAACCTTGTGTTACCAATCTAGAACCCAAATTTAACCTAATCCCAGACAACATGTGAACGTTGGCACAACAATGGCCCAACGTATCTACATTCATTGGCCCAACGTTGTTTTTAGACGTTGGCCCAATGTATAAGTGCAAAGTGGCCCTATGTTGGCCCAGCGTGATGGCTACGTTGGTTCAATTTGTAAACTTTTCGATCCATATGAAGGATGCTAAAATCCCTTCCAAGCAACAACTGAAATAATTCCAGGTTTTTACATCAGTTCAAAATTGCGAAAGTATTAGTTTTATAAAATGTTACAATTATTGCGTTTTAATGATCCACTGTTGTTATACCATTTTGTTCCTTACATACTACCCTGACAATTTGGTATTTTGCCACTTTCTCTCCATCTTCCTGAACATGCATGAAAAATTTGCCACTGGACGTTTAAGCAACCAACTATCAATCAATCTTTCTCTCCAGGAATTGTACATTAGAATTTTACCCATATTTGAATGAATTCAATCAACACATCCATGTTACCTATTTTTCTTAAATAATGAACACAAAGGTATGAATATGTATAATTTATTTTAGCTAGACAACCAGCAAAGTGTTAAAAGTTTAATTTTAAGCATCTACACCTTGCTAAATCAGATCTAGAATGAAAATTATAAAGTCTATTTATGATAATTCATAATTGTATATGTAATTCACTTCATACATTTATTTTCCTAGTTCTGTATTCTAACATGGTTTTTATTCACAAGAGTGTTCCTTTTGCTTTCTGTTACACTTTCTTTTGTCACTATTTCTGACTCCGTCTTATGTCTAATTCTTATCCAGTATAGCAAATCTTCATAAAAATTATTTCACTGCCCCTGTAATAAAGTAATGAATAAATGAGTACCCAATGTATACTTCTTATGAATATACTAAATCCTAAAAAAAATAAGCAAAAAGACAAAAAAATACATTCTTTCCGGTGTCCTGGCACAACAAAAATATGATAAATAGGTAGAGAAAAGACTCTTTTTGCATATTACCTAGACTATACAAGGCACAGCAATATGCATAAGGCATGCTTTACCATAATGGTTAGACTTCACCGTGCTAGCTAAGTTAAGCAGGAAAATTGAGGGTAGATATGGATACAGGAAACAGAACCATGTCAAAAAAAAACATTCTAACTAAATAGATAATTCTAGTAAAAAAAAAATACGAAGTCAAATCTATATACACCAGCATTAACATGCTTAACGGTAATATTAAACATTTTATGCATATGTATCTGCGAATTTCGAATCCGATGTGGCATAAAGGATGGCTATTATGTTACTTACTTAAAGTAATTCATTCTGCATTTTGTCCCATCTCCATTTCCATATATTTTCTAGCCAGAATATTGTCTATGATTCCTACCATTCCTTTTGCACTCTGATTTATTTTGCCTTCTGTAGTACTCAAATACCTGACCTATAAATTTATATTAGAATGTAAAATTATATATTAAGAAGAATATATACTTCAAGTAATACATACACGAAACTATCTGCCAATTTGTATAGCCTTTTTTGTTTAGAAATATCCTAAAGTGTGATATATTTTTTTTTTTTACATTTCCCCCCCCCCCCTTTTTTTTTTACATTTCCCCTTTTTTTTTGACATTTTCACCTTTTCTTTATATTTCAAGGAAACATTTTTAAATGGCTTTCTTCTTAAGATTTCCATGTCGTTTGTTATAATAAATAAGTTGATTTAAATATAATTATCACACATACATGCCGTTTCATTATGTTTTATATATAACTTTTGATGGAGTCCACTTTTTCATGATTTCCTAATGTTTAATTATAACACGGCATACATATAATTTAAAGAAGTAGCGTCAGCTTTTTGTGATATTTACTCCTAGGACAAAAAAAAAACAAAATTCAGTCGAGTCCGTATATATAAAAATTACAAGTTCTTGCACTGAATTTAAAAAGAATAAGAAATTATTACACTATTTGATATCTAAAACCTCAGTCTAAAACACTGTTACACATGTACATGTGTATATGATCATGTTTCACAAATATATCGTATACATGTTTGGCGACGAAGAAATGAACAAACAAATTAAACTAACGAATTCTTTTATATTTGTATGAAGTAGAAATCATTAAACAACATTTCTGAAACAGTACGTAATAAGGTACATCCTAAAACAGACTTTTCCATTGATAATGGTTATAAATGCAATCTTCATATTTAACAAAGATTTCAGAAATAAAATAATAAAATATTGGTAATATACAATTTGTTCAATGATACTAATGTTCAGTGGCAATTTTCATGTTTATTTAGGATTAAAAATGATCTAAACAAAATCTGTTTCACCCGAAACGTGAGATCAATGCTATAAAATGATAGAAATTATATGTTTTATTTGTAAACAACATCCCGTAGATTAAAAAAAAACATATTGTATTTGTCATTTTTAATCATATATATATATATATATATATATATATAGATATACATATATATCAGAATGTTTAAAGTAATAACTTACATGTTTCTTTCTCTTTAGATGATGTGATTTCCTCTTATTGTTTTCTTTGTTATCACTGCTTTCTTACAAATACACGACAGGAAATAGCCTCAAAAGTGACCATGCATCCCATTACATTTAGATTTCCTATAACCTTATAATTACCATAGCAACTATCTTTGGAATTTGTCTAACATCTGGTCAACCTTATCAGAATATTCTTGATTAACAGAATGCTAATTTTGTTTCACAAATTAAAGTTGAATGAAAAAAGTTATAATAAATAATGATAATAATAAATGTATGTTTAAGGAATAAAACTTTTTTTTTCATTACAGTATTGATATTCCATTATATATTTTAAATAAAATAAAGGTTTGATTAATATGCATGATGGCAAAAATCTTACTAAATTGCATTTTTTGCTATTAATTTAATTTTTTTTTTTTTGAAAGATTAAATTTTCTACAAAATGAGGAACATTGTTCGAACGTTTTAAGCCTGTTAGTCAAGTAACGTTAAAAATAACTAATATTATTACATTGGTTGCAATGAATTACATTGATTTACCAGTGAAATAAAAATCGATAATTTCACATGTGAAATAAACGTGGTTATTTCACTCCTCTGACGTCATACAACAATAGGCGTTGTCAAGACGTCGATAACGTCGGATCAAAACAAATCGTGAATGCGTAGAAAAAGATATAGTTCCTTACATTTTCTACTTTAATTTCATAAAAAAAAGCCATTTGCCAATGTAATAAAAAGAATAACTAATCAAAGAATTCAAATATCGAAAAATATTCAACTCGTGACCGAACAACACTGATAGTTAACTCATGCGCTACGCGCATTCGTGAATTAATGTGTTGTTCGGTCACTCGTTGAATATTTTTCTCTATTTGAATTCTTCGATTAGTTATTCTATAATTCAACGTTTCTACAACGTATTATTTGTACCATAACCAAAATGAAACTTCCACACAACGTTAACAAAAAACGTTCCTAGAACGTTGAATTGTAACGTTTCATTTTAACGTACTCACAACGTTCATGTAACGTTAAGGTCCGAAATAACCTTACAGGAACCAATCCACAACGTTCATTAGTGGGGCTAGTCGAGTAAAGATCGTGTAGAGATCGTGATTTGGTCGGGATCATCGAATAGATATTCAATTAGTGGTCGGGTTTCAGTCGTGAAGAAGTCGTTAAGGAGTCGTAAATGGTCGAGTTGGAGTCGTAAATGGTCGAGTTGGAGTCGTGTTCAAAGTTGGTCCACGCTCATCACGATCATGAAGACGTCACCACGACCGTACCACGACCTTACTGCGATCTACACGATCGCACTACGATCGTCAAAATTTGCATTTTTTTCAGAGATCGTAGTGCGATCGTGGCCTAGTGTGACGGTGGTACTAAGAAAGTTATAGTCAACAAATCGATGCTTTTATTCATGTAATAACCACCACTGCTACAATGTAATGAGTAGTTTGTTACATAAAGTCTTTTTGGGTGCATTTCTGAAAGCTTTTGTATACAATTAATCCAAAATGTACCGTTGACTTTTTGTCCATTTTATCACTTTAAGCTTCCAACTCTCATTGGAATAATAGCATTAAATAGTCTTATCTTCACATTTCTGTAAAGATATAGTTCATGCACTTAATATTTGTACGCGTTTGCATTGTTCAAGTTCTGTTTTTTGTTTTTTATTGTATTTTTCACTGAATGTTGCAGTTCCTGATAAACATCTTCTTCAAAATAACATTTTCCTACCTGACTATGATCTGGATGGTAATTATGATGAAGACTGTGCTTTTACATTACCAGGTATATTTATTCATTAGTTATCATAAAAATTATGATCATTCTTTAGTAATTTCATATATACTCCAGTAAATCAAAATTAATTTAAGTATACAAGTAAGAAGAAATTAAGGAAACAATCAAATGCATAAGTCAATGAAGAACATACAACACTTTGGATTCCAGAAAAATACAAAATAATTAATTAAAAGCAGAAAACACTACTCAGAAAACAAATGATTAAAGAACACAAACCCCTACAAAATCCGGATTGAACTCTGATACTTGAATGTTCAGTAGTTCCAGATTTGTTAGTGGCATCCAGCATGTTGCTTCTGACAAGCAATATACATTTTCTAATATACGAATAACGTCCCTTGTTGGATTAGTTCGTAGAATTAACAACTTCTTCTCCATAAGTTTTATGAAATTTACAACATTCAGTATTTTCTAGTAAATATTATGTATGAGAAGCATAAAAGCCTACGTCACGTGGGTTAAACTGATGTCCATAACTGTAGCTACAGAAATTCCGAGATGGCAGATGGGAAATATTAAAAAACAAATTTCTTATTATATACTCATTGTCGAAGGCTGTACGGTGACCTATAGATTTTTACTTCTACGTCAATTTGGTCTCTTGTGGAGAGTTGTCTCATTGGCAATGATATCACATTTTCTCATTTCTATATTATAATAAATAAAATATCATTCTTAGTTAAGTTTGTGTTTATACGCGTATATCGAGAAAGGGAACAACAATGTATCGTACCTAGTCCAAAAGGTTTCCGTTTATTTGAGAAAATCGTTACAAAATTCGGGATGAAGTCCGTTAAACGTTAAAGCAAAAAGATATTCAATGTTATCTTACCTCCTATACATTTCTAGGAATATGATTGATTAAAAGCAACCGCGTGGTGACCGTGCATATTTCATATTAGGTTAGTAGGAGGGGATTATTTCAATACACAGTTAGTAGTGGTGTTACGTCCCTTTTAAAAACAACATGGTGTTCCGGAAAAATCTGAAAGGTTTCAACAGACGCAGAAATTTATGATGGACGATTGAAATAAATTCATAAAACACATTTCAAGCTAACAAGTTGTTATTGTTGACATTTGTTTTTTGTATAGACAAATGGAAGTAGGTTCTTAATACTAAGTATTGAGGACTTTTAAAATCACTTTTATAGGCCACTAGTTATTAAAGCGAGTTTTTAACGAGTGAATTATTTTCAAAACTGACCTTGTCCTTTAAGTGCAATAACGCTATTGAGGTACGGACCTGCTAGGTCTCACAAGAAGATACAAAAGCCGTTTTACACACAATGAAACATAAGAGAGAGACAATTCCAATTTAGATGAGAAGAAATAATAATCTGCTGAAGTAAAAGGCAAATACATTTTCAGTTGTAGATATTTCCATATTTTGAATTGAATGAAAAGCATTAGGCTGTGTTGGATGTATCAATATGTAACCTCGTCTGGTCTGAATTGGGACGTTAAATCCGATAGATTTTTTTAAAGAATTTACCGAAAATACTTGTACAGAGAAACATATACCCCTGTTAACACAGGGGTCGACTAGGGTATAGAAATATGGTCATCTAGATTTCCTCCAATTGGTTGTGAATCCATGCTACAAAGGATGTTCTTTTGGCTAATACGCGTCCACGTCTAATCAGAATGGGGATGTTTTATTACATTTCTCATGTAGGCAGGATGTCACACTCTCGTCATGCACGTGAAAAAATCCTAGGAACAATTCTGTTGAAGTATTTGCCCTGTTTACCTCGAAGGCATAATTTCTCTCTCTATCTAACAAACCCTCATTTTTAGTGGCATTCTAATTTTCCCGCCCTCGTCCTGGTCGACCCACGTTGAAAACCTATATAAAATGGATTTATAGTGAATTTGTTTTCGGCCTGCATATGCGCACACCGTTTGCTGCTGGAAGTTAAGAAATAGAATCAACATTGTCGATTCCTTTCCAATATTCAGTGATAAAATTATAATTCGGGACATCATAGTATACAGGGTTTGTTTTTCTTCCATTACAACCTACACTGGAATCGACGTAAAAGCAAGAACAACAGACAATTATGCAAAAATGTCTAAAATATTCTGTTAACATGCGAAGGCTTTTCATACAATTAAATAGCAATTCCATTGTACTAACGACTTAATTGACAACATGGCAACATGGTTTCGTATTTAATAAGGTATCAATAATGAGTTTTTATATCCAAGTAAGCGTTTGTTACAGTATTTGAGTACACATATTGTGTATATGTTGTATATCATTTCTTTCTTGTCTACGTGAAATACTTCTCGCGGCCCACAGAATGTCGAGAAGTCCACCTGCTCGGCAACGTATCCAAGTGCCTTTTAGTCCAAGGTCGACGTCATATTGTCGACGTAGACTTAGCTTTAATAAGTAACAAGTAAAATGTGAAACAGAATAGCTGTTGTTTCTTTTGTTAGATTCTGATAATTATAAATCGTCCCCACAGTTTGAAACCCTATTTGTGCTATAGAAATTTTGTGCTATAAAAACTATAATAGCGGCACTGATGAATTGATAATAATAGTGTTTTGTTAATTTTCGGGGATGTCGTTGGTAAAGGTAATCACCAACCCCAATCTACATGTTACAGTTTCAAAACCAAAAGTGCCTTATGGCAGCCAAATGCACTTCAAACCCCAAAAAGACCAACAACAGATAAGCAATATATTTTATGGCCTTCTTTTTCCGAAACACTTATAACGGTAAATTTGAATATTTTATATTAAAATAAGAAGATGTGGTATGATTTTCAATGAGACAACTATCCACAAGAGATTAAATGACATAGAAGTTAACAACTCTAGGTCACTGTACGGACTTCAAAAATGAGCAAAACACATACCGCATAATAAGCTATATAAGACCCCTAAATATTGAATGTAACACAATGCAAACGAGAAAACCAACGGCCTGATTAAGTACAAAACAATACACGAAAAACAAATATGACATACCGCAATAAACCACAACCACTGAATTACAGGCTCTTGATTTGAGACAGGCACATACAGAATGTGGCGGGGTTAAACGTGTTTGAAGGTCTCCCATAACCTCGGACAGTGGTGTAACGGCACAAACCAAGAACAAACTATGCAAAACAATTACGATAGATTTAGTCTGAAATTTTTTTAAATTATCAAAAATGGTTGATGTTGAGTATGTTGAGTATCTATTCTGTAAAACGAGTGTGCCTGTTGTATGTATGGCTACGATTTATATAGTTAGAGCTTATTGTATAGACACCTGAAAACTGAATTTGACCTCTGTATGTTTTTTTTGTTGTTTATGTCGTTAGGTTGCCGCCTCATTGATACCCAACATCATGTTGCATTCTTATTGAAATCGAAAAATAAAGACAAACGCCAAATATAAAGAAATGAATTCTAAAATAGGTGGACATATGAAATTTGACACAATCCTAAACAGAAAATATAGAAAACGTTAACATAAACAACATATAGGTAGACATTAAAATTTTACGTTCATAAATTGCGCAATAGTCTTTTGTATATTACAGATGCTTTTCAATCGTTTATGTTACTGTATGCTTGTTATAAGGCTCGTCCGTAAACTTTTATTAATCATAAAACATTAAGTCAGATCACAAACGCTTATTTTGTTGCCAGTCGATCTTTTGATATTTAGTTGTAGAACAATTTTTTTATATACACAATGGAGAAAACAGAAATAACCCTTGTGTTAAAAAAGAATAATTGTCAAATGTGTGTTCACCCTGTAACCAAATTAAAAAAATATCTTTAAGTCGTCTAATTGAGGGTCTGGATAAGGTTTTTGCCTTCTATTTTCTGTTAACCCAAATCCAGACCCTCATAGAATCTCCTTTATTAAATTTCTACGAAAATGGTTAGGTAAACCTATTACTAGTAAGTGATAAAAACAGATATAGCATGGCATATGCATAAAGGAAGATGTAAGATGTTAATGAGGCAACACCTCAAAGACAAAAAAAATCAAAAGAAATCTATCGGGAAAAATATAGTCTTCAACACATAGACAGGTATTGACAGAAAAGGTGAAGCTCTAAATCGTCCGGAGCTTATAAAACTTGTGAGAAAATTGAATGATATTTGTTAATGGTGGTGCCTACAGTAGTAACCATTTGAATATGTATTTAATGGTAAAATATCAACAGTTTAAAAAATAAAAATAAATGTATGATTTTAGCAAAACTGTTTATTTTAATGTTTTCTAATGCACAATAACGTATATCAGAACAACAGTTAGCTGATATCAAAGAAAACCTCTTACTTTCTATTAATAATATAAAAGTAACAGTAAAAATCTACCGACGATCAAAGGACAATGATGTCAACAACTACAGATCACCGTATGGTCACCGTCAATAATTACAGGTCACCGTATGATCACCGTATTGTCATCATCTACAAATACAGGTCACCGTTTGGTCATCGTCAACAATTACAGGTCATTGTATATATATATATATGATTTCGCCCCCGTCCCATAGGACACAATTAACATAACAAAGGTCCTTATAGATAATTTTCCTCAAAGGAATAATATCATGCATTAATAAAAATGGAAAACTTTGGGTCTGTTGAGTGACGTTTTGAAATTCATATTGGACGCTGACGAAGAACATGTTTAATTTATGGACACTGTGAATTTCAAAGTTTACAAATTAGAAATATACAGTATCAGGTAACGAAGTCTTGAACTAAATTATTTTTTTGAAAAAAATATTAATTAAAAAAACATGATATTTTTCAGAATGTTATAGACCAATAATTGCCAATGGTTCAGCTGAAAGCGATGAGACTTTCGTAACAGCAAAGACCACAGACCTTTCCTGTCATACTTCTTTTTCGCCTGCTACTACTGTTGATGAGATGACATGTTATGCAAATGGAAGTTGGGCTCCTGAGTTTACTTGCCTACGGGGTAAAAATGTCATTTACATTTATTTGACTTTATAAAAAAAATATAAAAAAAAATATATTATCTTATTTTCTCTTAATAGAAAACGAAAATATTACTTTTTAAATTGTATGCGTCTGAAGGACTTTTCTGGATTAACCTTCACCCGGAATCCTCCAAACCAAATATTTGAAACCCAAGGACGTTTAAAAACCAGAACATGTGAAAAGCTATATGACCAACAGGGACCTTAAAATAACAGCAATCACAATCTAAGGTCAACTTTCCCTGAGGGAGTTGGAACCTTCGTTTCTTAATAATTTATAAATTCATAAGAACTTAATAAGAAAAGTATATTATATATCATTCTAATACCAAAGCACTGACTTCTGAGCTGATGATACCCTTTGGGACTAGTAGTCCACCAGCAGCGGTATACACCCATTGCTATAAAGAATGAAAATAACACTTTATATTTTTGATGCGTCTGACGTGTTTTTCCGGATTTACTGTCATCAGGAACGCTCAAATCCAAATATGTAAAAGCCAAGGATGAAGAACAACGAGGATTGAATATATATATAGCAAAAGTAAATAAATACGGTACATGTATATATATATTTATATATAACATATTGTGATCCGTTTATTTGGCAATCGCCAATGGCAGTCAGCAGGGTTTAAGAACATCAGTTGTTCGACCTGTTAGTCAAATGCGTTTTGTTAAAATATACTTTTTCACTTTTTTGGTCTTTTGGAAAATGTTGTTTGTGCTGTATTTAGACCCCTCTATCAAGAAATTTGTTTTGCATGCACACGTATAAAAATTGCGGTTTTTATCCAACGCAATCATAGGTTTGAACGTTGTTTTCAATTTAGACTTGTTTATATATATATATATATAAAACTCGTCTAAACATCAGCCCAACAATGTTAGATCTGTAAATTTGCTTTCGCAAATTTTTTGTTCTTCCCTCGCCGGGATTCGAACTCATGCTACTGAGATATCGTGACACCAAATCGCCTGCACTGTATCCGACGCGCTACTTATTAAATCGCCTAATTGTATTCTAAAATGACTTTGAACCTTAAATGTGCAACAATATCCCTCACTAATGCAACTTTTTTACAAATGAAAAATGTTCACCACATAAAAAAATTATTATTGACAGCAAACAGTCGTATGTTTTTGCTTTTGTTTTAAAAAATAGTTACATTCATTGATTTGCATTCACGAACTTGATAAAAGCCTTTAAGAAGACCCTTGGTATGGAAAAACTGTGTATCTTCGGCCTTGTGAGTATGATAATAATATACAACTGTTCAATTTGAATATCGTAAGTTCAGGTATTAACAGACAAATGACACTCATTTGAAGGAAGACAGTTGGAATAGAAAATTACGCGATAAACACGCAAGCTGCGCATATTGAACTATAAACAGCTTACAACTTACTCTAAACGTTGACATTTGATAACTGTGTTTATTATAAACTTAATACAAGTAAATTGTATGCCTAATACGATCAATGGTAGTCTTTCTGTTTCGGTCATCCGTGATAATATCGATATCAGTCACGGTTTCGAAGGGTTAACTAGTATCAAACCCCTTATCTACATTATGTTATGTCTCGCGAAAAACATATACTTTAGGTATACGATAAAGTGTATATGATATGGCCTATTCAATATCACACACCGTATCAGCCCTCAACTAATATAATTCCACGAGAAGAACTCATGGGAATATATATTACTGTCACGGGTCGATACGGGTGTAATATTGAAAAAGCAGTATAATGATAGTCTATATTTGATATAACACCTCGGGAAACATTAATATATTGTCTGATATTTTCGTATGTTTTCTCTTGCGCTCTGTATGTTTATTGACAGAATATTACATTTTTGCAGTTCATCTGAATTAAACGCAGTTGAAAATAAGCGGTGATATGAAAATACTTAATTATAAAACTTATATATAATTCAACACAAAGGATATCAGTACTGAAATAAACATAGATAGTTTTTGAAATATTTCTAATTATTTCAGACTGTTCTGATCCAAAAGATGATTATGCTAACTCAAGAACTGTCCATAAAACCTCAACGGCCGTAGGTTCTACCGTGATCATGGGTTGTATAGACGGATATTCCATGAAAGGAGAAAACAATATAACATGTCTAGAAAGTTCTACATGGGAGTCAATTAAGTTTGAATGTTTAGAAGGTTAGTTTCATCAAATTAATTTTTCAAAATAGTTTTAAATAATGAGCCTGCGTTAAAAAAAATATAAGCATTGCAGTTATGACATCACAATGAAATCGATTAACAAAATTATTTCAATCAAGAAACAACTCATATCACTCAGAGGAAACGATCACACCACAGTAAGTTTGTAATATTCCCGGGCTTGTGTTTCCTATCATGATTTCCTTGATAGAGGATTGCTGCTCACAAGGAAGCTATTAAACCAAGAGTTCCAAATGGTGAAGTTGAAGTCATCCCTTCGTAAATTTTACGGACGCCATCACGAGTTGGTTGACCGTTATGGAATAACCGTTTCACAGATGATATCGGATATGTTCCTTATGTCGTAACTACAATACCCTTCCCTTTTCACGAATGTGACTTACCGAATTAGACTATTTACCGGATTTGTAATAACATAAGCAACTCGACGGGTGCCACATGTGGAGCAGGATCTGCTTACCCTTCCGGAGCACCTGAGATCACCCCCAGTTTTTGGTGGGATTCGTGTTGCTTAGTCTTTAGTTTGCTATGTTGTGTCATCTGTACTATTATTTGTCTGATTGTCTTTTTATTTTTGGCCATGACGTTGTCAGTTTGTTTTCGATCTATGAGTTTGACTGTCCCTCTGGTATCTTTCGTCCCTCTTTTGTAAAACATTCACAAGAATACATATTATATCTACATGGATATTTCCAATGCCAATATCGTGGTTAAAAGACGAAAATAAACAACAAAACAATAATTTGTCAACAAAACATTAAAAAAATTTGCTCATCAAAACGAGTATTAAGTTTTGTTTGCTGAAATGTTATGAACGACGAAAAAAGGGCAGTCACTTAAAATCATGTTGACATTCCTTAAATTTTCGAAAAAAATGATTGCATCCTTACCAGTCAAAATCCTTGTTTGGGTAGGTTCCTTAATTTTGTAAGCAGCAATCCTCTTTGAAGGAAATTCTGAAAAAACAACATGTTCTTGGATATCTTTTCAAACAGGCCTTGCCCTCATGAACATTAAAAAAAAAAACAATTATCGTATACTGAGACTCTGGAATCAACCAAAAAAAATACTGGATTTTGTGTTTTTTGCACAAATGTTGTACTCCCGAGTTCTGAATGAAGTTTTATGACGGAAAGTCCGGTAGAAGTTAAACCCCATATATATTTATTAGAAATAGCATTTCCTCATTCCTGATAATTCATAATTCATATTAACCTCTGTTATTACGATTCTGTCAAACTATCTTTATTTTATTTGTTCGTTTCAAAACAAAAGTATACTTTGGGAAAAAAAATCTACATGACTGAGTATTTAAGCAATAAATTACTCTAAAACGCAATTTAACCTTGGTTTCAAAGATGTAGTCACAGAACATTGTATGTGTATAGGCAATTTGTATACAATGCCATAATTGTTATGAAATTTAACCCAAACATTTTCTGCACACAAGGAAGCTATTAAACCAAGAGTTCCAAGTGGTGAAGTTGAAATCATCCCTTCGTAAATATCACGGAAGCCATCACACGAGTTCGTTTCACAGATGATAGCGGATATGTTCCTAATGTCGTAACTACATTCCCATCCCCCTTTCCCGAATGTGACCTACCGAATTAGACTTATTAGCGGGTTTGTACTAACATAAGCAACACGACGGGTGCCACATGTGGAGCAGGATCTGCTTACCCTTCCGGAGCACCTGAGATCACCCCCAGTTTTTGGTGGGGTACGTGTTGCTCAGTATTTAGTTTTCTATGTTGTGTTTTGTGTACTATTGTTTGTCTGTTGGTCATTTTCTTATTTAGCCATTGCGTTGTCAGTTTATTTTCGACTTATGAGTTTGAATGTCCCTTTTGTATCTTTTGCCTCTCTTTTGCATTATTAAGAAGTTTATTTCTGAATACGCAATACAAAGAGGCAGTAATAAATGTTTTCCTCTTGATTTCTGCACATGTCGTTAATATTTGTATTGTTCATCAAACAAACAAAATTAAATAAAAACACAAGATAACTCATTCTGATAACTTGTATATCTGATTACACTGTACTTAACTGTAATGGGTAAGTATAGTAAGTTAAAAATGAATGGGAGTGGTATCTTAACCTTGTACCTTTTCAGAGGGGGTCATTTCTATATTATTTCAATTTCATGCCGTTATTCTGTATTCTGTATTTGATTTTTCGCCCATTATTCCTTATTGCTTATATTTGAGCACCACATTATTATTTTCTTTATTTTTTAACCCTTGTCTCTATTTTTGATTAGCCCTGTATTTTCTATTCTGTAAAACCCATCCCTATCGAAAAATATTAAACATATGCAATGCTTTTGAACTATGTCAAAAATATTACAACATCGTATAAAATGTCACAGTAAGCTGCTATAGAAATAAAATCATGATCTCTCAGTTGCTGCGGGCTGGAATATCTGTGAACACTATATCACCTTTCTAGTTTTTAGTTTCAGACTGTGGTGACCCTAGAAATGACTACAACAACTCAACCATACTTGTCAATTCGTCATGGGCTGTTGATAGTACAATTGAAATGAACTGTCAAGAGGGATTCGCATTGGTTGGTGAAAAGACTTTAAAATGTTATGAAAATTCAACATGGACACAGAATGCATTTTCTTGCAAAGAAGGTAACAGTAAACTATTAAAAAAATCTTACTTTAATGTGTTGAGGAAAAAATATTTTAAAAGTTCTTTTGGACTCAAACAAGTCTTACACTATGTTAAGTTCATAAAAACATGTTTTTCCATTTACTGTTTTCATGATGTTGAAAATTAATTAGTACAGGAAAAGAGAAAATTATTTCAAATTAAGGAATATATCTTCGTCATGCAAAGCGCTGATTCCTTATCTGGATTTGGTCTTACTTTAGATCGTTTTTATTTTTTGTTTGATCCGCTCTTCGACGTTTGTATTATGTTTTAGATTTTCGAATATTTTGGACTCGATCATCACTGTAGAGACATTAATTGTCAAAATGCGCACCTGGTGCAGTAAAATTGTACTGTTTATGTCATGTATGTGCATACAATTTGGCCTGATGAATAGGAATATATCGAAACAACTCCGTGTCCTAATCTATTTTTATATATTGCTTACTTATCGCTATTTTGTTGTTTTTTTTTCTTTTGATCTTTTTTGTGATTAATATTTTTTATATCATGCCACTCGCTTGAGATGGAAATTTATCGCTAGAAACTAAGGGCGTACTTGCTGTTGTCAAAGTAAACATCAACGACGTCATAGGCAAAATAGCAACAAACAGATTATCAATGGTCTTTCAAACTCGAAGACGTTTCTCAGCCACATCTCATCTCAGGGCTTTTATCCCTTCGGTACGATTGCAGCTAAGAAACACCCTTTCGTTTGAAAAACCCTCGATAATCTATAAATATTACCTGGTCATCATCATGATCATATCTTAGAGAAATTACCTAATTATGATGGTAAGTAATTTAAGGCAACAGTAATTTTCCGATGTTCAAATCTCGGAAATCGATTAGAAAATACAAATAAAGATAATGAACTGACGTAATCGCATTAAAGCAAAAAGCAAACGCGAGATAGTTGACTTTGAACCATGTCCTATCGTCCATTACTAATGCAAAATATGCCCGATACTTACATAAATTATAAATTATGCAGTTAGTACGTTGCAATATAATAAGCATGGCGACGTACGTGCAATGACTGTAAAATACCCTTTTTATGCCATATTTATAAACTAACAATATGTAAGCAATAAAAAGCAATAACTGCGCAATGAGTCGTCTTGATTTTTTTTCTGGTTTGAAACCATCAGTTGAATACATGAATTAATACAATAAAAGTGTTGAATTCGAGTTTTTGAACTCATTGTTTCTGAGCTCAATCAGCCGAGCATGCCCTCAACTACTTTGTAAAGTCTGTTCCTTTTATAAGTTATAAGTACATTTTGCAAAAAGGTTATTGTTGTGTTCCTCCATATCTATTATGATGTAAGTACAATGTATATGTAATAAATTATAAAACATGCATTTCGTCTTGAATTATCGATTAAAAATAAAATCATGTCATCCGTCGATCATTTTCAATTATTTATGCATTTATTCCATAGTCTTTATTATAATGATTTTTCAAATATTTTACTGCTAATAAGTTAAGAATATATATTAAAACAACATTAAAAACAATTTTCATTCACTTAGGTTGTGATGATCCATCAGCATTTGTCAATAACTCGGCTTTGTATGATCCATCAAAAGCAAGAGAACATGGTTCATCTCACATAATGATCTGCACGAACGGATATTCTGTTAAAGGAAATGCTTTGATGACCTGTTTGAATAATTCAACTTGGACTCCTCCTGAATTTTCATGCGTTGAAGGTAAGAACTCGTGTAGGTAGAATATAATGTATGAAACATATTAACACCTGTAGACATTGATAAATTTAAGACTTGGTAATAAGCCGTTATATTACGAGGATAAGAGTCCACTGGAATAACCAGCTGATTTACTTGCCATGCGCAACGCGATTCGTTATAACAATCAGTTGCCTTTCTGCAACACCAAAGTTCACCTTTAATATTTAAAGGAGTTCGTGTTGGTGTTCCTTAGTTTTCCGGTAGCATGTTGCATTTTTAATGTGTGTGTTGTTTCTGTCGGTAACAGTCTTTCCTCCGAATATCTATCAACAGATTTTTAGCAGTGTAAACACGACGAATGTCGCTTGCACAGAAGGAATTGCTGGCCTTTCCGAAGTATCCGTGTTCATACCCTGTTTTCGTGAAGAACGTAATGCTAAATTTTTAGTTTACAATGTAATATTTGTGGATTGTTGTTTTATTGTTCGTTCTTATTCTTTCGGTCATCATTTTGTCTGTTTTATATCCTCCTTCTGTTTTTGATCCCATTGAATTCTTTCCATTGTTTTTGCCATTTTACTAGGCAAAATGTACTTAAATAGCTCTAAAACATAGCTCTTATTTCTTATTCGAGTTTTATCAGCTCTTGAGGGTTTGTATTAGGTTTTGGCATTTCCAATATTTTACGCTAGCATTAATTGTCGCAAGGCGCATCTGGTGCAATAGATTGGTACTGTTAATGTTGTTGAAAACTGGAAAGTTTTTGGGGTTTTTTTTTTGGGGGGGGGAGCTTTCAAGTTTGAATATTCACATTGTCGGCTGTAATACTACAAGAGGCAAAAGATACCAGAGGGGAAAAGACAAATAGAAAAACAATAGTACACAAAACACAACATAGAAAACTATAGACTGAGCAACACGAACCCCACCAAAAACTGGGTGTGATCTCATGTTCTCCGGAAGGGTAACTCTCAGGAAAAATCTGTATAAACGATTATTAATAATGTTTCATGACATCAGTAATACCCATGGTTTCAAACTAACACATTATGTTTAATTCAAACTGTTCAAGACCCATACTAGGTACGTAGTCACTATAGAAAAAAATCTTCACAAACTAATCCAAAAGTAGACATTTATTGGTTAGTCATACTTAAACCATGCAAAAGTATTCCCATCTTTGCACAAGTAAAAAAATACCATCTCTCTTGCCGAAACCAATTTACAAATTCGATAATTTGCCATGTTATCATCAGATTGTTTCTTTTCTACCACAGGATGTAATGATCCACGGTTGACTACAAAACACTCATACATTGAAGATTATGAAGACGGAACGCCTTTTCTTCCTGATATGACAATAATAATGAAATGTAAAAGACACGCAACAAAGATTGGTATTGGAAAGATGACATGTCTGGGCAATAAACAATGGACACGTAATATATCATGCATAAAAGGTAAAAACATATATCTAGATATCGGTCACAACATTTAATTATTTTTAACGTTTTGCTTTGGAACTGAGTTGAATCTTAGCAATATTACACAAAACGGCGAAAATATGATTTTACCAATGCCGACAATCGCGCTTGTTAAGGACTTTTATTCCAAATGAAAGTAAAATACTTGAATTATTTGCAACTGAGCTTAAAGCCTGCAAAAACCCCTTCTATTTTTAGAACGTTGGAAGGAATATTTATTTAAGCAATGCCTGCTGGATATAATAAAATTGCCGTTATAAGAAAAACTGAATTCTTTTGAAGGGCCTCTTTTTCAATATAATAACACACAGAAATATAAGAAGGCAAATATATTTGAGTATCGTAAGACATTTCTTTTTTCATAAAACATATTTACTTCTGTTTACAAAGATATTGTCAATGTTTCTGTAGATAACTTTCATTTGAAACAAATGTCTCCTTTGAAAAAAGAACCTATAAAAAAATGTTGGATGTAGCGTAATGAACTGAAGTCTTGAGGAAATTTAATAAGGACCGTTTAATATGTAGTCATCCGTGTGCATATTTATACGACTTTAAGCAAACATGGTTGTACGCTAGTACTGAAGGTTCATGGACGCGGGGGAAAATGTTTAAAAAACCATAGTTGATTGTTGACAAGCTGCATAAAAATAATCATAAATGCAATCGAATTAACGCAATGCTATAGCAAACTTTCTAAATGGAAGAAATGTTATTAAGAAACAAGTTAAAAAGTAGACTAGTATTTTCAATAGATTTTTTGTAGATTTTGATCGATGATATATAGTTCTGACATTGAAATGCTTTTCAATACAAAATATGACAGATTAATATATGTTAAAAATGTCCTTCAATTTGAAAATGATAATCTAAATACTTCAAATTTTGATTCCTCCGGGACCATCATCGATCTGGTTACTTACCTTGTCGATTAAACTGCAAATTGTCTTTTACGTTATGTTTAAAATGAGAAACTAATCAACAACTCTCAGAACTAATATAACGCGTAAACGGTCAAGCTGGTGAATATTTCATACGATTTACGTTTTTCGCATTAGGCATTAAGATCATGCTCCCCTTCTGCATTACTATACAGCGTTTAGATATACACTGATGGGTTTCAAAAAATAGTTTAGTTTAAGAGTCAAGTATCCTGAATGCATACAGGTAAACAGATAGAAAACTGATACTATAGATGAGGTTAAACATACGAGGTGGAAAATTAAATGTGTGTGTTTTATGTCGGCAAATACATTTATTGTTTATCCTTATGTATTTTTTTTCTTTAGATTGTCCTGATCCTCGAAAGTTCTTCTCTATTCCCCATGCAACGGTGAGAGGTTTCACAGATGAATCGTCAACAGCCTATGGAGTAACTTATGAGTTTAGATGTAGACTGTTCTACACCTTATATGGAGATGGGCGTATTGAGTGTCTGAAAAACTCCTCATGGTCTTCCGTTAACATTTCATGCAAAAGTACGTATTAATTCGATATGCACTGACTTACAGGGGGTATATGGAAATTATCATAAAAAACGCATTGGTGTATGACCTCTCTGTATATGGTCCATATTAGTAGCATTTTACTATACAATGCGGGATTATTTCTAGCCTATGAAATATCAATATTTTTGTCAGAAGAGGAATAAATAAATATAAAGAGACCTGTGTCATATAACTCCTCAAGTATCTGCATTGCTTTCAAATTTCCGGTTTTGAGCGTTCATGATGAAAGCCAATACAATAAAACACTCTGGAGGTACCAAATTTATAAACTGCTACTTTTATTGTAAATTCACACGGCGGAAAAGGATAAAATTTTCATTTAGTGAGTGCATTCAAAACATTGGATTTGATAAATCTGAAATCTGAAATAAGAATAGCTACTAAATAAATATCAAACAAAATTGAATTAGCACCACAAAAGTAATTACTAGTAAAATGCATACCTGTCAACTTTTCAAAATCTTAATGGGAGTTTTCAGCACAAAAGGACTTAATGCAGCTCTTGGGTTTTTACCATGAACAGGCAAAGGTGGTCATATCTTCATCTGGCACAATCTAGATATTTTTGGTTTTAATGTTCATCGACTTTGTAAATTAATTCGCCTCCATACTGTTTTGAATTGACAACTGATTGTGAGTCTTTTTAGACAAAACGTGCATTAAATTTGATTCCTGGTATCTGTGAGGAGTTTTTACAACCACTGAGTTGATGCCACTGCAGGTGGACGTTTCATCCCCGAGAGTATCACCAACAAAGTAGTCGTCCTTCTGTGTGACATAGAATATCGTTGATACGGGTTTTTCCTGTAACGTTACTGTTAATAACACTAAGGGTTTAGTCTGATTTACACAAATTTAAGGAATGACATTTTGGTTTTAAATGTTTTTCAAGCTTTGAATTTATTTCCATCTGATTAGATTCAAACGTGAGCGATCATTCTTATGTAGACAAATCGACGTTTAACTTATCAAATTTTAAGCTTGGTATCTTGATGAGTTTTTACTGATACCGGGTCAATTCGCTACTGTTGGACGTTTCGTCTCTGATTGTTTCACCAGTCAAATAAACAGTGCTCCTATGCTGACATGAAATATCATTGATATAGTCATTTTCCGTGAATCAAATGTTAATAAAACATTAAAAGCATTCAAATCAATAAGGTTTTACTACTCCAAGTACTGGAGACCTAAGTCAGATTTGGCACAATATTTAGGAATCTTTGGTTTTCAATGCACGTCACTTTCTTCAGGGATTGACCCTCCGACTGTTTTGATTCGAGAACCAATGATGAGTCTTATTTAGATGGTTCAATATACTCAGTTCATTGCAGGTATGCCATAATGGTAGTCTTTTCTTCAATTTCTCATCCCATATAGTAAACTTGGATATGTATGATAACTGGTTTCAAAGTGAGACATTTTCACATAAAAATGATATGGTTTAATTTTCGGGGTACAAAGTGAGATTCATTTTTCCGTCTATTGGCATATCTGAATATAGCCCTTTGAAATAAGGCTTCTCGAAGTTAAAAAAAATCCTTATTTTCACAAAAAGAGTGCGTTAGAAATTCAGTTATTTGCATACAATTAATAACTGCATAGTTGTACACTTTTACTCTATGGTCCTCTGCTCTTCAAATCAGCACGAATAAAGTAAAGCTTATTCACTGGTTTGAAATTTTAACTTGTCAAATATCACTGCACATAGATGTTTTGTTTACATATACTATATTTGAGTTATATATATATATAACTCAAATATATAATATATATACGGATGGAAATTCAAATGAAACACGCTTCTGGCGTACTAATCTATAAGCCTTGTATCTGTACTGATTTAGTGAAATAGTATATATGCCCTGAAATGTCATTTTACGTTCTCCTCAGTTTCGATCTTTTTAGTTTAAACAGTAGGATTCCATGAGTAAAATATCTCATGAGGTGGGTTCCCTATAAATTTGAAAAGTTTGCAGGTCTGAATTTAGGTACCAGGCGATGAATAATTGCTTAGATAAGTCCAGGGGCTTTTTCCACAAGAAATCTTACGACTAAAATTGATGGTAAGCTATACTGAAATGTTCTTGGCTAACGATTAATTTCTATCGTAAGTTTTTTTGTGAAAAGAGATGCAGGATGGTCAATTTTGCCTGAGGAAGTTGAAACTTTAGTTTCTTTATAATTTCAAAATTTAAAAACTGACAATTTAAGAAAGGTTTGTTATAAATCATGTCAGTGCCGAAGTACTGAATACTGAGCTGATAATACCCTCGGAGACTGATAGTCCACCAGCAGTGCTGTTAAACAATTTCTTGTTCGTTGCTTTGCCATGAAATTTATCGTTTACCGAGGTCATGGTAGAAGTTTTGTCTTTACATCCTAGATTCTACAAAAAAGAGACTTCGTATGATTGTCATTGACACAATTATCCATTAAAGACCACAGAACAAAGCTGTGAACAATTTTAGTTTACTATACGGACTTAAACATTGAGCAAACCCATACCGAGCAAAACCTATACTATACTAAGTTATTAATGTCTTGGGGATGAAATTTTAAACATTTGAAAAATTCTATTCAGAATACCAACGACCTTGTTCATACTTCTACAGTAAGAGAAAACATATATGGAAGACAGTAACCAACGAAAACCACTGGTGTATATGATCCTGGCTTGGGACAGGCACAAACTGAATGTGGTCAGGTTAAACATGTTTGCGAGCGCTTAACCCTGTCCATATTCTGTGAAAGTGGTGTATCAACACAACATAAGAGCAAACTAAACAAATTGAATGGAAAGGGTTTGATTCATCAGATCAGTACTTAGCATACAGCTCATTATGTTTCAGCTTGTAAGTGTCCTTGTCGAAAACGTGGTAATCCACGATATGACAATGTAACGAAAGAGACATACAAACAGATTGAAGACGAAACGAAAGCGGAACTGCAGGTGGACAAGAAAGCTACAGCAGTGAGTTTTAGAAGAAAAAAAAGCGCAAGTGACGAGAGACCAGCGGCAAAGAATATTGGCGTTGTTGGTATTGTGATTCTTTCTGTTGTACTGGGAGCACTTGTAATGGCTGATCTTTTATCATTGAAGGCATATATTCAGAATTACTTAAGAAGAGCAAGTGAACGATAGATGGCTAATAATCGTCAAATATGGGAAGATTGGAAGAGAGAAAAAAAAACGAGCAAAGTATATACTAAGTTTAGATATGGCATAACATGAAAGCAATCAGACTTGAATACAGTACTTAGAATATGATTTTTGCTTTAAATTTACTTTTTTTTCTGAAAGATGTGGGTTGTTGGATGTTGCTGTGATCTGTTGTATTGTCCAGTGTTTTTGGTATATCCTGATAGTTTTTTGTTATGTATTAAGACATTTTATATTGTTGCTATTTAAGTACAATTTGCTATATGTACATGTTTGGCAGTGAATTAATGGTATCAGAAAAGACCACAGATGACAAGCAAAAGTAATGGCTATAGCTCACCCTTTCGATCAAGCTAGATAAAAATCTAATTTTACACTACAGTGTAGATACAATTTACTCTGGTCCGAGAAAGGCATGGAATATTTGAATTATTCCCTGTATATTCCTACAACTATGTTGCAAACTAATGTGATCCTAGGATTCGTAAACTAACAAGAAGGTTGTGCTTCGTTAACATTAATTTACTTTTGAAGGAATTATGATCACTTGAAATATTTCAAAATGTCGAGGGGAAAATTAATTTACCCCTGTCCGTCCGTTCGCCCGTCCGTTCGTCCGTCCCTTCATCCGTCTGGATATAGATACATGGTTTGCCGGCTATCTCCTACAGAAAAATCCTCTCTGATTTTTTCAGATATTCTCAAAATGCTAGGTATTTGGACTTAGTCATTTTTTTGTACTAAAAGTCAGAAAGGGGGGACGTTAGATACTCACAAAAACCGGTAGTTAGACTTCATTTCCTTCTCACTTGCTATATAATTGAAAACATTGTTTGTACTACGACAGTTTAATGTCCCTAATGCAATAAATAAGATTTTTTAGTATTGTCAAATATTTAATCAATACCGAGAATTTGAACTTGGTTACCACTGTAAATAAAAAGTTGAACTTGGTGACTACTAAACCTGGAAAGTTGAAACCTTTTTGGCTGGACATTCAGTCCTGCAAGTGCGGACATTCAGAATGAAATTAAGATAGATCATCATACATAGCGTTAAATTTATAATTTCTTATGCTCAGGCTGGGGCATCATTTGTGTCTTACAGACAGCGCAACAATTTCAACATCCCTGTTTGTTAAATCTTAAGTAAGTGGAACTATACTCATGCATATGGCAGAGCAGAGGGGTGCATCGTACATATTTAGTTTGTAATGTGTGATGTGTCACAAGCTATGTAATGATCTGAATGTTTTATGTAACGTTGCAAATTGATGAATTTCTTTGAGCTAGTAGACAAATTCAGGCTTTGTCCTCATTATTTTAGATGAAGTAAAATTGTTCTTATCGTTTGTACGTGTTAAATCGAAAAAAAAATGATAAACGTGATTATTTTAAACCATATTGTGTTATTTGATCTGTGGAATGTATGTTCTTTTGTGAGTCTTTAGGGGTAAATATGCAGAACCTTGAATTTCTCACACTCCCTGCAATTTTGTTTTGATTTTGTTTTTTGTTTGTTTTTTGTTGTTTTTTTTAAGGGGGGAGATATGAATCGGAAAAGAACATAGTTTTGGGCTTTACATTATTAAGATTTGAAATTCGATTAAAATATCTATCAACTGATGGTCCCACAGTAATAACTGTAATAAATATTTGACAATAGCGTACTAAATCTCGAGCGCATTTAGATATCAAGTAGTCAAGTAAAAAGATACTGTTCAATCCTTGCCAGAAAAGATATTCAAACAGGAATCCTATTTTGTAAGTATGTACTTCCCGGCAAAAGTTGTTTGATGGATACCCAATATTGCCAGAATGTTCGTTGGAAATTATTTGGTTTAACAATATTCTGGAAAACTTCCCTATGACGTCATATGACCACAATCCCGTCCTATTATCCTCGATTGTGACATACCTAATGCGACCTATTACCATATTTTAACTTTATCTTTTATCTCCGCCTTGGCATTTTCTCTCTCTTTCTTTAATTACATCAAATTGTGTTATATTTGATTTGGAGTAACCTTTTCAAGTATTAGAAATTGTAAAAATTTTCTTCTTTTATTTTTTTTCTCAGTGAAATGCTTTGCCAATTAAATCATGAAACACATCTCCTTTATTCTAATTTTAAAGATGAAATAGTTATGCCCGCTTATGATAGAACTTGGGCATTAAACTTTTCGGTCCGTGTGTCCATCTAATCTGTCGTCTGTTCAACTGTCTCACATCAGGATGAAGTCTTCCTTTAAGATAGTTTACTTTGAAGATGTGGTCATATTATTTTGAAACTTAGTACACAAGTTCATTATATTTTAAATTATTGTTTTACCAAGATTTGTCGGTTCAATGAACATGGAAAAGTGCTAGTATGAGTGGTGCATGGTGTCCTATGTCCTATTGATTTATGTGTAGCTTTTTTGTTTTGCCTTAGATCAATTAAAAAAATATTTGCAAATCATAAAGCTTTTTGCATCAACTGCAATTTTATATCTAAATGGTAACGTCACAAATATTTTATTATGAAAACAAATCAATATCTATGACCGATTGATTTATCTGCACTTATACAATTTCTTATCCACATACATTAAAAATGCTTGAAATATCACTATAAATGTTGTATGGATTACAGAAAATGCTGTCAATTTATGTTTAAAGAATAATGGATATATGTTGTCAGTTTGTTATTATGTGCATTGCTTCTTAACAACTTTATATTTTTATCATATATATTTTTACATTAATTATGTGTGTAACGTTCTTTCTAACGCGTTTTGAAGCTATGTTAAATTGTATATACTTTGTATCAATATATTTACAGACTAAAAGACGAAAAGTATACAAACAACATTGATATGTATATCATAGTGAAGAATATTACAAATTGACATTTTAAAGACATAACTAAAATTGATATATTTGAGAGTTTTTTGTTTTGTTTTATGTGTGTTTGTTTGTTTGCTTGTTTGTTTGATTGATTTCTTTAAAAAAGAAGTTATTCTGTCTAAAATCCAGTCAAATATGAAGATAATGTATAGTTTACTTTCATGCAATTCGAAAAATTCTCTATTTAAAAACGACACTCAGTAGATGTTTCGACTACCCTTTTTTGTTTATATAGTTTTAAAAGAATAAGGTTTGTATAGGCTATGTCTCAATTAAATCGATTATTTAAAGTTTTACCATTTTGGTCTTACTTGAACGGAAAGTGTTGAAATCGTTCCCAATCCGTAAAATATATGTTTCTTTTTGCTTTAATACATAACTTGATAAAATTACTTTTTCCGTATTGAATTTAATAGAAGATTTAAAGATTAAAATCAACTGCATTATCAATGTTTTTATTAATGTGTCTTATATATATATATACTACTGCATCAAGTGTGATGCGATATTTCTCCTCCAGAGACAGTCAAACGTTAAATATGCAAACTCTAAAGAGGGTGAAACGTTTATTTCTCTTATAATTTTAGAGAATATTTAAGCAAACTTTATCTTTCGTTGTCAATGACTTCCAAACAGAACGTGTTCTTTCTATGTGGCGTCGTCAGTCATGGTTGCCTCCTTTGTCCCATTATTAAAGCGAAATAAGAGGAAAACATTGTTACGTTGTATATAAAAAATATCAATGACAGGAGGGTATAAAATCGGCTAGGATTCAGAGAAATGTGTTTGTTTGTTGTTTGAAATACACTTTGTTTAATAATTTTATCTTTAATGGTTTGGTACAAAGGTACTACCTAAAGGGTACTGTCAAAATGCTGTTGTGTTTTTTATTCAGTTTCAAAAACCACAAAAACTGAAAATTTATCAATAGACATGAGACCTAAAAAAATAGTAGTCAATTCAAGATTGAATATTCTTTTTTTTTGCCTTTTTCTGACTTTATGTAAATTAGAGCTGTTATCATTTCGTGAAGAGTTATAAGTGTTGTATTATCTAAGACTCAATATGTGCATTCAAATTACATGTGTATCTATATTTTGCAATAAAGCTTCTTTAATATATATATTCTATTTAGGCTGAGATTTGATAAATCCTGAACTAGACAAAGTCGATGATCCCGTTGCACGAATATTGTTCCGCGGTGATTTAGCATAAAATACGCCTGTCATTTGTGGAAAATTTAAAGAAAATCATATTCCTGAAAATATTCACAACATTTATGTATTCAATAATATCCTGCAAAAAATAATTAAGGTGTTATCCGTACTAACTATATACCACATGCATAATTTCACGAAAATATACAAAGTTCAGTGTCCTAACATCCTGCCATTTGAGGATAATCCAAAAAGTATAAATCTTTTGACTATTTGCACATTCTTATAAAAATAAGGAGATGAGGTATGATTGCCAATGAGACAACTATCCACCAAAGTTCAAATAAAGTGGATGTAAGCAATTATAGGCAACCGTACAGCCTTCAACAATGAGAAAAAATCATACCGCTTAGTTGGCTATAAAAGGCTCCGACATGCAAAAAAATATGAAACAATGCAATTGTGAAAACTAACGGCCTAATTTATAACAAAACAATTAACGAAAAACAAATATGACAGACATGAACCAACTACTTTTACTAAACTACAGGCTCCAGACTTGGGACAGGCACATGAAGAATGTGGCGGGGTTAAACATGTTTGTGTGCGCTCAACCCTCCCCCTAACCTGGAAGAGTGGTGTAACAGTACAACATAAGAACAAACTATAAAAATCAGTTGAAAAAGACTTAACTCATCAGATAGATACAAAGCAGAAAAACATCAAACATAAACACAGACCGGACGTGGCAGGGTATTTATCCATCCCTCATCCCTAACAACAGAAAGTACACTAAGTACAGATTTGAGAATACTCGCAGTTACTGTAAGTTAGTACATATGTTAACATCCTGAATAATGTTCAAGGTTTTGGCTTGAATATTGAACGTAGTGTAATCAGAGCAATATAAAATTAAGATAAAGCGGTATGATTGACAATGAGACGTAGTCTTCTACAATCAGCAAAATCCATAACGTAGAGTAAGCTATAACAGGCCCCGATATATCACAAAATGTAAATCAAAATTCAAACGAGAAAACCAACGGCCTGGTTTGTGTACAAAACAAATAAATGAAAAACAAATATAGACTGAAACAAAAAAACAATAATTCAACGATTTATGAATAGAAAGTCCGAAAATGAAAATCTTTGGTCAGTTCTACGACTAGAACAGTTCTAAGGCTAGAACAGTTCTACGACTAGAACAGATCTACGATTCGAACTGATTTGGTCAGTTCTACGACTAGAATTGATTTAGTCAGTTCTATCCATAGAACAGTTTTAAGAACTCTTTGTCTTAAATATAAATAAATCAAAAGAATATAATATATATTAAAACATTCTCATCACAGAACTGTTTTAACATTTCTCGTTACGGAAAATGTCCATAACCGTTTCCTCGGTCGCTGTTATAGCGGAAATTTTGTTACGATGGATGTCGATGGAGGAGAGTGGCAAAACAAATAATTTTATGAAATATTTGTACTTACAGGTAAAGAAAATACCAAACTTCATTATTTAGAGTTTATAATGAACTACTGGCGATATTCTGACGGGAAAGGGGTGACATGTTTTTGTGTGGATGGAACATGCTTTTTGACAATAAGCTTGTTACCGTTTTGATCGAGGTCACAGTTTGTTTACATTTTTCATAATTATTTAATTTTTTAACCCTTTCTTGTGTAGAGTTAGTTATTTTATCAGGTCTGAGATTACTATAACAATAATATACTATATGTTATAGTAATCTCAGCCCCATTCCACCCAAACTATCTGTGAGGGGGGTAATGTAGGGAAGAGTGATGTTTCATCAGAGTTTACGAAATGTTAAATTAGCTGTTCACAGTTCACAGGAAATACAACAAAACTGTTAACTTTGACAGGAGGCATTTTGCGTGTGGCTTTATCAACGATAATAATAACACTGAATGGTGACCAGTGAGATGCTAGAATTGCAGTGACGTCTTTTAGAACTGTTCTACAATCCTGACAGGTTTGGTCAGTTCTATGGCTAGAACAGTTTTAGACAGTTCTGCTGACAGTTCTACGGTTAGAACTGATTTAGTCAATTCTGCTGACAGTTCTACGGTTATATACAGGGTTGAAAAATCAAAAGTTTGGATATAATTAATTTCGAGAAATATCGAGATTAAAAATTATCCAGAAGTTCTTTAGAGATTTTTAGAATCAACATATGGTTAATACCACTACGCGAGTAAAAAGTTTCACAGTATTTCTGAAGACCATCTTTCACTGCGGACAGAATTTTTGTCAATCTTATAGACAATTCCTTTGTAGAACATGCAGATGAGCCGACAATGTACCGTTGTTTGTATGGAATTTTGTGAAGCTTAGGTATCCAAAACAAACAAGGTAAGTCCTCAGATTTGCTGTTCAATGTAATGTTTATTGAAGCCTTGAAAGACTTATGATTCGCCAAAATCTCATCCTTGTCAAATGAAATGTTTTGTATGTGCGATTACCTGAGTGCTCATTTATTCCTAATTCGTTTACATTACACTCGTAGTAGTACGATGTACATACAAAGAAAATATTATTTGAAGCTTTGTCCGCAGGAACAACAACATAGTTATCGTGAAGAGATGATAGACATTTAACAGCTTCTTTGTCCCTGAAAACGGACTTTGATCGATCATTCACACATTTTTTCAACTTATAAATTTGACGTTTATCAGAGACCTGATTGTTTTAACCCATTCTGACAAATTGTCCAGTTCAACTTCTCATTTAGTCCAAGCTCTGGCGTAGTCCTCAATGGAATCCATAATTATTTTGAAGTTATGGTTCTAATTAATGTGTTGGGGTTCATTGAACTTAGGACCATGATATATCACCTTTCGGAGATGTTCAACTTGAATTATGTTTAGATCCCTAGTAATAACATGGCGAGAGGGTCTTTGCGATGTCGATAATCGATTGGGATTTTGTTCAATCGATTGTCGTTATAGTTTCCGGACATTTTAGCATATCAACTTCCTGTCCGTTTCCGGTTTACATTTTACATGCAGTCAAACAAATTGTAACGAAAAATATCAGTAGATGACAATAACAATGTCAAACATCCTATAATCAAAGACATAAGCAATCTCTTTCTTTATAAACGTGGTAAAAGCATTGACTTTACAGATTGATCGTTTGTGGTTTAAAATAAATAACTTCTATTGATGTTTCATCCATTTGTTACGTTAAAAACGTCATATTCCTTTCCAAATTGTTTGTCCAACATCGTTTATTTTTGTAAATTTTTTTCGGTTTGTCCGCCATTGAAATATAATACGAATCACGGATCGGATACGGACAAACCATGAAAGAATTCCGTATTTTTACGATCATAATTACAGACACACGAATGACACAGCTGACAGAAGAATAATGATCACAAAAGTGAAAAATACGCATTTCACACGAATTAACAGGCATTGGTTGGACCCCCTTAGTTTAATGTATATATTTCAATGGAAATGCATTGTTTTATTTATTGATTAATTTTAAATTGCTTAAAGTTACTTTATATATTTTTTTTTAATGAGAAGCATTTAAATTTTGATACAGCTATGTATCTTAAATTATAATGTGAGTGATAATATTTAAATCTAGAAATTTTAGTGTCAATGTTGGTAATAAATGTTGTAGTCATAAGACAAAATATGTTCAATTTGAATTTGGATTCTAATTCATTCACTGTTTTAATTGCTAAATAAAATATGAAAAGGAAACAAAAGATCAAGCATGAACACATAAAACTCTGCAATGGTATGGAATATATGCATTAGACATGTACAATATGGCTGAAGCCTGAATGCATTTTTTCATATAAAAAGGGGCAAGGTATAATGATGCGATTATAACCAATAGTCGGTTGGTTGCTGTCAACCGATAGTAATAGATAATCGGTTGGTAATTTCAACCGATTATCTAACACTACTGCCTTAATCTTTACATTATCATCGGTACACTACCTTAACCTTTACATTAACATCGGCAAACTACCTTAACATTTACATTAACATCGGTACACTACCTTAACCTTTACATTTACATCGGCAAACTACCTTAACATTTACATTAACATCGGTACACTACCTTAACCTTTACATTAACATCGGCAAACTACCTTAACATTTACATTAACATCGGTACACTACCTTAACCTTTACATTAACATCGGCAAACTACCTTATCATTTACATTAACATCGGTACACTACCTTAACCTTTACATTAACATCGGTACACTACCTTGACCTTTACATTAACATTGGTACACTACCTTAACCTTTACATTAAGATCGGTGTACCAACTTTACCTTTACGTTCACATCGGTAAACTACCTTAACCATTACGGGTACATGCTTATACTTTTTTTACCAATTTAGGCGACAGTAGTTTCGATTCCCGCGTTGCTTCATAAAACTCATGAATATTCATACTACCCTAGGCCCGTGATACGTAGAGTCTTCCCAGTAGTTTACCGATGATCAAATCTCGTAAATTTATTAAACTACTCATCAAAGATACGAAGCATGATTTAGAACGCCAGACGCGCGTATCGCCTACATAAGATTCATCAGTGGCTAAGAAAGGTATAACAAAAATACCGAACTCCAAGGCAAATTTAAAAAGGGGAAGTCCATAAAAACTGACAAAATCAACGCTATTAATCAACGGAACAAGTAAAAACAACTGCCATATTACTGACTTGGTACAGGCATTCTCTGAATAACATGGTGGGTTTAACCTGGTTTAATTTATAGCTAGCTAAACCTCCAACTTTTATGACAGTTGTCCGGTAAAAGGGACATATCAAGGCAACAAACAAAAATTGAGGGAATCGCATGAAGTCCAAAAGGAGCGAGACTAGGTACGTCGTCAGGGTAAGCGTCTCCTGCTATCCATGCATCACCCGCCATGCGAATTTACAATCAGTCAAAATGTAACAATCATGAGTAAGGCTCGGTCAGTTAGATAACAGATCTGACGACTGGTATCTACAGATTAAGATCGCTTAAACATGTCGCTAGTAAGTTGATACACCGACACATCGTATCGGACAACCAATTCATATTGGTGACCGTAAAACCTATGGGGTATCGATTTCAGTCGTTCTTCCTCATAACTCTGTTGGAGCAAATTTTGTGTATGGAGCACATCCCTGTTAATGAAGTGTCAACTACACAAGCGTAACGCAATAACTAAGAAATTTAAACGCCACACGATGGAGCAGATGGTAAGTTAAAGAAATTACTGCTTACTGCTGAGAAATTGTAGCAGCAGTATGCTACTTAAATCTTTACATGCTTTATGAGAGCCTGGATTGGGTTTAAAGAATAATTTCAAAAAAAAATAATGAATATAGAAAAATGAGCAAAAGATATAAAGAAGAGAGAATAATAAGTGGTTGCAAAAGAAAAAAGAATAACTGTGGACACGAGAATTTTACAGAATAAACGTTATTTTTAATGATGTAGAAAAATGCCATAAATATTTTAAGAATTATACAGATATTAAGGACCTACCATCCAAACCCTTCTTTATCATATTTATGTAAACATCGGGGTACTACTTTAACCTTCACTTTCACATCGGTAAACTATCGAAACTTTCACGTTCACATCGGTAAACTATCGAAACCTTCACGTTCACATCGGTAAACTATCGAAACCTTCACGTTCACATCGGTAAACTATCGAAACCTTTACGTTAATTAACATCGACATTCTATACTGACATGATCGGTATTCTACCTTTACCTGTACTTTAACAACGGCAGACTATAATGGGCGTCGTCTGGTTGCATATGAAGAGAGTTGCATATCCGTTATCTGTATGTAGAAGATTTAGAGCCTATTAATCTGACGGTGTGAGGGTAAAAGATAACTGTCTAACGATTATGGTGAATAAACTGTACAGTACATTCCTCTTGAATATTTATTATATAAACAGTGTAACAAACGTGTCTCTTGGTATCCAAATAGGTTTTTCATATATGTATATATATATATATACCATTTATTACATCGGTGATCCGTTTATTTGGCAATCGCCGATGGCAGTCAGCAGGCTTTAAGAACATTTGTTGTTCGACCTGTTAGTCAAATGCATTTTGTTAAAATATACTTTTTCACTTTTTTGGTCTTTTGGAAAATGTTGTGTGTGCTGTATTTAGACCCCTCTAACAAGAAATTTGTTTTGCATGCACACGTATAAAAATTGCGGTTTTTATCCAACGCAATCATAGGTTTGAACGTTGTTTTCAATTTAAACTTGTTTATATTTTTTCGTTTGGGCTTTTATTATATTTGCCTTCGGGTTTATATGATCCGATCATTCTATTTTGACTCCTCAAAATTCAAGAGTCTATCCTAAATTGAGGTAAATTATATGGCTTTCTAAATACCGTTTCGATTCCTAACATCAATGAAGAGACATTAATTGTCGAAATCCGGATATGGTGTACAAAAACCTTTGCACCTTTTGTTTGCGGTATACCATCTTTTCCGCAAGTTTATTGTTTTCTGTTTAGTATTAAATTTATAATTAAGATCCATTTATTACATCGGTGATCCGTTAAACGGTTTATTTGGCAATCGCCAATGGCAGTCAGCAGGCTTTAAGAACATTTGTTGTTCGACCTGTTAGTCAAATGTGTTTTGTTAAATTATACTTTTTCACTTTTTTGGTCTTTTGGAAAATGTTGTTTGTGTTGTATTTAGACCCCTCTAACAAGAAATTTGTTTTGCATGCACACGTATAAAAATTGCGGTTTTTATCCAACGCAATCATAGGTTTGAACGTTGTTTTCAATTTAGACTTGTTTATATATTATATTAAAATATACTTTTTCACTTTTTTGGTCTTTTGGCAAATGTTGTTTGTGCTGCATTTAGACCCCTCTAACAAGAAATTTGTTTTGCATGCACACGTATAAAAATTATCTTAATTCTCAGACAATTACAAGTTGTTACAATTTAGACTTGTATATCCAACGCAATCATAGGTTTGAACGTTGTTTTCAATTTAGACTTGTATATATATATATTTGTTTTCAATTTAGACTTGTTTATATACCAGTCTAAATTGAAAAAAACGTTCAAACCTATGATTGCGTTGGATATACAAGTCTAAATTGTAACAACTTGTAATTGTCTGAGAATTAAGATAATTTATGTTTTCAAAATAATACAAAGAATTGGTAATTTACTCATTTTATGTTAAAATGTTTAAAATAAGTACTGTTTTTTGGGGTAACTCATACAAAGTCGGTAATTAGCCTAGGGTAAATGGCAAGGTATTATATATATATATATATATATATATATATATATTCAAGATAAAAAGGCATGAATTTGACAGATACAAAATAGTACAAAGACACAGATATAGCACTAGACATAGTTTATAGACACTAAAATGATATACATGTTTACTAAAAATTTTGATTTAAGAAATAAAAAATAAAATTATGAAAATTTTCATGATATTTTGATAATATGATTAGACTAGATTAAAAATGAGTGAAATTTAACTTGACTAGATTTTACATTGTAGCCTAATATCTTAGGATGACCCACAAAAGTTAGTAAAACTTATTTCCAGTGGGGTCCTTTTATAACGAGACTTCCAGTTTACACCAAGGGTTGACACATAGAAAATACAAGCACAAACCATTTAGATTATTATTGATATAAAAATCAGGAGATGTGGTATGATTGACAACGAGACAATTATCCACCGGTGTTAAAATGAAGTGGTAGTAAGCAGTTATATATAACTTCAACCTGTTTTTCCCATTGTCGAACCCGTACGGTGGGTGACCTATATATAGGTCACCGTACGGCCTTCGACAATGAGAAAAACCCATACCGTATAATCATCTATAATAGGCCCGACATGAAAAATGTTAAACAATTTACAAAAAGCAAATATGAACCAACATGAACCAACTGGGCGACAACCACCGAATATCATATATATCTATTAATATGTAGATTCTTTTAAATGAAAAGTAAAATAAAAAAAATACTAAACTCCAAGGAAAATTCAAAAAGGAAAGTCCCTTATCAAATGGCAACATCAAAAGCTCAAACACATCAAACGAATGGAAAACAACAGTTACTATAGACTGAGCACTTATATTTAACTTCTAATTATTGATAGATACAAATCATTCTTCAATATGCTTTCATTAACATTTACATTGTTGTTGTTTAACAATAGATGGTGCTATAAAAATAGAATATTTATATCTGAGATTGCTCTGGTGTCTGTCAGCCATCATGGTTTTTATACTTGCTTGGGAAACTAGATTATTTCATACCATAATATTTTAGATCACAAAAAAATGTAAACGGCAATAAAGTCTTATTTCTTCAAATGTCAGTCTTCAAATTCATCCAAATAACTACATATGAACCTGGGACTATTATACTAACAATATATTATGTCATTGCATGAACTATGGTATTGCAAGGATTTGTATAGTACTATTCAAATCCTTGGGTATTGACAGACCTCATTGACACTAAAAATTGACAGTTTATAAGAACATGATGAATATGTTGTTTCCTTTCTCGAAATTTCAAACATAACTGGATAAATCCTGAGATGTTCCATTGATAGTAATTAGGTAATGGAACAGATTCGTAACCTTAAGGAAAGATGTGTGGACAGATATTATATTGAAGCATTAGCTAAGGTTGTTTTGCTTGGACATAACATCAACTCTTTAGTCAATAAAATGGTCTGGTACCTTAATGTATAACGATAAAAATATCAGTGAATAGAAAACCAGTAGAAGTACTATCACATGTTATTGTTTACAAGATGTGCAGCTCAAAGTCTATCAAGTGTAGCATAATTTTTGCAGTATTTGGTGCAGTCTTTATTATATTAGGAGGAGTACTAATTCCTGTTTTTCACAATTTCATTAAAAAAGAAATCAAAGAGGTACACAGTGTATGAACAAAAGCGGATGTGGGGTTTTACAGGTTGGGAACAAACCCCCCTACATGTTGATTATACGAAGCAAGACATCTCGGCACATTACAAACTCGGCACATGTCAACTCGGCATAGTGCAAACTCGGCACATTACAAACTCGGCATATTACAAACTCGGTCCAATAAAAATGTATCAGATATATTATTGTGCCAATAGACAAAAACGTCTTTTAAAAATAGTTTTGAAAATAGAAAATCATTATGTAAAATTGAGCAAGTGACAATTTCTTGAAAATAGAGAGATGTAGGTATCAGTTTGAAAAAGATATAGATAAAATATGTCCATAATACTTTAAATTGTCTGAAAACGATAGATTACAATTACTTCTATCTTCATTTGATATTATGCAGCTTACTGTTCCGTTCATTAAAAAAATCACTTGCACTTTTAAAGGAGAGAAGACAAAAAACCTGCATGAATAATACTGTTATATACTACTTTATATATGATGTTTAATCTGTTATAATTTCTGCATATATATTGTTTGTGTATATATTTGTATTGTATAGTTTATATATTCCTCCAACCCCTAGGGGTATAAATGTGCATGATAAATAAATAAATATTTGTGTTTGTATTTAATATTTTTACGCTGAAATTCATTTTTTTTCTTTTTCTTTTTCTATAAAAAGTTAGATAAACATTAAAAATTGCATCCCCGTTTTTCAACGTATCTAATGAACTGTTGTAACACTAAACTGTAATAAATATGTAACATTGTCAATGATTTTATTATTGTTTCCTATTTAAATTATGTATTTTATTGATGGTATTATGACGATTTTATGATTATCTCCAATTAACTGCAATAAAAAGAATAGGATGGCTACCTTTATCCTTTTAATTAGAGAAGTTTCAGGAAACAGGTGTTGATTATATATTGCAGTATAATTATCACATGATAATTAATAACAGCGGTATTTAATGACAGCCTGATAACATTTTTATGATATCCCGTTAGTATAGCAGCTTGAGTTAATGCTGCTGAACTCCATGCGACAAATGCATACCAATTAAAATGTCAAGTACCGCCTCTTTTTAAATTTATTGCGTAAAAAGTACATATATATCTGGTAACAAACTAAAAATATAATCATAGTCTTTTAATATTTTTTAATTGTTTCACGAATTGCTCTGTATATCCGCTTTAATATTTAATACTTTCATCCAAAAATGGGCACAGACCATTGTGTTGAGTGTTCCCGTGTTGTCACTACCAGACAACAAGCACTGACCTGTGATAACTGTGAAAGATGGGTACACAGAGTTTGTAATACAGGTATGTATATATATTAATTACATTTTAATATATTGAATTTGTTTTTAATTTTTTTTCTCTCACTATTTCAACGAATTTTTATCTTACAATTTTGTTTATGATTTAGTTAGATGAATCATCATCTTAAAATGCTTATGAAAAAAATGCTACATACAGTTATCTTATTTATAATAAAATATTATTTTAAGAACTTGTTTATACTATTTATGCAACATATGGATAATTACTAGTAATAAATTGTTACGTTTTTCTATCAATTTTGGGACATTTTTTCCGTTAACCTAAAATAATTGTCTTTAAAATGTATCACATATATATACTAGTATATATAGTTAACACATCTAATGTCATTCCGATTTTCTTCCTTTTATTGAAATTAATACTAAGAAGAGCGTAGTGTTCCGTAGTTCAATATATTAAAGTAAATACTGAGTAGGCAAACACATATTAAACTTTATACATAAGTACATCACTGAAGTGTCTCCTTACTTTGACTATAAAATTATCTCGCTCCAAGTCTTGTTATTTTCATTATTATTTGTTCTCGAATTTTCAACATAAAAAATGCACGTATATGATCACATTTTCAGGCATTACTCAAACAGACTATCGTCGTCTTATGAATGGAAAGCTTGACATTGCATTTGCAATCTATGCAAGAACACAACAGAAAATGCTCCTGTAGAATCCACCAGATTAGAGCAAGACAGTGAGCAACGTTCCACACTGACAGGATATGGTACCTTCAATATCTCCTTGATTAGCAGAAAATCAAACTCTATAAATTCCACATTCACAGAAGTACCTTCAGCTACGAGCAATCCAACAAATCTTCCCCATGCATCGCCAGTTAATACACCACACAGAAGTGGTTTATTACGAGTGCCAAGACGTATTCTGTCGCCATTGTCACCTAAAAGGACATATAACGTTGTAAGTGTGGCACCAGAACAGTCATTAATGCAGCCACCAACATATAATACAACGAGAATACTCAGCCCTTCACTGCCCGATGCACCTCAGACACATTCAAACAGAACAACCAGTGTGCATCCTCTATCGCCCTTACCACTTGATGCGTCATTTGACTTTACCCATCACCAAGATGAAAATGACGACCAGGAGATTGTTGAAAAGTAAGATATATATATATATATATATTAAACAAATGTTTTACTTAAATGAATTTTTCAACTTTCATAAAATATGTCATAACATGAAAAAAAACCATATTGATTTCTTTGAAAAGTGTTTACACAAATAAATATTGCATTTCATAGCTTCAAAACTAGTCCTTACTTTCACAGAATGCTTATTATGTTTTCGTTTATTTTTACAGTTCCATACAAGAGCCGGAGTTGCCTGACACAATTTTACCAGATGGTTCACCTACATTTTCTATAATAGAAAAGGGGACACAAAGAAGTAATTTAAAACTGGTTAGCATGACGGTTACGAATACACAAAGAAGGTATATATTTTTTCTAAGTACAGAATTGATATCTCTCGACAATTATCTTTTTAAAGCTTTGGCAAAAAGGTATCCACTTAAAACTATAAATGGTATGAATATGAATTATGAAATTAAAGTTAGACTTTTGATATCCTTGAAATATTAGCGGTTTACTAAGATAAGTTAATTACTGTACGACATGTATATTCTTTATATTTTAGATGTCTAAAGGCAATTTCACCTACTGGAGATGCATCAAACGATCAAAAGGCAGTAATTGTCCCGCTACTGTGTCACAGAAGGGAGAAAATTTTAAAAGAAACCCTAAACCCCACATACACCCAGCAGATAAGGGGGCTTTGAAAAAAGTTCTAGTTCATAAAGAGGTATGCAAAGCCTAGACAGAGGAACATATTAACTTAATAACGTGTTTCACTTAAACTATTAAAATATCATAAAGTAAAATGTAAATTCAGTGGAAACTGACATTAGATATGAAAATTTCTGTAAATATAAGTACATATTTAAGATTCACTCAGAAGGAATAGCATTTCTGGGAACATTAAATTGCATTCGGAATTTTATGCATATACCTTTTAAATTTTAAATAATATTCTTTTAAATTTTAGGTAAAACAGACAGCACTCCAAGACATCCATAAACCTGCAGGTCGTATTGTGGATGATGCTATGCTTCGCCATATAGAACCAGAAGATCATCAGCTGCCAAATCAAAACAACCTAAAAAGAACTGCAAACCGTGTCCGAGAAGAACTTAGGCCAGATGAACCAACCTCATTGTTTTTCGAGGTAAAATATTTATGATATTCTAGATAGTCAACTTGCAACACACGTGTATAGCTACTTCTAGTGATTAAATTTAATGCTGCAAAAAGCTTGTTTCGGAATCCTTTTTATTTTTCTTTTTTTTTTCTTTGTGTATTCTGAAATAAATATGTTAACACTCAACTAATTCAATCAAATTTTCTATATATAGCTCGATACAGATTACCTCCAGTGTGACAACATTTTGATTGAGGACATCAGAGTAGACGACCAGCGTCACTTAGTATTTTCAACGCCCGGGCAGTTACAGCTTTTGAAATATGCAAAGAAATGGTTTTGTGATGGAACCTTTAAAATAACGAAAGACCCATTCACTCAGCTATGGTCCATCCACGCCTTCATTAAAAAGGGAGACAGTTTGAAGCAGGTTCCACTGGTCTTCATGCTCATGTCTCGAAAGAAGACAAAAGATTACAAACCTGTAAGTTTCATAATCGTCATTTTTTTTTGTTATCGACTTCAAGTTTTTCTGATGCGTCAATGTGACGTTTAACCATTTTAAATTTGAAAGTTGAAGGTTAAATTAAAAACATGTACACTTTACATGTATAGAATGTTTTGTATATCTTTCGTTGTATCTTTGTACCCCTGACATATTTGTATCTAAATCTCCTATTATATATACATGTAGGTTCTTGAATGTTTGAAGAAGAAGATTGGTGTACTCCATGTGGAAAGGTTTTGCTTGGACTTTGAAAAAAGGTAAATTGAAAAATAAATCGAAATAACTTTAAATTGGTGTAAAATTAACTGAAAACTCTAGTACACTTTTGAGTACGGTGGATTTAGACACTAGCAACCTCTAATTATAGATGATTGACAATACATAGAATTGCTAATGACTTAGTAAGTGGTTTAATCTTTCATTTTCTCTTAACAGGTGCTTGGAAAGCAATACCACAGATCTTTCCAAATGCAAGCATCAAAGGTTGTGCTTTCCATTTCGGTCAAGCCATTTGGCGGAAAGATCAAGATTTGGGACTGAAAACAACGTACAGCTCAAGAGGAGTTGAATATAGATACATCTGTACGTTGATGGCTCTGCCTTTCTTGCCTCACTCGGATATAAGACCAGCTTTCAATACACTGAAAGAACGTGCAAACTCCCAGGAATTAAAAGAGCTCGTTGTATACATCAGTTCAACATGGTTCGAAGGTCGATATTGGTGTCCAAGAACATGGTCAATCTTCCAACATTCCATTCGCACAAATAATGATGTTGAAGGTATACATATATTATGTTCTGTAAGAGCAATACTTATAAACCAAACGTCTATATATTATTCAACAATCTTTCTTACGTGAATCTTAACAACGCCAATATTAAATAAATAAACATTAGATTTAAATTTCTGTATGATGTACACATTTCTTGATTTATATTAGTTTAAATCACAGGGGGGTTTATAGAAATACGCAGCCACGGTGTATAAATGATTAACCCTTGGTCTAAATTAAAATTCAAAAATTATGCCTGGTAAAATCGAACTGCCATTATTGAATACAGTTTAACTTTAATGGTATCTTTTCAGTAGGAACTTACATGCTAACTATATTATACCCCCATATACAAACCTTAAAAAATATTAATGTATGTATTTATGTTGTTTATAGGTTGGCACACACGCATAAATTCTGGAAAGTCAAATGTAAGCTTTTATGTCCTTATACCAGAGTTAATGAGAGAAGCTGAGATCGTGGATCTTACTCTAAGATTGGTATCTGAGGAACAGGTTCTCAGACATCAGCGACGCCGCTTCAAGGATTTGGAAGGCCGGCTCCACCAGTTCTGGGAACAGTACGATAGCGGCGAAAAAACTGTGACACAATTGTTGAGGGAATGCAGTAAAGTGTACGGCCCATCAGATGACTGATCACTGCTGCCAATACAAAGAATGCAGGAAGTGACATTTGTATTTGTCGTTAACTTTTCATTTAGTGTCTGTATGGTATTTATAGGAATTGTGTGTTGTTTTTTTTGTGAATGGTTCATTAGTTGATATATGATTTATTTATTGAATTATTTAATGTGTTTTCCTATTGAGAAGAGAGAGAGAGAGAAAGAGAGAGAGAGAGAGAGATCGTGTACATAATCTGTTTATATGTAATTACTTCATTGAAAATACTTCATTGATAATAAACGTTCTGGTCGGTTGATTATGCTGCTTTTTATCAATCATTGAAAAAAGGACTACAGAGAAATTTTACTCCATGTTACTCCAATTAAAATACACTGATGACACAATAAAAATAAGAGATGCATGGTATATGCCAAGTAAGGCAGCAATCTAACCAAAAAAAAAAGTCTGATTAATAAATATAAGAAGATATGGTTTGATTGTCAATGAGACATCTCTCCATTGAATAGATAGGTTCTTATTGAAAACTATCATATTTGATGAAATTATTATTGCGATGGTGATAATAGAACTAAATCACTGAACATGATTCATTTGAAAGAAACCATTCGAATATGGATAACTCCTAAAATCTTGAACATTTAAACTTTCCATATACACCCTAATTTCTTTACAAGTTGTTAAGACTGTTGTTTCTTCAAGTGTTCGGATGATTTAAAATCCTTTCTGGTCTATCAGAAATGCTGCCGATTACAATTAAGAAGTGTTGTTTCTGGTTATTTTTTTCTTGATCACAAATATCAAACTAACAACTATATCACCCGAGAGATCTGTAGAAACGGCCACCTTTTTTCAATCCTTTACACAATGATTTGTCGTCATTTTTTATTACTATCTATCAGTTATAGAAGAGGGACGAAAGATACCGGAGGGACAGTCAAACTCGTAAATCGAAAATGAACCGACAACGCCATGGCTAAAAATGAAAAATACAAACAGACAAACAATAGTACACATGACACAACATAGAAAAATAAAGAATAAGCAACACGACCCCACAAAAAACTAGGGGTTATCTCAGGTGCTCCGGAAGTTATCATCCTCCTGGTAACTGAATGTTTTCATTAATATGTGCATTAGTTTTACGACATACGATCTAGATAAGGAAAAAACGAGTGCCACAATTTTGGATAGGACTGCATCACCTTAAATATGCATAGCATATATCAATGACCAGAAAAAAAAGAATGTAGGACAGAAAGTCAAAGAACAAAAAAAGTCACAGGACAAAAAGTCACAAATATTTTTTTAACATTTGTTTGAATATATAAGAGAAAGATCTTGCAATGTTTTCTTTATATTAATACATTAACATGTATCCATTTGAACAGTTTAGGTTTATTAGCCTTGATAAATGAACATTTATCAGATTTTAGGCATAAACAACTTTTTTATCATTATTGATATTTATTAAGTAAAATTTAATTAAAAAGTTGCTTTATTTATAAAAGTAAAACACATTATTTTTAATATTAAGTGTTTTCTTATTTATGTCAGAACTGACTAGTGACTTTTTGTCATATGACTTTCTGTCCTATAATATGTTCAATTTCTCACCTATGGTTAAAAAAATATTGTTATTTTTTTCTCATCGTAATTATTATATAAAATTGCTTTTTATAAATCATTTCCATAAATATATTCATTAATGTGCCGAGTATGTATTGGTAATGTACCGAGTTTGTATAGACCCAGTTTGTACTATGCCGAGTTTAACATGTCCCGAGTTTGTAGTGTGCCGAGATGTCCTGTATTCTGATTATACCTGTATAGAGTGATCAACCTTCTGTAGAGGGACATATTTGTTTAGACTGGATTTATAGCAGAACATGGCAAATGCGCATTTTCTACTTATTATGGCAGTAACCTGCAACATTGAATACACCAATTGATGTACTTAATTTAATATGTACATATCTAGTTTACTGCTAAACTGACTGACTATGCAATCTATTGTTTAAAGCTGTGATGATCAGGTTAATTCCACTCAGTTATGCCTCCATGAACAGATTTCTATTGTTAGATTTAACTCTCTTGCTGCCAAAGGGACATTTATGGCTTCTACACACAAAACTTGTTGATTGTGTAGAAGGTCAATTTAGGTCCATGGTAACGTCACAATACAGAGGGGCACTGACAACGTCAAAAGATGGCGCCAAAGGACGATTTTGGCGGGAATGAAGCAAACTGAATTAAATGCATTATTTGTATACTTAAAATGGATGTCAACAAATGATACAGGATTATAAGCTTGTTAGTACTTTAATACCAACTTATTTAACATGTTTAACGTGTTTACTAATTATTAGTGTTGTCAACGGTTAATTGGTTGACCGTCAGAAGGACCAAATATGGAATACCAAAAACACTAACCGGTTAACCTTTTTTCAATTCTAATATATATGTATTGACTTCATTAATAAATGTTTCAAAGGATAGTCGTGTTAATTAATTTGACATATCAATTGTCCAGTCTATTGATTACTATTATCAACCTTGAAAACACTCCAATTTTACAAAATTAATTAACACGAAGACAACTTGTCTATCAGCTCGGGGAAAGAATAAAGTAAACATAATTAGCGTACATGTATTTTAAACTATTGTAAGCTGGTTAAATTTTTTGATTTAATTCATTATTTCACTTTGATATAATATTGCTTAGACCTACATGTAATAATGCCACCGCCATCGTCTAAGAAGTTTGTCATACTTTCAACGAAATTCCGAGTCAAAAATGGTAAAACGCAAATTATGATAATGGAATTAATCTATAATACTGTATGGTACGAGTAACAAGCTTAATCATCTCCAATTGAAACACTCCACATGATGTTCTGAGACACCAGAGAAAATGAAACAATCACCCGTTTCAGATTTTATAAATTCACTGATACCAAGAAGATTTTCATCTTCTAAATCTGGAGTTATTACAAACGCCATAGTATATATGGTAGTATCAGATTATTGAAAATGAAACTTTACCAGGGCTGCTCAAAGCCAAGACTTATAAGGCCCAATCTAAAAATAAGGAGGTGTTGTGGTATGATCGCCAATGAGACAACTATCCACCAAAGTTAGCATATACTTCAATTCATCTTATCATTAAACCGTACATTTGTAGAGAGTACTGACAATCTTAAAAACATTAACTTAACTACCGGTTAATCGATAGAAAGATTGTTCGAGTAATCGGTTAGACAAAACTGTTCAATTTGACAAAACTATTATGTAGTTCGTCATTTTAGATGCAGATCCTTTATCCCCCTCAGCCCCCTTATTTAAAAAACTTGGGTGGATGACAGTTGACAATAGAATAAAATACCACAAATATTTACTTCTATATAAATGTATGCGTATGGAAGCACCAATGTACCTAGTTCAAAAGTTTAAACTGAAATCAGATAATAATCCTTACTCCCTGAGAGGCGTCACTCAAGGTAATCTGATAGTTCCTAAGCCAAAAGCTGAGCTATTTAAGAAATCTTTTGTTTATTCTGGATCAGTGTTATGGAATGGACTACCACACAAAATGCGTAAAGCTCAAAACACTTACACTTTTAAACAAAGTATCAAGAAGTACTTAACACAGTCCTGATAAGATTATATTTTCTACAATGTATTTGTATATTCTTTTATTTTTATTTGTATTTGATTTTTTGACTACATGTACATCTTGAACAGCCTTATATCTTATCATGTTAGTAATATTACATTGAACTAATTGACTGTAAATTAACTATGTGTAAATATCTGTTTTTGATTGTATTGTAATTTGTATGTGAGGGCCTCAGGGAAGATTAGTTTATTGTAACTAACTGAGTTTACCCTCTTTAAATAAAGAATTTATTATTATTATTATTATTATTTTCATGTAAATGTCGCATACTTTCGAGGTACACAAATGTAACACGATAGACTTTTATTGCGATATGATATTTCAGTACATTTTATACCTGTTTCATCATGAAAGCAATAATCTAAAAATATTTATTTTCAATCAAAATGGGGATGTTAAATTAGTGGATAATTTATCTTCCTATCCAACATATCATCCTTTCCCAGTGGCAATCTCAATTTTCAGCCATTCATCTCAGATCTTTTACTTTGTAGGACCTACTGAGCAACAGATTTATTGTTCATTAGATCTCAGTCGTCCTTAATATCGCATGAAATACCTGCCACTGAAAGTTGGGCAAACAACAATTTATCAATCAACAAATTTAAAAAAAGATATTTCATGTATGCCAATTACAATGCGTATTTCATCATAGAAAATGAAAATAAAAATATAATATTTTCAAGTCATGAATAATGATTGATTCAGGTTCACATGTAGACAATAGAAATTAATTTTAGAAGTTCTTCCCTCGTTTTTCTGTCTTTCAAATTCATATTTCAAACATTTTTCTAAAATTTTTAGTAATAAGTGGTCAACAAAATAATAATAAACATGATTAAGAAATAAACAGCAAAATGAATATGGATAATAACGTTTATAAGAATTCTTTCCTCACCTACCGAAACAAGGCTTGGAATGAAAAATTTAATCTGACACATATAATACTTACAACACAAAGTAGTTCATAGAATCGGTTGCTCAGAGTTTTATTTATTTTTATTTGTACATGCATTGTTTTTATTTTTATTTTTATTGGGTGTTGTTGTTTTGTTTATATAATTATTTGAGAGATTCTTTACGGTATTTATCAATTATAACAAGGTTAACTAAGCTAATCAAATAACAAGGATAGATATATTCTAGTATTTTAGAGGTGGTTAAGAATCAGTTATGCAATTCAATTGACAAAGATAAAATAAAAGCGCTTATAAAATTATTAGCAATGAGTATATCATCTTCATTTGTTTAAAGATAAGAAATATAGAAAAAAATATATTTCAAGGTTAAGTTGTATTTTTAGATAATGTTGTATTAAAAAATCGTTTATAACAATCTAAGAGCAATAATTTTTATAAAAATTTCTTTTACATCGCTTTTCCTAATTACCGCTAAATTGACGCGGGAAAAATTATGGACAGCGGGAAAGCGCCGTTCTACAGAGAGGCACAAGTTTTGCAATGTCAAGATGCTTTTGGCACGACAAAGCAAGAAATAAACCTCGGCAGCAAGAGGGTTAACACAATGTCCCTATTGTTGTTGATCAAGTGTTCAGATAGGTACACAATATATTGCAAGTTCTGTCACTTTAGCAGAAAACTGGGCATTTCAATTTTTAGTAAAGTGCAATGATTGATACATATAATGCTATAGATTATAGCCAATATAACTAGGAAATGCTCTTTTTCCATCTTCCTGCTTTAAGGTGGCTGGGGTGTCTTCCTCCATCTTGGATTTTGAAGTAGCAGATAACAATTGGTCTAGATCTTTAATGAAATGTGCAAATTTTGAGAGTAGTATTCATGTGTAAGACTTTTCATGTTAATATAGAAAATTATGTGTTTTATCATATCTAAAAAAAAACACAATATTTTTGTTTGATTTATTTTTTACATCCAATGTTAACAACAATTCTTTCAGTAAACGGAAAAAACATTAAGACAACTGTCAACCCAACGTCAAATTAGCGGATATTGATACTTAGCGAGAAACCAACAGTCTTCAACATTAGAGATGTTTAAATACAGTGACAAGCTCTTAACTGTCCCGAGTCTGTAAAAGTTACAATTATTGATTCAGAGTCCAGAGTTGGTTTTTATCTGTAATTAACCTTAATCTAGTATCATGTCTATATTCTGCCACTACCTTCAATACCAAGTAACGATCCAATGTTAACAACAATTCTTTAAGTAAACGGAAAAAACATTAAGACAACTGTCAAGGTTTCTAACATGAGACATGCATGCAATCTAAATCAGAAACTGTTCTGATACATTTTTGTACTTACTCCATCAATCCTCTTTTTTTTCCGATATATCATGTATATGGGCTACACTTCCATTATGGAAGTTTATTTTTATCAAATATATATTACCCCAATAGTTCCAAATTTTTCATTCTGGCTGCGGGATTGCTCTAATATATGTATATATATTATTATTTTTGCTGTTAATATATAAGCCTATAAGGTTTATTATTATCCCTAAATACACAAACACACACTAATAGGTAATACTAATACCATCATCTAAAAAAAAAGATATGACATTTATTTAAAAAAAAAAATGCTTAGAAGAAATGGTATCTAAAATAACAGCTGCATGTTAAGTGTAAGAATGACTAACAAACAGGGGTTCAAATAAGTGGGGGTCCGAGACCTGTCTTTTTTACATGTTTTAGGAAAGGACTTTTCATTTTTAAATTACAAAAGTCATGGACCTACCATTCTTTTCACTGATGCTTTATACAGGACCATTGAATTTCTTATGGAGGACCTTTCACTTAAAATAACAAATGGTCCTGGACCTTTCATTACTTGTAGCAAATTTGAACCCCTGAATAAATGTAGTTTCACATTTTTTCACAAAATGAAAATAACACTTTATAAATTTGGTGTGGAAAGTAATTTTCTGGATTTACCTTCAGCAGGAACAATCAAACTAAAAATTTGGAAAGCCAATGATATATAAGTACTTGAATACATTAAGGATGTTTGCTCCTCTTGTTTTTGAGTTTTTGCCAGATATTCATGATATTTGGAATCCTCTGGTTTTAGCCATGTAGTGCCATTAAGAATTTTCCCCACGAACCTCTACTTTTCTTTCCATAATTTGATTACAAGGTTTAAAGTGTCATATTTCAAAATCTTACAAAATCCTTGTTATTTTTTCATCATTTTTGAAAGAAAAAAGTGCCAATGTTAAATGTATGAAAAATCTAGAGAAAATTATTTCCCGCCAAATTTTCAATGGCTTATATCTTGAAAACAAGCACACAGACCCTTCATTTTTTTCTGTTTTTTTAGTTTCTTTATTTATATACTATCAATTTATAATAGTCTTTTAAAAAGCTTGTTATTTTGAAACAGAGTAGCGAACATCCTTAAGGTGAATATGACCAGAAGGGACCTACTTTGTAACATGTAAAAGGAAGAGCCAAATCCATTTGAGGTCAAATTTGCCTGAGGGAGTTGGAATCTTAGTTTTCTTAATAATTTCTTAATGTACATGCATCCAGATATGTTATGAATCATGTCAGTACCATAACACTGACTTTTAAGCTGATGTAAATGTAGTGTGGTTCTCATTTCTTAACTAATGTGAATCCATAACAAAAGAAATATTGATAAAGAAAAAGTATGCATACCTCAAGAGACTATAATTGTTCAAATGTGCATCTGGTGCAATTAATTTGGTACTGTTATTTAAAGTTATTAAATAAACTAACTTAATTGTCAAATATTATCCAATGATGAATTAAATCACAGTACAGATATTTCTGAATTAAACATGCAATATAATGTACGGCAGCAGAACATTAGGTTGGTTTAATCATGATAATGGTCAATTGATGCACCAAACCATGTGAATTTTGTAATTAAAACTATATTATGTATCAGCACAAATCTTCCTGTGCAAGCTAGTCCACATTTCAGTTATCAGATATGTTTTCACCAAAAATGTACATTTGTAGTACCAGTTAGTGTAAAAAAGAAATGTTTAGCTAAATGAATATAATAACACTGTTTTCTCATATCTACTACCGGTATATGCATTTTTACAAACACACACAGAGGAAGTTTTCTACCAAAAGATTTTCCATACATCATGTACATTATGTGTGAGCTCGAGACTGACAATGACTGACAATCATGAAGTGTTTTATTTTGCAGTTTATTTGTTCTTGTATGGTTCTACATGAAAACAAATTAATGATTCTCAATAATCTCCATCAGAAATGATGGAGATCTGAAACAATAAATCAATCAATTAATAATAATCAAATGGATATTCCTCAAGTAGCAATACAATAATCTGACATGTAGTTAATCTAAACATTAGTCATTCATGCAGATAATAAAGTAATTTATAATTGAAATATATATATAATTTATTTTGCAGCAAATACCATTAAAAGAAGGGTCAGCAAGCTTCAAAGCATGGAAAGCTCCCCCTGTTCCTATTTATTTCCAAATATGGGTCTTTGACCTATTGAACCCTCTAGAGGTAGTACAGAATGGTGCTAAACCAGCTCTAAGACAGAAAGGCCCATATACATTCAGGTAACAGTACATACTATGGAGGTACTTTTATTATTTGATTTTAGTTTTACTGTTTTATTGTCAAGCAAGTGACATTTTGTAGGGAAAGCTAGACACAGTTATCCTATACATTCCCAATGAAACATATCATATTGAATGAGATTGTGAATCAAAAGGATATACAGCTGGACAATATCCCTCAATATAAAGATTGTGAGTCAATAGGATATACAGCTGGACAATATCCCTCAATATAAAGATTGTGAGTCAATAAGATATACAGCTAGACAATATCCCTCAATATAAAGATTGTGAGTCAATAGGATATACAGCTGGACAATATCCCTCAATATAAAGATTGTGAGTCAATAGGATATACAGCTGGACAATATCCCTCAATATAAAGATTGTGAGTCAATAGGATATACAGCTGGATAATAGCCCTCAATATTATAAGAGCAGTAAACCTTTTATAATATAGTAACAAATATTTCAGCTACATGGTCTGGGAACACAGTTATCGTCCTTTGATTTTCTTTGTCTGCAACTATACTCCCTAGTGTGGACAGTGTATCACTGGCAATTTTTTTTCATACCCCTTCTGAATTTATTTCTTCATGTTTTATGCCTAAAATAACAAGTAGGGGGATGAAATTACAACTGTTAAAAAATCTGAGTTTTGAATTTTAAAGTAAGGTAGTGATTTGGTCCAGTTGAAAAAGGTTAAAAATTAGTACCAGTATGTCTGAAGCTGTTTAATAAACCGAATTCAAGACCCTCTTAACATAAAATTGTCCATATTTTGAATTAGAGCTGATGAAGTTTTCTATAATTTTGATATAATTTGTCCCAAAAGTAGTACACCACACTGTAAAAATATTATTGAGAAAGCTCAGGTTCGAAATAACTGTGTTCTCGGGCCACATTGAGGATTGTTCATCCTATACCTACAGCTCTGATGCATTTAGCTAAGCACACAATGCCTATTTTTGTCATGATATTTATCTATAATTTGCTTGTGTGAAAATATGGTTTTACTGGAAACCTCTCTAGCTCATACCATTTAACTTTAAGAAAAAAGTATAGAATGCAATATCTGTTAAGGTGCAATATTTTTAACTCATTGGAAATGCTCTTTTATTTTTAGGTATATTTATAAAGGAAGACCAGTAAAAATATTGGCAAACATGCATTTTTACATGAAATATTTAATGTTTTATTATAATGTGGTGAGTTTTCTTTTCCAGAGAACACAGACAGAAAGGTAACATCACCTGGAATAATAAAGATGGAACAATTAGTTACAGAGAAAAAAGATCTTTTAATTTTGAAAGAGAGAAATCAGCTGGACCACAGACTGACACATTTACTACAGTTAATTTGCCCATGATAGTATGTAGATATAGGTTATTATGGTCTCAGATCCACGCACTGATGCATTTATTTCTAAAAATCCATCAATATGATTTGCATAATTAGGAATCGTTACTGGTTGGGATTTTTGTTGCAGGTAATTTTTAAAAGATCATGTTCACGGGACATCTTTTGTAATAAGTTTAAACAACATGTCTGCTTGAATACATTTTACTTGTGTTATTCCACTTTTTGTCGAGCCTGCAACAATTTTGTCGCAAAAGCAAGACATAGCAATCGTAGATTCCGGCAGCGGTGGTGGTGTCAACATTTAGGTTCAGTCTGTGGTTAAAGTTTTTTTTAGACTTCAATAACTTTGTCAAACCTTCATGGAATTTTAGAAAATTTGGACAGTAGCTTGTTAATGACCAAAAGACAGTATCCAGCACATAAATTTGAAAATATTAATTTTTATTTTTCCATACTTTACAGATAAATGGACTTGGGTTTTTTTTTTACATTTAACAAATGGATATAGTCTGGGGTTAAAGTTTGTTACACATCAATTACTTTATCATAGAATTTTATGAAACTTTGGCAGAAGCTTTTTTATGATTAAGAGATAATGTCTGAAGCAAACTTTTTGTATTTTTTTTTTCATTTTCTGTTTTTTTTTTATAGATGGACTTAGTTTTTTGTCGAGCCTGCGACTTTTGTCGCAAAAGCTAGACATAGCGATCCTACATTCCGTCGGCGGCGGCAGCATCCACAAATATTCACTCTGTGGTTAAAGTTTTTGAAATTTTAATAGCTTTCTTAAACTATCCTGCATTTCAACCAAACTTGGACAGAAGCTTGTTTATGATCATAAGATAGTATCCAGAAGTAAATTTTGTCAAAAAAAAATTCCTGTTTATCCGTATTTTACTCATAAATGGACTTAGTTTTTTTGCCAGTTAACATTGCATTCACTCTGTGGTTAAAGTTTTTCAAATTTTAATAACTTTCTTAAGCTATCCTAGATTTGTACCAAACTTGGACAGAAGCTTGGTTATGATCATAAGATAGTATCTAGAAGGAAATTTTGTAAAAATTTATTTCCTGTTTTTTGTATATTACTTATAAATGGACTTAGTTTTATTCCAGTTAACATTACGTACCTTCTGCAGTTAAAGTTTTTAAAACATTTATTAGATTCATAAACCTTCTTGGATTTTTACCAAACTTGAACAGAACTTCTTACAATCAAAAGATAGTATCTAGAGGAAAATTTTTAATAATTTTTTCCCCATTTTTGTTGAGCCTGCGACTAACAGCAAAAGTAGGCGAGACACTGGGTTTCACGGAACCCTTACGAATTTTTACAGTTAACATTTACAGACATTCTGGGATTAAGCTTTTTTGACATGATAAATTTGTAAACCATCATGGATTATTATAAAACTAGAACATAAGCTAATCTTCAAGACCATGAAATAGCATCTAAAGAAAAAGTTTGAATTTTTTTTAAATTCTGTATTTCACTTATAAATGGACTCACTTTTTAAGTCAACATTACACTTTTACACTGACAGCAGCAATCCCAGACGTGACACAGGGTTCCGAAGAACCTTTTTAGAATTTTTTGTTAATGCATAATGTAAATGAATAGGATGTACTACACTATATATGTGTTTACTGGGGATCAACAAAGATATATTACGCAAAACAAATGATAGAATAGTTTAAGAACTACAAATACAATTACTTTATAAAACCAATTATCGGCCCATTCACTGCATGTTACATATAATGATTACAAATAGACATGAGTAAAGAAACAATAATAATAATGCTTATGATAATATGGATTTAGCTATAGCAGTTGTTTTCTCATTGTGAAAGGTTTATAACAAACCAAACTAAGAACTGATTTACCTCTAATGCCACAAAATACACAGATTATCTTACAAATAATTTGGCTACTTTGTGATTTTTTTTTTAATTTTTAGCATCTCTGTTCATTTTTATTGGGTTGAGAGTTATCTCCCCTAAATCTGTATCACCTCCCCTTAAGGGCATATGATACAGATACAGGGGAGGTAATGATGTCGCTAACATAAAATGTGATTTTTTTTTTAATAACATTTTAGTCAAAAATTCACCGTGAGATCTAAACTGTATCGTATGCCTTTAATATTGTTAAAGGGTCTTTATATATCTGAAAAAATGAAACTGTTGATAGACATAATTGAATGAGAGACTTAATGTTTTTTTATTGAAATACTTGTATGACAATGACAGTATGGTAATAATCATGGTATGAAAAGTCATTTACTAATTGGAGTCTCAAGTCACCTGACCTTCTGATGAAAACCATAGAATATAATACCTGTAATATAATACTATTTTTATGAAATATATTGTATGAAATATGTGAACTTTTTTTTCTTCTTTTATATAATATGTAAATTAATTTTGTACATTTCCCAGTACGTTTGATTTCCTTATTTTTTCAGACTGTTGTTGAGCTCATAAGAAGAGAATTTGGGTTTATACAAGAACTGGTGGAATTAATATTAACACTTGCAAATGAAAATGAGCTATTTTTGACACTTTCTATAAAAGATATACTTTGGGGATATGAAGACAATCTCCTAAAGAAGGTTGTTGACTTTGCAAAATCAATTGGACATCCTATAGATTTAGACGACCATTTTGGATTATTTTACAATGTAAGTTGTCTATTAAAGATAGGTTTTTAGTGGTACTTATACAATATTTTCCTCTTAACTTTATAGGTATAAATAAATGGAGATGTGAGTCACATGTATATATCAATGAGACACAATCCAATGTCTTCTCACGCCCTCTGTACTGTGTGAGTAAACACTTATTGTAGATGTGAATGATGGAGTTTCAATTGTTTATTTAACCCTACACTGCCGGCTACAGTCACCCAGGCAGTCCAGGTACAAAACATTGGTCCGAAGACGCAGAAAACAGTTGCACAGTACTAGTATTGGAATCATCTCATTTCTTTTAACAGATCTTTTTATGAGATATTATTTTGTGTACATCAACATCAACTTTATATCTTATCATTTACCAATGATTTAATATAAAGTGGAATTAAAAACAGTTACTGTTGTTTTATAGCCACACCAGCTATTTCAGACTTTCTTTACTTGATTATGTTTCAATCAAAGTGATTTTATCTGTTACACTTTGCTTGATTTCACATTTTATTAACATTGTTACATGGAATTAAATTACTTTAAGCATTAATAAGAGTATAAGGAGATATAGGGTATACATCAGTGAGAAAGTTACCCAACAGTACAGGAAAACAGGATAAGACATGTAGAGGTCAACTTGCAATTTTCTAAAATAATTTCTTGTTTTGAAAATGAAGGTATAAGCACACATTGTCATTAGCAATGAACTAGAGCCTATTCCATTTGTCACAAGCTCTAGATCAAGCCCACAATTATGCAAGTTGATAAAACAATCTTCAATTTTCAATAACACCAAACTCTTTAAAAGATAAGATAAAACACTTAGAAATGTTATAAAAAGATCCCCATTAATGATGGTTTTTGACTTAAGACAGACACAATAAAGTATTGCAAGGTAAAACTTGTTTGTACTCAAGTTTAGAATAAAAAAGTCCATTCAGAATTTTTTTAAATCGGCTCAGCATAAAAAAATCAGTTCAGTATAGAAAATTTAGTTTGGAAAAAATATCATTTCCGTATAAAAAAAATCAATTCAAAATTTTTTTAAATTAGCTATGGATAAAAAATTAGAATCAGTTAAATATATTAAAAATCAGTTCAGAATGGAAAAAGAATCAGTGACAGAATATAAAAAGAAACAGTTTAGACTATAAAAAGAATCTGTTCAGATTAAAAAAAAAACAGTTCAGAATTAACATCAAATCAGTTCAAAATATGAAACAAAATTAGTTTGAAATAAAAAAATCAGTTTAGAATTTAAAAAAATCAGTTTAGAATTTGTGAAAATCAATTCAGAATTTCAGAAGATCAATTCAGAATTTTAAAAATCAGTTTGGATTAAAAAAATCATTTCGAATTAGAAAAATAGTTCAGAATAAAAAAATCAGTTCACTATTAAAAAAATGATTTCAGCATAAAAGATTAAGTTCAAAATAAAATAAAGCCCTTTCAATTTTTTTAAAAATTATGCTCAGCATAAAAAAAATCCATTCAGAATAATAAAATAAGTTCAGTATAAAAATTAAGTTTGGAAAAAAATTCAGTTCAGAATAAAAAATCCTTTCAGATCTTTAAAGATTCAGTTCAGAATTAAAAAAAAGATCAGTTCAGCAAATTAAAAATTTGGTAAGAATAAAAAAAATCTTTTAGAATAAAAAATCAGTTCAGAATATAAAAAGAGACAGTTCAGAAAAAAAAAACCAGATCAGAATTTAAAAAAATCATTTCAGCATAAAAAGAATTAGTTAAGAACCCAAATCAATAAATTTAGAATTTAAAAAAAATTAGTTCAGATTAAATATTCAGTTTAGATAAAAAAAAAAAAAAAGTTCAGAAAAAAAAAATTTTCTTTTGGTTAAAAAACCCTTATTTATAGTGATTGTTTTGAAAGAATTGTTTGCTAATACTCTCAAGTATTTGTCTTTATTAAATTAAATCGAAATTAATGGGTAAAAATATATAATATCTTCTTTTATAGCAAAATGGATCTGATGATGGACTATACAGTATTTATTCTGGAGTTAAGGGTGCAGAAAACTTTGCTTTTATAAAAACTTGGAACAATATGAGGTAAGTTAGTTATCTTTGAAAATTGTTGAAAAGTTTTGACGTATCCATTGTATTGCCTCAAGTCATTACAGACATTGGACATATAACAGGGCTATTATGAAAACACCCATTATTTATTACTATATTAATTGACTATATCCCTTTTTATTATACCCCCGCTTTAAAAAAGTGGGGGTATACTATTTTACCTCTGTCTGTCCGTCCATCCGTCAGTCCATTCATTCGTCAGTCCATCCGTCAGTCTGTCTGTCTGTCCCATGAATATTTTTCGTCACATCTTTCTCAGGAACTACATTACAAGGATTTCTGAAATTTGGTTTCAGGGTTTATATGAGTCAGCTATACAGTTCTGTATCCCCCCAAATAGAAAGAAAGAAAATTCCGTAGATTACAAGTACATATAACCCCATTTTGGCATATAAGTAATAAGGCTGCACTATTTTTAACTATCGTATATAAGGAAACTATAATAACTGATCCATGAATGTTAATTTGTCTAACAGTTCAGATTTCATGAGTCCTGATAATATAGAAATAAGAAGATGTGGTACGATTGCCACTGAGACAACTTTCCACCTGAGACCAAATGACATAGAAGTTAACAACTTTAGGTCACCATACAGCCTAAAACAATAAGCTAAACCCATACTGCATAGTATTAAAGCTATAAAAGGCCCCTAAATGACAAACGTAAAACACTTGTCTTAGTGATAACCTTGTTATGTGCATTTAAGGCATCAATTAATGAGGTAATTGATTCATAATTTACCCTCACTCATAAATAAGAGGGAATGTCAACGTTTTGACACAATGTATTATATTCTTTATCATGCATGTTCTTAGCATCTACAAAAGAGAGGCGAAAGATATCAAAGGGACATTCAAGTAGAAAATAAACTGACAACGCCATGGCCTAAAAAAGAAAAAGACAAACAACAGTACACAAAACACAACGTAGGAAACTAAAGACTGAGCAACACGAACCCTAATTACATCTTCATTATGTTTTGTACCAAGTTTCCTGGATTTAACCTGTTCAGGGTGAACCATGATCATGTCTTTGCAACATCACAGTTAAAGTCATTGTTTTATGTATTTCAGCACTTTACCATATTGGACCACAGAAACATGTAATGTGATAAATGGTTCAGGTTAGAATTTCAGGATGAAATTTATATTAGAACAGAATCCATAACATTACAGTTGCAAAATTACTTTGAATTAATACCTTTTTTAAACGTAAAAAAATAACAAACCTACATGTACATGTATGTAATAAAATAGATAGAAGTAAAATTAGAAAGCCCTATAACCAGTCAGGGGCATTACTTAAATAAGTAACAATTAAAATTACCTATACAAGTAATGTTGAAAACGAGGCTATTTTAAATATTACTTATATAAGTAACTTTTCTGAATATCATTTTTATAGGTGTCCAATTATACAGATTTTAGTAGCTTTAACAAATTTTCACAGTCATCTGGTTATTTTTCCCATGAAATATAAAATCTAATCCTTCTGAAACACTAATTAACTTTCTGACGCACGTATCTTTCATACTGACGCTTCTGGGTCAAAGATTGGTCTCATGGGACTATTAAATTATCATTTTCCTCCAAAATCTTGAAGGTAGACTGATATAAATAGATAGATACTTGTGAATTAATTAAAACTTGAAGTTATTTATAGCTTGTAACCAAAATCAATTACATATGTTCCTTCAATAAGTGTTATTACTATTTTTTTCAAAAATGTATAAATAACTTATTCAAGTAATATTTTTGTCATTATTTTTAAAGTAACCCTTTATCTCTATACTCCTCTCAAATCTAATAAATTCTTTATTTTATGATATAAAATGATGTAAAAATTCATGAAAACTACATTTAGTCTATGCTTCTATTGAAATTTAAAATAACTCTATTAAGTAATTTTATTATTTTTAAAAACAAAAATTACTTATATAAGTAACTTAAAAAAATAACTTGTTTAAGTAACGCCCCTGACTGATAACAGTTGAATCCATACACGAGACATTGACTTGCTGTTGAATACAAATTTGTTACTCGGAAAGCACTTTCTAACAACAACTTGTTCAGTTTTATATTAGTATTGGACTAGATGTTACATTGAACAACAATGTTATTCTATTCAAAAGAAATTATGCTGTCATTAATGTCAGTAAAACCATTTTATTAGAAAGTTACTGTCAAAGCATAAATTTTCATTGCTGTTTATATTTTATTTAGTTGAAGATTTGTTTTATCTGCCTCCCAAAAAAATAACTAAAATTTAATCTTTTTTTAAACAAACATTACTTTTTTATACCCCGCCGTAGTCGACGAGGAATTAAGTGTTACCCTTGAATGCCCTTCTTTCCATCCTTCCTTATGTCCCATTTTCGTTTCCGCACTCTAACTTATGTTTGCTTCATGCAAATTTTTTGAAACTATTACTAATGCTATGGACCACAACACACAGAAATAGTTCGAACTTGGACAGTGAGTCACTTACAGTTCTAGAGTTATGCCCCTTCATAACTTAAAAAATTGCAAATTTTTTTCGTTTCCACTCTCTAACTTAAGTTTGCCTCATGTAAATTTATGAAACTCATACACAATGCTAAGAACCAAAACATTCAGACAGAGTTCGAATTTGGGTAGTGAGTCGCATACTGTTCTACAGTTATGACCCTTTATATCTTAGAAAATTGCTAATTTTTCATTTTCGCTCTCTTAACTTAAGTTTGCCTCATGCAAATTTTATGAAAATCATACACAATACTAAGAACCAAAACTGCCAGACAGAGTTCGAATTTGGGCAGTTAGTAGTTTAATGTTCTAGAGTTATGCCCCTTTTTGACTTGGAAAATTGAAAAACTTGAGTGGGGCATTCCTGTCCTCAGACCTTAATTTTCAAACCTTAAAATGTTTTCTACTTTAAAAGTTTGAATGATTTTAAAGCTATGCATACATTCCATACAATATAAAACATTCATTCTGATATACAACATTACACTGTATCATGCAAGGTAAGAAAGAAAGACTTAATCTGTGTTTTTCATTAAAGGTATTTAAAGAAATAGTACATGGGACTATAAATAATCATGTTTAAAATTGACAGAAAAGTTTAAAAAAAGAAACCCCAATACACAGAAAACTAAAGACTAAACATCATTATCTCCCACAAAAACAAAGGCTTAACTCGGGTGATCTGAGAGGTAAAACAATTCCTGCTCCACAAGTGGTATCTGTCTTGCATTCTTGTATAAAGTATAGTGTGTTTCAAGTTTTCTAAATTTGAAAGTGGCATTTAATGATTCCTCTCTTGGTACTTATCCTTTGACTATAAACACTTTGTAAAGCGGGGGCCTAATAACTGGAAGTCACGAAAGATTGAATATAACATATGACATTTATGGTAAAGTCCATACAAAAATATTTCTGTTTTTCAGATGGTACGTTGTTTCCACCCTTTGTGAAGAAGGATGACAGGAAATACTTGTTTTCTACAGATATCTGTAGGTTAGCACAGTAGACCACTATCTTAAGGGCCTTTAACTTCTCTCAAGGGGTTTTCTTATCAAGACATCTGGCTTCATAGACATATTTACACTTGCATGCAAATTTTCTGCCATTACTCAAAATCTCACAAGTTCCCAGCAAAATTTTGCAACACAATTTAAAATTTTTAAAATCATAATTAAAAATTGATTGTTGCATAATGTCAGAAGGTTCAAGGGTCATTTGGAGAGAATTCAGCTGAATACCCAAAAGTGTAAATAAGTATATTGAGGTCCATGTATTATTTAAGATTTGAGACTACAAAGGCATGTGCCTTTCCCCCATCAGGAATCTTGTCAGTCTAATTACGTTGTATCTTAATGATTTGTTGTTGATGACAGAGTTTAAATAGATTCTTTTAGATTTACTCACAAACTTTTTATTTTGATGATTTAGAGCTTGATATAGCGTAAATTCAGAAATTATTGCATGCATTTATTATAGCGATTTTTGGAAAATGGCCAAAAATGCATGATTAATTATTGCGATTTTTAGGAAAATCTGCATACAGATACCTGTATGAGATATCGGAAAGCGAGTTCTTATTATTGTGATAATCACCCAAGTCGCATTATTCGCATTAATAAAAACCTCGCAATAATTTCTGAATTTACAGTAGTGTAAAACACATGTTTGATGTTGAAGAATGTATGTTGTCTTATCTATGTGTAAACCAATTTCCTTTTATCTATAGGTTCATCAGTCCAAATATTGTTTACAAATTATAATTACTGTTGATTCATTTATATTCATGAGTACCAATGTTTTTGGATTGAGGAGCAATTATATTTTCATGGATATTTTATTTCATGGTTGTTTTGATAAAGTCTGCATACCTGCCTATAATTCCGGAATTCAAAATGCCGGCTTCCTTAGTTACAGACAGGGAGATAGAGAATTTTATGCTTGTCGTCATCCAATCAGAGCCATTGATACAAAATAATCGCATTAGAATTGTTGGTTCACCTTTACCCTTTATGTTATACATAATGAGACACCATTTACCAAATATTGTTTGATGTTTTAGCTTATATAAAGAAAACCATATTCAATGAAAAAAAGTTAATTCTTTTCATTGTTGTTTTCTCAGATCAATTCATCTTCTGTTTTATTTTCTAATAGAGAGGTGACTGTGAAATTGTTTTTCTATGTGCATTTAGTGTGAACAATTCTTAATCTATCAGATGTTCAAAATGTACCAGTTAAGACTACGTTTATTGCACATTTCCCTCTGTATGAAACATTTATGTGCAGAAATGGGAGTAATCTTTTATCAAATTTAAATGGTAGTAAAATTCTATACTAATCTCAGTTTGAATTTTTGAAATATTTTGTTAAGTTAAAATGATCTGTTGAATTTCTGGGTTTTAGGGTTGGGTTTTTTTATGCATTTTTTTTAAATTACACTATATGGGTAGGGCATAAAGCATGTCTTTATGGTCCATTTGATAATAAAACATTTATTTTCTCTTCACAGATCTATTTATGCTACATTTGATTCTGATCAGACAGTACGAGACATAGATTTACTACGTTTTACCGTCCCTCCAAGAGTGTTCTTAGATCACCTTCACAATCCTGATAATGAAGGTTTCTGTACACCACATGGTGTTTGTTTACCATCAGGTCTGCTGAATGTTAGTTCCTGTAAACAAGGTACTGATTTTTAAATTTTATGGATTCATTTAAATTATTTTTATGGGTAAAAATTTTCCTGTATTGAGGGAAGATAGTATTTTCAGGGAATCTTGATTTCTTGTTTCTTCCAAAGTTTGTTTACATACATGCATATATATGAAATTTGTACCTTGCTGAACACTTTATTTTTAGTTCACCTATACCCCCTAAATCCACAAAAAGTGGTACCCAAGGAAAAATAAAGAATCCATAGAAGGATAAGAAACTTTATGTATGCTATTGGTCACATGATTATAACTGTATCAAAATGGTCACATGATTATTACTGTATCAAAATGGTCACATGATTATTACTGTATCCAAATGGTCACATGATTATAATTCTACCCAAATGGTCGCATGATTATTAATACATTTAACTACTGTACTGTGAAGTAAAATACTTCATTCTACCATCCTTTTCAATATAATCATGTTGTTAAAGAAAGAAAACTGTTTGAAAGAGATAGAAAAAATAGCAATGATACTTGCATTTTATAGGTGCTCCAGTTGTTATGTCACTTCCACATTTCCTATATGCTGACCCTGTGGTACAAGATGCTGTCTATGGATTAAATCCAAATAAGATAGAACACCAAACAATACTAGATATTGAACCGGTAAGTTTTTCAACATTCAATTCACAAAATGTAAAAAAAACTATTTTATATTTGTTTTGTTTTGTTTTGTTTTGTTTTTTAGTTCTGGAGTTTGTACTGTTTTTATCATTCTCTTAAATATTAATTTAAAATTCTCAATTCAAACACTTTTGTATTGAAATAAGCTATTTTATTGATTTATTTTTAAATGAAATGCAATTTAATGCTGGTTTAATCTAGTTTTCAATAGACAGTTTTGATTCTGTCTTAGTTTAGGATATTATTTTAGAGTAGTTCCCCTTTTGATAAGGCCTCTCTTCAGCAAATGTGGACTTTTAATGGGGGTAAGTTATGGTGAGGGATTGAATTACAAAGAAAATAGTGTCTTCAATTCCTACTAAAGAAGTGATTTTTGTCTCGCCTGCGACGAAAGTCGTGGAAAGCCAGACAAAGGGATTGCTTTTCCAAAGATGATGACGACGACGTCAACATTGTTAAGTTTTCTGCTTAAGTTAGTTTGCTAGGAACTACTTGTGATAGATCAATGATATTTTGTATGAAGTTGCATTACTATCAGAACATATCAGTTTGAAGACTATTTTGAGGCCCTGCCCCTTAGGTCATGGTCCAGTACTTTGAATTAATTGGCAATTTTCAATAGTTTGGTAGGAACTACTTCCAATAGACCATTTTATTTTCTTTAAAGTTACATTACTGTCCGTACTTCTCAGTTTGTTGACCATTTCAAGGTCCTTCCCACTAGTTCATGGTCCATCGACTTTGAATTAATTACCAATGTTAATAACCATCAGATTGTCTTTTTCTGAATTTTATGCTGACAGGCAAGACATATCTCTGTGTCAACAGTTTATTTCTATTGAGAACTTCAGTGAAAGCAGACACAATTTGCATTAAAGTTTAAAAATGTATTACATTTTTACACATTAATAGAAGCCTTTTCTTTTTCTTTTCTGATTACATTATTACAAATTTATATTAAATATGATTTTTAGAATACAGGAGTAGTAATGAATGCTCAAAAGAAACTTCAAGTTAATGCCTATATCAGAAATGTTTCCCACATTACGTAAGTATAAGATCACTATATATCTATATAGCTACATACCTGAAACAAAACTGTTTTTCAGAAAAAAGTGCTGCCCTTTAAAAAAAAAACAAGCAAACTCCTTTCATCACCTAGTGTTGAGGGAGGTCATAGGTTTGATAACAGCATGGCATACCTAAGACATTATAATGTGTATTTGTTGCTGCTCTGCCTAGCACATTGCATTTTAGATCTAAAGAAAAGATCAGAGTCAAAAGAATGTGTCTGGGATGGATGACATATATTCTGTTGACAGTTACTTGTAACCCCTTCAAAAATCTTTGTGTTGGGCTTGGGTAAATATCAAAATATCATGTTTTTATCCCCAATATGATGAAATATTATCTATGTGGTGCCGAATATCTCTCCATTCATTCTACAACTCAAACACCTGAAAAAAAGAAAGAAAAAGAAAATACTATAATGGTAGAAACATTAAAAAAAAAAAAATTCTTAATTTTATTTTTCGTTTTGTGAAAGTGTTTTACAAATTTTACTCTAAAACTTCGAGGATGTATGAGTCTGCTTAAGTTAAAAATCAGCTTAATTTAGCAATAAATTAAGTTGCAGTGACTGTTTATTCTGGTTACGTTTAATGTTCTTCATTAATTATCATAAAAGTGCAGTTACTCTTTGCATACACTCTTACACTATAATTGGTAAAATTTAAAAATATTCTTTTTTTCTCACTTATTGATGTGTTTGTAAATGTTGTTTATTTCAGACAAACATTACAAATAAAAGATCACATAGTGTATCCTGTATTGTGGTTAAATGAGGTTTGTATCTGTTTATATATGTATATAAACTTGTATGCCTTTCTAAATTGCAAGTAAGTCTTCTTTCAAATTGCATCCAAAAATAGCACCAGCATGATCATGAGTAGCAGTAGATATTGAGGTAGGAACAGGATTTGGTGAATCAGTATTATTTTCACAATTATAAATTATACCAGTTCAAAAAGCTGGTACTGAAAAATGATATTTACCAGGAAAATATGAGAAGTTCACTTTTTGGGCTCCTTTTCTAAAAATTATTATAAATCTCACAAACATTATTCTTCAGATGTCTACAAGACATTATAATTGGCTATCAGATAGCACCATTTATGATTTTTGAGTTTGTTTTAAATGGTTTTTAAGTCCCCTACCGACGAAGTCGAAGGGGACTTTAGGTTTGCACTCCGTCCGTCTGTCTGTCCGTCCGTCTGTCCATCCGTCAGTCTGGCAAATCAGCTTTCCACACTTTTTTTCTTCATTCTTGAAGATTTTGATTTGATATTTGGTATATAGTTTTATCATGACAAGTTATAGATCAAGTTCCGGTTTGATGATTTAGTCCAGAGTTATCATGGTCCATATCTAATGTTAGAGTACTACATTTTGTATGTTAAACCATATTTCTGTACAAAGAGAGATAACTCATTTTTTTAAAGACATTCTTTGGTTAATTGTTTGAAGTGTTTTTTATTTTGTATAAACTAATTTTCTGAATGCTATATACATAAAAAAAAATTATGAAGTGAAAGATAATAATCTATTTTTTTTTAATGTATATATTTCATTACATTACATTGTGTATAGATAAAAGTTGTTGACATTTTATAAATAAGTTACAAATCTATATTAGTTTGTGACAAATGAAAGAAAAAATATTTGGAACTATTAATTATATTTGATTATAACTTGAAAATAAATATACATTGTATTACATCACATCTAATTTTAGAGAACTATTAATCATATCTAATGTTAGAGTGTTTTCCACACTTTTTTTTCATCATGCTTGAAGATATTGATTGATAATTGGTGTATAGTTTTATCATGACAAGTTACAGATCAAGTTTTGGTGTATAGTTTTATCATGACAAGTTACAGATCAAGTTCAAATTTTTGTTTCAGTCTGTTAATTTTGTGCAGAGTTATGGTCCTTGGACTTGAAAAATTCACTCATATAATCAGTTTTCCACACTGTTTTTAGTCATGCTTGAAGATATTGACTTGATATTTTCTTTTTGTTAATACCATGACAAGTTATAGAACAAGTTAGCATTTTGTTCCAGTATAATGAATTTTTACCTGATAGGGGACTATGTATTGCCATGCAATACTCTCAGAATGCTTGTTTTTTTTTTTTTTTTTTTTAAATATTTGCTTCAGGGTTTAATGATTACATTTTAAAGTATTTTATGGACTCAGCATAAAATTGAATGCTTTAATTATAATATTTTAGAGTGCTGAAATTGATGATAAGTCTGCCAAGGACTTTAAATCAGCCGTACAGACACCCGTCCATATTACACAGGCTGTTCAGTATGGTTTGATTGTATTAGGAGTACTTTTCATTATTGGTGCAGCATTTTGGTTTGTCAAAGTAAAAACTAGTCAGACGGTAAGACTACTTAAATGATTGGTCTTTTTAAACATTAACATTTACACATGCACGGCACTAAACACATTTATTTAAAAACCAGTTGTTGGCATGACACGGGTTATGTTCTTCTCATATATGTTATGATGGTATGATACTAAACCCCTAACGGGAAGGATTGTGCCTGATATTCATATGATGAAGACATAATCTTTCAATCAGTTTAATTGAAGTCTGGAGCTGGCATGTCAGTTAACTGCTAGTAGTCTGTTGTTATTTATGTATTATTGTCATTTTGTTTATTTTCTTTGGTTACATCTTCTGACATCAGACTCGGACTTCTCTTGAACTGAATTTTAATGTGCGTATTGTTATGCGTTTACTTTTCTACATTGGCTAGAGGTATAGGGGGAGGGTTGAGATCTCATAAACATGTTTAACCCCGCCGCATTTTTGCGCCTGTCCCAAGTCAGGAGCCTCTAGCCTTTGTTAGTCTTGTATTATTTTTAATTTTAGTTTCTTGTGTACAATTTGGAGTTTAGTATGGCGTTCATTATCACTGAACTAGTATATATATTTGTTTAGGGGCCAGCTGAAGGACGCCTCCGGGTGCGGGAATTTCTCGCTGCATTGAAGACCTGTTAGTGGCCTTCTGCTGTTGTCTGTTCTGTGGTCGGGTTGTTGTCTCTTTGACACATTCCCCATTTCCATTCTCAATTTTACATATCTCAGTAGCTTATTAATTACCATAGTGACTACTGTAGGTGTTTAAACTTTGTCCCAGTCATATACAACAATTCAAAAGAGAAAACCAACACCCTTATTTATGAACATAATTATAGATTATCGTTGATCATCGCTTGAGCCGATACGGCGAAAGTGAGAAAAGCAATTGAGTCGAGATGACCAATGATAATCTGTTTATCGCTATTTTACCTATGACGACGTTGTCAATTTCATAAGAAATGCCACATGCCCCTTAGTTTCTAGCGATAATTTTTCATATCACTCAACTCCACTGAGAAAGGAAATTATCAGTCAGCAAGATCAAAGGAAAATTTCGTAAAATAGCGATAAATTTATTTAACATACATACCTTCATAAATCCTTGCAAAGCCAAACATAGTCTTTCTTCATCATAATTTCAATGAAACATGCCTTTACAAAAAAGGCTGCTACAGGCTACCCATGTCGATCACATTAAAATCTATTAAATTTCAATTGTAGAAAGAAGACGAGTTGGTGACTGTGGTGGACGATAACCGAGACACAGCCCACTTAGTTGTGCAGTAGCCTAGTCAAAATAAGTGCAAATGGAGTTACCAAGATGAAATATTATTTTACTCCTTCCAATGATTGACTATCATTATACTGTAAAATTGGAAATTTTCATATAGAGTTTATTTTGAAATGCAGATAAAATCCTGAAGAAAATCTCCTTGAGGAAATTTTTTCTTTAAAGATCAACATTATGCACAAGAAAATATGAAAATAAAACCTCATGAACCGGTTTGACCCTAAAAATTGTGAAATTTAAACTCTGCAAAAATTTTAGTGTTTTCCCTCTTCAGTATCACTGACTTCACATATTGATATCTTTCTTAACTGTATAGCAGTTAACATCCTGTTGTCAAAATATTAAATTAATAACTTTAAAGAAGCGTTTAGATACCTATTTTTGATCATGTTTTTTTCATATTTAAGCTTTTTGTAATCACATTAGAGTGTTTAGATACTGTATAGCGGGTTATTTTCGTGAGTGTAAAATTTCGCGATTTAGAGGCAACAAAGTATATGAAAAATTTTGGGGGATTCTTTAATACCAATTAAATAATTTGGCGTATACTGGAATGGTTGCATTTAAAAAGTTGTAAAAATTGATAAACAAGTGTCTATTATTATGGTTAAATGATTGTTTTACCTGCATGACATCTTATTTATTAATTATACTTTGATACAGTTAATCAATAGAATACCGGTACTTATATATTTGTCACAGGTGTACAAACTTCTTGTAAATGTTACATTTGATTAGTTACGAAATTGACCAGACTTTTTATGTACTGATTAGATTATAAAATTATCAAGAGTGACTTGCAACTCTTATATAATTTGAAACTAATTAATAAGGATAAAATACCTGACAGAGTACCTTACACTCTTATATTAATTGACACCAATAAACTAATTAACACCTGACAGCCAGTGAATAATGCTCGTTGGCATTTATGTTGTTCAAATTAACATAAACCGTTATTGACCCATCGACCGGGAATAAATAGATCGTTTACAAAACACTTTAGCTATTAAAAAGTACCGAACGTATGCATAAATTTTCTCGGAATTTATTTTCGCGATTTTCCTTTACCCGCTATACAGTATCACTGATCAGGTAACCAATGCTCTGTGGTCGGTTATATTCATATTGTTAAAACAGACTGGTCCTCCTTTCTTTTATTTGTTTTGCATTATACATTTTATGTTGTGTTAACAATGTCAAACAAATACGATTGACAATTGGGTTTTATATAACTTAAGAAAAGAAATAACTCCCTAAACTTAGTTATTAATATAGCTTACTTTAATAAAATTAGTATTTTTCTAAATTTAAATTTTATTGATCATTCCTTGGAAAACTAAGTATATTTTTTTAAACCAACATCATTTCTGCATATTAGTTCTTAACTTCACATCAGTTTAATTTTAACTTTTAGTGAATTTTGATCCTGATATATATACCACAATTTTACAAATGTTTAAAAAAACAGATAATGTAAAATCTTGACAGCATCCTAAGTTTTGGTATAATGAGAGTCAATCATAAATTTGTTAACAAATTTACTGTGATAATGGTGCATGTTTAATTTATGATTCTTTTTATAATGCTTTTATATATTTGTGTTTGATTCTACACAATTATAGTCTTCCGTTTAGGTCAATACATGGTTTTATTGTCCCAATGAAGTATATATTGTCTGAGGACACAGTCCGAAGTCATTATTCTTTTATGTATCAGAATAAAACACGTATTGACTGATATGAAAAGGCTATAATTGTTTTATTGTAACATCATATTATTCAAAAGCTGTGACTTATCAGTCAATAATGAACATTGAACATAGACTTTGTTTCTGTCCATTTCTGTTCAATTTTGCTCTTCTGTTGAATATGGGCTATCACCCCAGTCCTTCTATCGTGTTTCATTTTTTGTCTTGCCTGCAATGAAAGCTGCGGAAGGGAAGACATAGGTGTTGCTTTTCCAGTGGCGTCAACAATTGTTAAGATCAATGATATTTTCTATAAAGTTGCATTACTAACAGTACATGTAAGTTTGGCAACTATTTCGAGGCCTTGTGACCGTAGGTCATGGTCCAGTGACTTTCAATTAATTACAAATTTTCAATGTTAAGTTTTCTGCCTAAGTTAAATTGATAGGAAATAAATATGATAGACAATGATATATTCTATAAAGTTGCATTACTATCATTACTATTTGACCCGCTGCCCTCCATGTCATGGTCCAGCAACTTTGAATTAATTAGCAATTTAGCTGTCTGTCAGATTGTCTTTTTCTGAATTTTCTACTGACAGTCAAGTCATATCTCTGTGTCCACAGTTTTTTATTCATTTTAGTAAGACCTGGTCATTAGTTGTTTTTATATTAGAAACATGTGACATGGATTAACAAATCTCAGTTTTTGAATAATATCATGTTATAATGATAATGTTTGCGTAAAAGGAAACCATTTATTGAACAATTTAATTTACTATTGCCATCATTATCATCGTTTTTTATTGGTTTGAAAAAAAAAAATATTTATAGTTATAGTTCATTATGTCTAGTTAGATTTTTTATTAGACAGTATGACTAGCTATAGCCACCAATCCACTTTAATTTGTATAATAGGGTATGCTTTGTCAAATGTTAGCTTTTTTCATTATTGCTTGAAAAGTATTATTGTTAAGTAAATTTGAAGGTATTGAAAATTTTTTTTAAGGATTTCGGATTGGTCCATGTTTACATCCTGCACTGATAAAAGTAAATACTCAAATAATTATGTGTTTCTAACATCTTCCTGGCTTGAAGCAAGTCAAAAATATCTTAATAATTTCTTGATTTGCTTAAAAATTTTAAAGGAAAACACCACAGATATTACAATGTGTAGAGAAGGAACTGCTTTCTCGTCTGCAGAAATTGATCTCTCTTTGTGTTTGGCTGAGTGTGGTTGCTAAATCTTTAATGTTTTTGTGATGTTTTGTAGACCTGTCTTTTTGTGCATATTATTCTTATAGCAAGTGATGTCTTCCTAAGATTTCATCCTTGTTATCTATTAGCTTTTATAGCCTTGATTTGTTTTACTGTAATCTGAAGAGTTTAACATGACCACAACAAAGTGTGGCCTTATGATACATGTGTGCCATATTCTGTATTTATGCTTTTTCCATTCATTCTATTTCTCTCATTTGTTATATAGTATTTGGTTATACATTTATTACATGCTTTGCATGCTGGTTTAGTTGATTAGTTTTTGATCCTTTGAAATTTCATCCTACAAGTAGCACAAGAATAGTTATCTCTTTCCAAACTTTATATCCTATACTTTGAAATATTTTGAAAACTGTTGTTATAAAAAAAATGAAATGATCTTATTTTTTTTCTAATTTTGAAATCTTCAAAAACACCAAAAAAAATGCATTTGTTCAATGAAAATGTTCAGAACATTAAAGGAAAAATCAGCCTATTGCTTTTTGCATTAAATCATATTTATTTAATGGACAGATAAGCATCTATGATGGCTATTTTGTTTGAGATTTACCAGTATATGTAATATTTGATTAATTTTTACCATATAGTTGTGATGAATGTGATTGAGGAGTGTGAGGCATACCTATAATTACCTGTATGTCTTGCCAGCTCTCATTGTATCGTTAGGTCTGTTTCAGAATAAGTATAATAATAGACAATTAAAATATTTTCTGATTTTCTGTTAGACTTCATGAGTGTCTGGTTGGGGGTTAATGAATTGGGAATAATGGGGGAAAAGTGCAAATAGATAATGATTTAACATGATATTCACCTTAAACTAGCTTATACATGAAACTCACATGAAAATTTTCACATGAACTTTACAAAAAACAAGTTTGTATGGTTCTTGATTTTAATTAAATTTAGAAATTGAAATGATATTTGAATAACTTTATTTTGAAAATTTACGTGAATTTCCTGTGAAAAAAAAATCATTCGAGTTTCACATCTCTTGTGAAACTCATGTGAAATCGGTTTACATGGTTTTAGCTCGTTTGAGGTGAAATTCATCAGGAATTTCACTGGTATTTCATTTTAACATGAGATTCATGTGAGTAAAATTTCTCTGTCTTGAGAAAAATAGACCCCAAAAAATAAATAATAGAGAAAAATTGTTTGCAAAATATAAAGAATCAAGAATAATGGACAAACAAATAAAGAAAATAGAAAAATGGCCAAAAAATTTAAAGAATACAGAAAGTAAGGACCCCTCAGCCAGACCCTTCTCCAAGGAAAAGAGTTTTAAGATGATTTAAATCTTAATTCTACAACATAAGTTTGGTTTTACAGTCCTGTCTTTTTTCAGGGAGAATGTAAGAACTCTAAACCTGCAGTCATGCTTTGATGGCTTTGAAATTTAGAATTTTAAGTTTCTTGTAAGTTCTGTATAAGAAGAACTTATGTTAGACTGTTCAATTTGATTTTTATTATGCTTTTACATAAATATGCAATAATCTTAGACTGGAGAGAAATGCTTGGCATATCTAAGCAATCATGTTCAGTGATTTAAACATTTTTAAGCATCCAGGTACCTGTATGTATTAGAATGACAGATTAATTCTGAATGAAAAAAGACTTCCTTTAGTCACACCCTTAGAAATGTTTTGGCAGATGAGGGTAAAACTATCGCTGTTTTAACAGTTTATTGGTTGTTATTCGTGAAGTGTTGATATGTACTATTTGGTGCAGGAAATATAGTGACATTGCTTTGAGATTCCTATATGTATAACTTATTTTATATTTTTGTATTTTTTTGACAGGATTAGGAAATTTTAAAGCAATCTTTATTTGAATTATGATATCCATTACATACATGCTGTATAGTACTGAGCTGTTAATGATATTTTTGATGTGGGAGGTATTTATAGTGTTGAATGGACTGGATATGAACTTGGCAAAATTTATTTTAAAGAAAACTGAAATTGTACAGGACTATTCCAAAATTAATTGTATGGAGGTTGGGAGTTTGAGGCATCTAGTATGAATAATATAAGGGTAGTAGGGTTTGGAATATTTATTACACAATAACATTAAATTTCTAATTTAAATTGTATAAGTGGGCATCTTGGGAAAAGTATTTTCCAACCCCATTCTTTTAATCTTGGAATAGCTCAAATTGCATAATGAATATTAAGTGTAGTTGGCCCAGTTCATCAAATTGTTTCAATATATTTCAGATGTGGACATTTTGGGAGAGAGATATCTCTGTTCAAAAGTTTATTTGAATTATTAATTTCTTTGTATTCATGTTTTTATTTAAGTCAAATAAAATACTCATTCTTTGCTTAATGTGAGCTTTTTGTTACAAAAATACAAGACTCATGACAGACAAAAATTCACAGTTTATACGCATATTTTGCATATAACCATTATAACCATTATACCAAGCTACCTATTAAAGAAACCCAAGAGCTTTTTTGCAAACCTACTTTTCCATGTCTAAACTTTTGTTTTAGTTAAAAGGAGAAAAAAAATTCTTGCTATGGAAACAGGTAGTTGTGGAATGATTGCCAGTGAGACAACTTTCAACCAGAGTTAAAAGGAGGAGAATGTAAACAACGATAGACACTGTATGGCCTTTAACAATGAGGAAAACCCTTCCTATATATAAAGTTGTAAATGGCTGAGCAGACTTACCCCCGGTAAGTTTTCTAAATTTTCAAAAAATATATATGAAATTTTTATGAATTCTTTTTTTATTTGAAAGGTATAGCTTATAGAAATTGTAACTAAAAATAATACTAGAGTTGGTACATTTGCTTTGCTGTACATGTGGGAAAAAAACATATTGATAAATTATTGAGTGCATTTAATATTAGGATTTTTGAAGAATGGATGAAAATGTGAGATTCATTACTGCGAATTCAGGAAAATATGCATACATCTATATGTATCAGTTATCAGAATGAGAGTTCTTATTATTGCGATATTCATCAGTTGCATTATTCGCCTTAATATAAACCTCACATTAATTTCTGAACTTACAGTGGCGTTTTTTAACAATATACAAAAATGTCAGATAATTATTAGGAAACGTTACATGCAAATAATGCTATAAAAATTTGAAATGTGAGTTGAATTTTACAAAATATACTAGTCACAATTTAGCCAATAAATTAGAACATCCCAATAATTTCTGAAGTTACAATAGTACCACAAGCTTTTGTCGTAGGTCATTTTTAATGACAACAGCATGTTACTGATGAGTTATGGTACATGGTTCAAACATTTGCCTCATTGTACATTTTGTTGGGGCTTTTATACATACAAGGAAATTTGAATTTTTTGGTGTCTTTGTAAAAAATAAGTTTTGTTGATGAAGAATATGCCATGGTGTTCAAGGAAACATTGTCTTTATGTTTGTGATGAAAATAATGTTCTTTTATATTCACAATAGCCAAATTCCCTGGCAACAATAAATAAGTAATACCTCTGAAGGCCCTCTACAAAACAACAACCCATGGCTTCCTAACAATTGGATAATTTCTATGTACAGATTCATGAACGAATGTAGAATAAACTGAAACTAAAACACTTGACACAATGACACAGTACTAGTATATGTAAGATTGCTGTTTTTTCTATGTCAAGCTCGTCCTGAATATTGATGAAATATATGCCACTGTACATAATAAAAGAATACTCAATATATCTCAACTATCCAGGTTTATATTCTACACATGTGTCTACTCAATATTGGGATATGCATGTTAACCCAAAGCAATTAAAGTTCATTGCATGCTTGTTCCTTAACATTAATGCTAGCTGTATCAGTTACATGTATTTATAAGTGTATCTCTGTATTGATTTGAAGTTCTTGGTTAATACAACTTTTGAGTCTGGTATTTCGACAGTGGTTGCTGTAGCAGCAATTTCCACAATGGTGAATATAACAAGAGTATGCTATAAAATTTCTGCATTTGACTAGGCTGAGTAGTTACATACAATAAAAATGAAGTTAGTAGTAATTAGGAAATACTTATGGTCTGACAAGTATGTTGACGTGTTGAAAAAATGTTGTACAATACAGATTAAATAGTTTTCATCAGTTAAAACACTTTTTACTTCCATTTACACATTTATCTCGCGATATCGTGCTCGAGGGAGGGCCCAGTAAGTCTTGAGGCATGAGGAAGGAAGGTCGTGCGTTAATTCTCCTGGGCGAAATCAAAGGTTTGTATGCTAAAAACTGATCTCAGAGTTAGAATTATATGTACAAAATGCAGAAATCCATTGTAGGATTACACGTTTTTTCTGTTGACTTGACTTGTTAGCTGGTAAACTGCAGGATCTATAGATATCAATTTGACATTATATTATATCTTCCCGAACTTGTGATATTTGTGGAAGGACGTTAAGTATCTGTCAACAAATCAATTGTCGCACTAACCTTACAAGTTGAATAGTGAATACAGATATTAAGACTATGATAATGAATATTTTAGGGACCATGCACAGGGTAAAATTAAAAACCGATTAAGACAATATTTTTCATTCCATAAAATTGTTGACCGTAAATATCAAGTTATAAAAAATACATCTTATGAGATATAGTGAAAAATAGCAATAGATGTAAAGGCTACACTATAATCTCAGTTGACGTATCATCAGGGTCACACATATCAAAACAAAATTATTAATAACGGAAACTGTGTGGGTAAATAAAAATATGTGATAACGGCGTTCACGCGACTAAATATTTTCGGATGAAAATATGGTCACCTTGACGCCAACAAAACTAGTAGGCTGTTTTATGTTCGGTATTGTATTGGTTTTGGTAGGCGGAATTGTCGATATTCTTTACCATGAAATTTTGCCAAAGAGGATACAAAAGGTAGAGTTAAAACATATTTTCATTTCTTAAACCTAAACAACTATCTTTTCATATATATATGTATATTTACAAATACACAATTTATCTAATCAAACGAGAGGATATTTCATGCATAAATATAGATATTACAATAATGTCAATCTAATTAAAATATAGATTTCAGATTTCTTTATACTTATATGAGCTTCGACACAAGTAACGATAGATGCCATTTTTACAAAGGAGTTTTTCTGCCAAATTTCGATGTGGAGTGGCACCACACTAAGAATCGAAACGGGGAGATTTGAAAAATTACTTTTAGAGGAGCGAGTATGTGATAATTGTAAAAATATTCTAGAAGATGAAGCCTATGTTATTTTATCGTGTCCATTATATCAAGATGTTAGAAAAAAATTATTTGATGAAGCAAACATTTTAATAGTGATTTTATGTCTTTTGATGATGAACAGAAATTGGTGTTTTTATTCTTTATTTACAGATATTAATATGATTCGTAGCTGTGTCAAAGCCTGTTATCTTATTTTTAATAGACATAGCAATGTTTTATACTGTAAATAATGTACTTATAAATATTTTTTTTTTTATAATAGACGAATTTCTATGTTTTAGCATTAAAGTCTCTTATAATTCTGTAAATAATAGCTCTCTATATCTATATGTTACACTAAATGTAATGTTGTATAATATATATTATTGACAGATGAGACTTCAATACAATATTGAATAGATCAAAATTTTAATTAGATTGCAATACTGTTAACATGAGGACCAATTGTTATTAGAATTTGGTTTTCGTGTTGCTCACACTTTTACTGCGAAGTAAGTACAGCCACGGGTATTAGAGTTCAGAACGCCATGATTTCATATTTTCTTTTATTAAAGACTTTAATTGAGTCTACTTTAAGTAACTTTTATGATTCCTTTATACGGTATTATTACATTTGCAATTATAATTTTAAGGGCCTGCATTTTTGATCATCATTATACCGGTATAAAAAATTAAGTGCTTTTCCAATACTGATTTTTAATGAATTTTCTTTTAAAATATGTACCCTTCTGTTGTTTTCCTCTAATCGATATTTAAAAAAACTAGTTTAGTCCCCAACCACCTAGCTGTCTATGTGCCTGTTCCAACCTTATCAACAGTTGTCTTTTGTAAAATTTTAATGTTTTTGTCATTTAGGGAATTGGAGTTGATGGCAGAAGGGCTTATTTAAGAATAAAATTACGAAAAAATTGCCTCGCAAATGTGATCTGTATGAATGATCAGAATGCTAGTAAGGCACAAGAAAAATTTAAATGTGAAATAAAACCTCGAGAACAGGTTAAACTTTAAAAATGGCAAAATTTAAAATCCGCGAAAGTTTTCCACGTAACAATAAGATATTTGTGAAATCTTCATCTAAATATACAACATACGCGTCAAAATCATCTTTTTTAAAGATTGAGCATAATATACAGTACCATGTTGGAACGAAAATGTTATTAAGCGAAACGGGTTAAACCAGCTTCAAAAAATTTGTATTATTTGTCTGGAGATCGCTATATTTGATACCAAGACTTCCAAAATCACCGAACGAATTTTATTAGAGATAGCAGAAATAAGTTATATCAGTTTATTATGAAAACTATATTTTTTAAACAGGAAGTGACTCTCGAGAAGGGTTCAAAAATATACGATGATTGGGTGGAAAATCCTGTTGCAACATACTTTCAAGTTTGGGTGTTTGATATTCAGAATCCTGAAGAAGTAATAGAAAGAGGCGATAAACCGTTTCTTGCAGAGAGAGGCCCCTACACATATAGGTATCACATTTTTCTTTATGAATTGAAGTCAAATTGTTTTACTAAATATGCTGCGTTGGGTTTTAATCTTCCTCGGGAATGCTCATAGCCTAACTTTTGGCGTAGTTATATAAATATACTGTGGGTCACTGATTACAATTGATATGGACTGGGCATATACACAACTATTCTTTTAGTTATATAATAATGGACAATAGAAACAAATTTACATATCATTACTGTCAGTTGTACTCTTCGAGCATATATTGGATCATAAAGATAGAATCGGGAAAAAATAGACTCTAGACGTCTTTTGGATATTCGTGTCGATGAATTAATGTAACATTGAAACAAACTAAGAAAAAACTGCGATTTAAGTACGTTACATAACAAGCCTTGAGACACTGAAAAATAAATCAAAGACAATATACAACAAAGTCCTATGTTGTATCAGTATAACCCTTATATCTTTAAATATTTTGTCAGGGAATATAGACAGAAATATAACATCACGTATCATGCAAATAAAACCGTGTCATACAGAGAGCTACAGTATTATGTATTCGATGAAGGAGCTTCTGTGGGACCCGAGTCTGATAGTATTACATCTGCAAATGTCCTGATGATGGTATGTAAACATAATAATTGTGTTATCGTTTGGAAAGGTTCTGACAAATTATTGTGCATTTCAGATTTACTTTCACTTATTTTTTGATAAATCAAATGTTTTATTCTTTTGATATTTATTTAATAAAACCTGTGCAAAATATTAATTAGACAGCAATCAATAGCCCTTTAAACAAAAACAAAAACATCTCTAGAGTTCAAACGTCCATATCCAAAGCACTTGTTTATAAAAGTTGCGAATGAAATTAAAAGACGCTGTCAACAACACAAAATTCTTTAAAAGACAAAAAAAAAAACAGCATTGAGAGATAACAGCAGACAAGCAAGTGACGAGGTTCTCAACCTGAGACCGGCACATCAACGTTAAATATCTGTTTAATGTCTTTTTGAATTTCATTGATTTTTATATAAATGTAGTGCTATTCTGCACTTTCAATTCGTTATTTCGGAGGATAAATTATTTGCCGTTCTTCCTTAACCTTTTATGATACAGCTTCATTTTATATTAGTGTTCTCGTGGAATTGCTTATTGATAGAGGTTACTTTTACCGCGTTTAAAAATGCAATTGAAAATTCATATAAATTATAGATCAGCGTGTGAGTTTTAATGTTTGGCAACTTTTTCCCGATTAAGATTGGCCATTTTTCGTAATCGATGGAGAGGTCGATTACATACGGTTCGATTGAAAATAAAACATAGGTCAATTGGTCAATAAATAGACATTGGAAACTCGTTTGTGTACATTTACCATGAGGACGAATCACCAAAAGAGAACAAAACAACAAACATTCTGTTCTTTTGCTTGATTTCCATAGTATTAGGTTATTAGGAAGAAGTCATCACAAAAATATGATGTCAACATTTGTTTTGAGCAGATAGTTCTATCATCATATATACATTACTTTTTGTATAATAGCTTCTTTTTTTGTAATATAAATTATTTTTTTTAGACACTCGCAGACATCATTAAACGAGAATACAGTTATGTTAAAGAGTTAGCAGAAATCATTTTGGATGCAACAGACGACAGCAAGCTACTCACTAAATACACAGTCTCCCAGTTGTTATGGGGATATGAAGACCCCCTTTTAAGAAGAGTAAATTCTATACTACAAAAATACAATAAAACCATTGACAACAAAATTGGACTATTTTACGGAGTAGGTATACCAAAGTGCTGAAATCGGTCAAACTAGAATTATTATTGATCTATCATTCAGAAGAAAAAAACGTATCATATATATAGTCGAGCAGCCAATCATCCTAAAGCAAGTTTTCTTTCAAACAATCTAATACAAATTGCATTGTACCTTTTATATTTTTAAAGTATCGCAAATTACTTTCTCTTTTTGTGGAAATCTCTAGAAAAAAATCAATATAGAATCATACTCATATCAAAAACCAAAATCTGAATCTTCAATAAGGTGGGCATACGTCATAAATTTAATGATAAAGTACACGAACTTAAATGTGTACAAATTAACACTGCAAATACTTAGGTGTACACCTTAATTAGTGCCTCGGACTCCTTTTCCTTTGCTCAGAATGAACTTTACAAGAAAAGCTTAAAAGCATATCATAAACTTCAGAAAGACTGGCAAAATCCAAAATTAAAAAAACTAGCATACACTAGTGTATTTGATCACACAATCATATTTGATGGGACACTTTTAACTCAAATACAGCAAGGTTCAGAAACAGCATCATATCTCCAGACAAAATATATCCACATCTTATCAGTGAAAAACTACATGTAAAGTTTTGTAAATTTATTGATGGACCACTAACTTTGCTGTATTGACAGAACTTGGTCGTTTTCCACTTTACTATGATATTATAAAAAATATTCTCTTATATTGGAACCGACTTGAACATCTAGATAAATTTCCCTTGTTTCAAAATGCTTATGAACAAAGCAAAAAATTATATAACCAAGGGAAGTCATCTTGGTATGGATCTCTTCAACGTATACTACCAAATTTTATAAATATTACAGGGATTGAGAGAAAGAAAATCTCAAGAAGCAAACTAAAAAGCCATGTAAAAGATGTTTTTTGAAACTATGGGAAAATCAAATAAAAAAACATTCAGTAGGAAAACTTCGTACTTACTCAACCTTTAAGGTAAATTTTGGGTTTGAAAATTATTTATCTCGTGTCAATAATTTTTATCATAGAAGGAATCTAACGAAACTAAGAATTTCAGCACATCGTTTGCAAATAGAAACTGGCAGATACCAGGGTATCCCTCCACACCTAAGACTTTGCGGACAGTATGACTCGGATGAGGTAGAGGATGAGATACACTTTCTCCTTCATTGCACCAAATTTAGCGAGGAGCGACAAAATTTGTTTAAAACTATATCTCAGTAATTTTGCTAACATGAATCCTCCAGAAAAGTTCTTTTGGTTAATGGCCCGTGAGGACACATATCAGTATTAAGACATTTGAGTAACTTTATTCGTACTCACTGTAAATAGTTTAATGCTTTAATCATTCAGACAAGTTTGTTAAACTCATATTTCATATCCTTTTTTTTTAACTGCTTACTTGACTGGTTTTGGCACAGGGAGAATCATATTCAAACGATTCTTCAGCACCGCCCCTGGTGCCTCCTCCAGTTAAGCAATCATATATATGACCCTATCTTTTTATGTATTACTTCTTGGTGGCTTTGCTGGTTTCGACACGGGGAGATTCATATGCATATGATTCTTAAAAGCACTGTCCCCTGGTGTCTCCTCCAGCTAAGCAACCAATTTACCAAAATGGTTGTCTCCCCTTGGGTCACACTGCCGCAAACATCTTTATTGCAGTGAACTCAACATTTAAAATCTTCTTATATTGTTTTGTCATTACCACACATGTATTATACATTGTATTCTTGTACTGTATTGTTTGTATAACTGAATTATGATTGTATCTTTGGCATTACCCACTGAGGGACCTTAACTTGGAATAAACACATATTGTATTGTATTGTATTGTATAATGGATTTAATGTTAGTTTTCGATATTCAAATGCAGCTATAGTTGTTCTGGTTGCATGCAAAATATATTAAAAAACCATATTGAGAACCCACCTTGGCCATTAACGTATTTTTTCATGATTTCCAGAAAAATAATACAGATGATGGTATTTACACAGTTTTTACAGAAAGGTCAAAATTGGGACAGATAAGTCGCTGGAATGGGTTAAAGTATGTCAAGAAAAGATAATCCAATTATTACGTACAATAGGGGTTGAGGATTCATTAAGAAAATTTAAAATGAAAAAAATCAAATATTGAATTCGACAGTACTAACCGCATATTTGTTTTAAATTTTGTAGTGTCTGCAGGCTCTTCATGTTTACAGTTTCATTGCGAAACGTATAATCATGCTTATATATATATATATATAAAGGCCATGAACATGGTGGCGTCCTAATATTTTTATACAAGAAAAAAAAATATATAAGCTGATGCAGGTTTTTAATCAGTTTTTTTGTTCGCTTTTACACGTTCCGTAAAAAAAATTGAAGAAGCAGAGGAAATATTTTATTCTAATTGTTACATGGTAATATGTTATTATTTAACCTTAAAACTTTTTCCAAAGAAATGAATTGCTATGCAGTTATATAATTAATAGCGACTTTTAATATTCATTTGTTTTTATTTCAGGGAGCTTCCACATTGGACAACAAAAACATGTCGCATGATAAACGGAACAGGTATAAAGTCAATTAAAAAATGAACGGATTTTTTTACCGAAAATTAAAATACTTAGAGAAGTTACAATAAATAAACGATTACTGACACGTTCAGACGAATATCTGGCCGCATAATCAAAAATAAATTTTTATTTTTCATTTCTTGATCTTTTACGCTGCGAAGATAATAAGACAAGTGGTTTTAACATCCTGGCAAAAAAAAAGATGAAATAAAAAGATAATCTACAAAACAGCATACAGTTAACTATAGCTAGATCATGGAAGGGTATTTATTTGCTAGTGAAATCGCTATTATGAGCTCTGGCATGAGATACTTACATCGAATGGTGAGGGTGGTATTTTGCTATTCAAAATAGAAATTAGCGGTAACCATAGCGTTTGTCATTAATCCAATACTTTAGCTAATTGCCCATCAGTGAAAATTTCAGTAAAACAAAAATAAATAAGGCAGACCTTCTTGGCAAGGCAGTATTCTCGGCATAATTATATGATGTTTCAAGATATAATATTTTCCCGTCTGTAAGAATTTTTTTTTCATAACTTATACATCATGTGAATACAAGACAAAGACCACTAACAGAGTACCCATCAGGACATATATTGTCTGTTTTGAAATTATTCAACAAGAAACATGCTAAAATCGGCAAATATGTTGATGATCAGAAAGTGCACCATTTTGATAAAAAAAAATTCTGTATTTTTCATTGAATTTGCAAAACATGTTATATTTTATTTTCTACAAGAAACGGAATTTTTCGATTGTCAGTAAAAACACCCTTCTGTGTAATAAGAAGTTGTAGACAATCTTTCAATAAACTCATCATAGATACCAGGCTTAAAATTGTGTACGCCAGACGCCCGTTTCGTCTACAAAAGAATCACCAGTGACTCTTGGAAAAAAGACTTAAAAAGCCCAAATAAAGCGCGAAGTTTAAGAGCATTGAGGACCCAATATTACAAAAGGTTTTTCCAAATACAGCTAAGGTAATAACTACAACAATACTTCATTTTAAGACAGTTACACTGTTAGCTATATAACTCATCTTCCCTGAGGCCCTCATCATAGAAAAGCATAAACAGAAATCTATAACTCAGTAGAAAATCCTTAGTATTTCGAAAGTTCAAAGTTTTGTAAACAGTCAATTTATAAATATGACCATATCATTTCAATGATAACTCCAATACATTTGTGTTGTAAATACTTTACACATTCGAATAAGGAATTATAATTATCGTACTTTCTGTATCATAGTGGACTTTTTAGACTTATGCAAAATTTTACTGACTGTGATTGAAGACATTTGAGTAAACTTTATTTCATGCAAGAATTTACATTTGATTAACACTGTTGGTTGAGAAGGTGTCTTCACACTAGTTTGGCCTTCTTTCACAGTAGTTAAAATCTAAGAACAGGATGTACCCCCCCCCCCCCCCCCCCCCCCTGTGCAGCGTTTTTTATATTGAGATTGTGTTACTGATATAACCAATAAAAGGAATAAAGTTCGACTTCCTTTTCTTCTGATAATTATGCCACTGGCGCAAAATACAGATATATGATTTAGTATTAAAAGCACGTGTGAGTATTTATTGGATAACCAGATGAATTGAAGATTTTAAGTTTTTATATGAATACGACTAAGTCAAAATAGTGATATGTGCATATGAAAACAATATTGTCATATGCTTTCTCAGCTGGAACAACAGCATATTTATAATGCAAAAGTGCTTAGAGCACATATAAACATTTGTCAATAAAGCGTATATTAAAACAGGTCAAGTAGTAATCATATGTTCATGGTTTGTTTTTTTTAGAAGGTAGATTTTTCCATCCAGATGTTAAGACTAAAGACACATTATATGTTTTTGCATCAGATTTGTACAGGTGAGTACACAACTATGTATTTTACCCGAAACCTGTGTTCTTCGATGCACAGGTGAAACTTCATCGATATCTTACAAGAAACTAAGAAAAATAAGGTCAATCCAGACGCACGAAATTAATAAAGTGATATTTTCATTTACAAAGAATTCTCCTCAAACTGGTGCTAGGGAATATATCTTGATTTTGCAGCGAAGTATGCATATTTCATCAGTGTGGCTTTGGAATTACAGACATCTATAAAAGCCGTGACTGTTTCTTTGCCTTCGGTTTTGTAACTTATCTATATGTATCACTCAGCATAAATTAATGCACAATAAATTTTGATTCAATGAAATATTATATTCGAATTAATGTTTAATTTTATCAATTAACTTTCAAATTGCTTGAAGGGAAAGGTTGCTTTCATTTTCCATTGTTAAGTTAACTAAAAATTGGATTTTATTTAGCAGACCAATATCTATTTAGGCAATATTTTGTTTTGAGCCATATTCCTTTGTCCACATTTTTAGATGGAACACATAGATTTATACGCTATGCACTACTATCTGCAATTTATGTAATTTTGATGAAATTGTTTTCTTGGCAATTATTGTTATACACAAACACATCTTTTTGTAACTTGAATATCTGAGTACATGTTATAAAAAAATCGTGACATGGGCTTGAATGGGATTTTAAGAATGTTCACCTTACAACACTAATAAGTTTTGACTTTTCGTTGGTGTTCAGATCAATCTACTTCAACTTCTTAATTAGGCTAGAAATAATTTTTTCGTTTATTTTCAGATCATTCTACTTGGAATATTTAGGCGAGAAGCAAATAAAGAACATAAATTTATACAGCTATGTTATACCAGATAAACTGTTCGCTGTAACTGACGAGAATGCTGGATTTTGTACTCCTTACGGTCAATGCACACCAGCAGGATTGCAGAACATAAGCTTGTTCAAACAAAATGGTTTGTTGTTCAGCCTTGCGTTTATAAAAAGAAATTCTCACGCTTTTTATAAAACGGGATAACATATGCACATGTTAATTGAAGCTTGAATGGTTCGATATCCGTTCATTTTACTATATAGTATATATTCGTCTTGACTATATTCAGATACTATTTTTGATACGTAAAATGCTGGAATCATTTGACCTGATACAATTATGAAATCTGGCTAAATGAATTCTCAAAACATGTTCGCACAATTGTATTTGGAGTTTTAAAATGTTTAGCAATTTGATTATACATCTTATTGTTATTAGCATTTCTGTAAAATTCTTCTTCTCGAAGTTGTCATTTTTTCCATCCAGAATATTCATTCGACGTATCGAATACCTTTTTATCCCCCTCGCACCTGTTTTGCAGGGGGACATAGAAATACCAGGGGTACGTCCGTCCGTCTGTTCTTGTTAGTGCCCTCACAGGTACAATTCTTGCCAGAATTTTATAAAATTTATACTATAGGTTAATATTAGCAATATCTCGGACAAGATCTATAATGGTGGACGATCGACTTTTTTAAAAGAGTTTTGCCCCTGTGAAATATTAAATTTATAGAAAATCTCCTTGTTAGCGCTCTCACGGCACAGGTAAAATTCTTGCCAGATTTAAAAAAAAAATCGTATACTGTAGGTTAATATCAGCAATATCTCGGACAAGTTCTTTAATTGTGGACGATCGACTATTTTTTAAAGGAGTTATGAACTTTGGAAATATTAAATTTATGGAAAATGGCCTCGTTAGCGCTCTCACGGGTACACATCTTGCTAGATTTTTATAAAACTTAAATGAAAGGTTTATATTAGCAATGTCTTGTAAAGTTGTAAAATCAGTGCCGATCAATGATTTTTAAAATAGTTATGCCCCTTGAAAATATCAATTATATGGAAAATTGCCTTATGAGCGCTCCAGGATGTACAATTTTTAGGAAATTTATATTATAGGTTTATATCATCAATGTCTTTGACAAAATTCAGTGCTGATCAATTATTCATAAAGAGTTATGCGCCATGGAAATATTGATTATATGGAAAATTGTATTGTTAGCGCTCTCATGCGTTCAATTCTTGTCAGAATTTTATGAAACTTATATCATAGGTTTATATCAGCAATGTCTTTAAATTTTCGAAAATATAAGTTTTGATCAAATATTTTTAACGAGTTATGCCTTTTGGAAATATTACAACAAAAAAGTGCTTTTTAGTTATTGCCCTTGTACCTTGGAGAGATAAAATATGTGCAACGCGGGGGACATTGAAACTCTGTTCTGTTCTTTTATTTAATTTATTTCCCTCACCTTTGTAGCATTACATAAACTAACGACAGTGTTGTTCATCCTTCAAAATTTGTCTACCCTCATCTCAAACTTCAGATGTGCTGTTTAGAGCTAGTCATAAAATAGAAAAAATATAAACAAGGATTTATATATGATATTCAAATGATTTTTTTCTCAATTCAGCGATCTGTATACAAATCGTTTGATTCAGACTTTTCATTTTTTTCAGCACCTATTTATATGTCGCAGCCACATTTCTACGCTGGAGATCCTGATATTATAAACAGTGTGGTTGGTCTTCATCCTACACCAATAATACATCAAACAATTCTAGATGTAGAACCGGTAAACTAATGCTAAAGTGAATAGGTCTATAAACTCTCATGCCACATCTATCTTCAAACAACCAAACGTTTTTGTCCGTAGATATAGCCTCGAAAAATAACATTTTTTGTGTAAATAACATTAAATAAACTGCCTGATAACTGCATTAAGTATTTACAATTCACTCGGAATCTCTACAGTTAAGCCCACAACACGTACCAAAGAGGATATCATGAACAATCATGGGTTTGTTCTATGTTCTTTTTGAATTTCAACCAAAGATGAAGAACTTGATCTTCCTTCACTGTACTGGTTACCTAAATTACATGTGTGTCCTTATATAATTATGTGTTAGTTATATAATTGATGGGTCATCCAAGTGCTCAACGAAACCTCTTTCAAAACTATATCATCAATTTTATCAGCAAGCAAAGCCGGGTTTCAGAGTTATTGTGAAATTGCATACTCTAGGGCTGCGTGAATCAGATGTGGATGCAAAATATTCGATTTTTTTTTAGAGTGAATACAATATAAGTCTCTTACCTCTAGCAATTATATTAAAACGTTGATTTTTCTAACTTCTACACTAGTATACCGCGTTCTATACTTACAAACAGATTGAAAGAACTATTCCAACTTTGTTTAATAAAAGAGAATGGCCAACATAGATACAAATATCGTGTTTTAGGAAGGGATAATCATACTTTGTAAAAAAAAACCACTCCGATTCAAACTCAAAAATTCTCTGGAACTGACATCATCAAGATGCTTGCTTTTCTTTTATTTACAACATATTTGTTACACGTGTTTTTCAACAAACGCGAATAATTGGCAGTTGTTTTCCTTTTCTTGTTCATGTATCCTTTATTCATATGAGCAAAATGAAAAGAGACCAGCATTATATATCCTTTTACTTTAAGTTTGGTGACTATGTTGAACGCATCTATCCCATCGAATTTGAAATAAAGGATAACACAGACACAGTTAAGTTAGCCTCAAATGTTGACTTACATCTCGAAATTAAAATGAGGGAGGGCTTAGAACAAAAATTTACAACAAAACTAATGATTTCAGCTTCTCAATTGGTCACTTTCCATTTCTATGTAGCAACATTCCAGCAGCGCCTGCATATGGAGTTTATATCTCCAAGTTGGTACGATATTAAAGTTCTTGCGTTTCCTATATGATTGTATTGATACCAAGGAAAGTATTGAACCAAGGGTTCCCAGTGGTAAAGTTGAGGTCATCCCTTCGGAAGTTTCATGGATGTCATCATGAGTTGGATGACCTTTATGGAATATCTGTGTCACATATATACGACAGATATGTTCCAACTGTGGTAACCACAACCCAGTCAAATTTTCTTCGATTGTGACGTCACCAAATGAGACACCGGATCTGTTCTTACATGAGCAACACGACGGGTGCCACGTGAGGAGCTGAAACTGCTTACCTTTCCGGGTTAATCTATGTTCCTCTTGTTTTTGGTGGGATTCGTTTTGTTTAGTCTTTGGTTTTCTATTTATTGCTTTGTGGACGTGTTTGTCTCGCTTTTCGTAGATTTTAATTTTTTGCCATGGCGTTGTCAGTTTTTCTATAACATATGAGTTTTGAATGTTCCCTTGGTATCTTCCGCCTTTTTAATTTTGGGTATTAGATGTCATGGCAAAAACATGGAATTGGATTGCAATGTACATATATATCTGTTGTTGTTTTCAAAGAGACAAAAAATAAAATTATTAACTTGACGAATTAAATAGCAAGATGTGAGTAAAAAAAGAGGCGAAAGATACCAAAGGGACATTAAAACTCATAAGTCGAAAATAATTGACAATGTCAAAACATAAAAAGAAAAGAGGCCAAAAGACAAACAACTGTACACAAACCACAACAAAGAAAACTAAAGACCAAGAACACTACTCTTCAACTGTTTCGGTACTTATGCATCCCTCGGATTTCAAGTGTTTGGCATTGAGCGTTCCTGATGAAGGTAAATCCAGAAAAGCGCTTCGGACGCATGAAATTATTAAATGTGTTGTTTTCAATTTTTTATAACTGTTTCATTCTATAAAACATGTTGACATATGCAACGACCGTGAGTAGTACAGGAACTTGTCTCCTTTCCGGAGCATGAGTTCAACCATGATTTTTAGTGGTTTTGGTGTTATACTGTTGACTTTTCGTCATTTTCTTGTTTGGTCATGAGGTTTTCGGTCTTTCTTAAACTTATGTTATATCACCCTTAGTAACTTCTTGCTTTTTAAGTACAATTAGTTATTCGTCCACAACAAGTTACATATTAAATAAGGCTTGGTGACAAAATGGTTGATTTCAAGGTTTGCCTGAAAAATCGAAACTGAAAAAATGAACATATTTCAGACTTGATATGGAATTGGAAAAAGATTATTCAGAATTAAGAATATATTTGAATATACTGATTTACATATCACACTTACTATAGTTGCGATCTTTCCTCACATTGTTTATACCTGTATGGCACCAAAATAAAAAGAATAATCAAATACACACCAAGAAAACATGGTCTAGTTTCGTCGATCGGTCAGCCAAAAATCACCAGAGACATGTTTTCGCGGTAACTGATACCACGAAAGACAAACCGGTATAGCTGTCTAAATTTACCGATTGTGTCCTGTTCCTTACCCTGACCGTTTTAGCTTGATTCTCATGACTAGTTATGCATGCATAGCAGGAGATACTTACCCTGTTGACGCACTCACTCTTAATTGTTCCGTTTAAAGTTCGTGCATTCAAAATAAATTTTTGAACATCGGTAAACTACAGTTGCTGTTGCCTCTTATTTATGAACACTCACTGAAAATGTTGTCAAACTTTCTATTGGTTATTATCAATCTTGAAAGATTCTAAAATAATTTTTACTATCCTTGGATAGATTTTTAATGATGGGAAATTTGTTTCTGTATTTTAGATGACGGGTATCGTAATGAATATAAATAAAAGACTACAGATTAACATATATTTACAAAATGTTACGAATATCAGGTATGATAATAACATAAGCATTACGACAGCAACCGACACATCAACAAAATATCCCTGAGTGGTCTTCAATTTTTGGACTCCAGATTCGAGCACCTCTATTTAGTACCACCGCTTATAACTAGTTACGTGATAAATCATGGGTCAGAAACGGAATGGAGTCAATTCATGGTTAGAACATTCCTAGAACATTCCCATGAAACATGTGTCTCTTCCTTGATTATGCTCTCGGTTCAGATTATTTATGCACTTCTATACTTATATTTAAATGTACTTTCCTTTTTCCGTTTATACTTATTCACTGTGAAATATGGACATGATATTTATAAGACCGGTTCAATGACGACAATAATAAACACCCAAACGCATTTGCATGAGTCATGAGTACTCGGTACTTCTTTAACTTTTTACATTTTCACTTAATTTCGCAGTCAAAAAGAGAAAAGAAGCGGTTTTAATTTTCAGAACCAAACTTTTCTTTAAACAATATTTAATTTTCCATATATTTGTTAATAAAAACACGCTATAATTTGTATCCGATGTAAATACACCTTAGCTGTATTTGGCAAAACCTTTCTGAATGGTTGGCCATGAATGCTCTTCAAATTCGTACTTTGTTTGGCCCTTTTACTGTTTTTTTTTATTCGGGTGTCACTGATGAGATTTTTGTAGACGAAACGCGCGTTAGGCGTACAAAACTGTAAGCCTGGTATTGTTGAGTATTTTGTTCATATACAATTTTTGACAGGTACAAACCTGATGTATAATTAATTTTGTGTAAAATGGAAACCTCACTGAAAACATGTTTTTTGTTCAATTATTTTTTCTACTTTTCAGAGACTCTGCACATTTTACAGGTGGTCTGTATCTGCCTATGGCCTGGGTAAATGAGGTTTGTATATCTCTAACCATTTTATACATAAATACATATGCACATTAAAACATTAAAACATGTCTTGATATATATTTAGATGTAGTTTTAAAAAAGGCAGAGATTGTAGTCCCCTTTTATGTTCTTATGACCATGGTTTTATTTTCTGTTTACTTTATTTATGTGATCTGTAGAAAGAAAACAAAACTGCAATTCCTATTCCAGCTGATTAGAGAGAAGATACTTCATTCAATTTGAGAAAAAAAAGATATCTTCAATTTAAAATGTTTATACTTGAGGTGCATAAGTAATACATATGAAAACACAAGTTTCCAACTGTGACCTTTCCATTTATATTTAGCAGCATTCCAGCAGCGCCTGCATATGAAGTATATACTTCCCAGTTGAAACGATATTCTAGGGCTTGCTTTTTTATCATGATTTCCTTGATAGAGGGTTGCTCCTCATAAGGAAGCAATTAAACCAAGAGTTCCAAGGTGAGAAGTTGAAAACATCCCTTCGGAAATTTAATGGACGCCATCACGAGTTGGTTGATCGTTATGGAATATCTGTTTCACAGATGACGACGGATTTGTTCCAATTGTCCTAACAACCATCCTGTACTCTTTTCCTACCTTTCTACTTGAACTACCGAGTAAGACTTATTACCGGATTTGTTCTAACATGAGCAACATGACGGGTGCCACATGTGGAGCAGGATCTGCTTACCCTTCTGACGCACCTGAGATCACCCCCGGTTTCTGGTGGGGTTTGTGTTGCTCAGTCTAGTTTTCTATGTTGTGTTTTGTATACTGTTATTTGTCTTTTGGTCCTTTTCTTTTTTTTTTGCCATATGTCACTTTGGTATCTTTAGCCTCTCTTTTGACATAGGGTTGCCAGACATTTTGATTGTTTTTTGTAAATGTCGATAAGTTAACTAACCAACAACAAATTTTAACAGAAAATCGTCATCTCAACGTCATATGCTGATGTGATGAGCATCAACAGAGTTCTAAAAATTCCTAGATAAGCTACAATCCTTTCAAGGTAAAATAATATCCGTTTATAGTTACGATTTCTATACTCCTTATACTAAACTACCACATACAATAATCCGATTAAACTTTTCCTGTTCGATAAAATGGTCTTTTAACACATCTATGTGTTACTATTTCTGTTATAGTCATTACAAATCCCACTTCAGAAAGAAAAACTTACGAAAAATACCTTATTTGGAATAGATATAAATAAAACCCAATAAGCACATACCCATACAATATATATCTTCTTTCATTTGCAAACGACCAATGTTGCCATTCCAAATCAATATGATTTGTCAATAAAAGAATTAAAGGCATGAGTTTTGCCTTTGAAGTATGTCTTTATTTGCCTCCATGAATTCTAGCAAACATAGTTATTTTAAATAAAATGCCAAAAGAAAATATTTTTCCCATTAGAGAGTGCTTGCCTCCATGCATACTAGCAAACATATTTTTTAAAAATAAAATGCCAAAAGAAAATACATTTCTTGTTATAGAGTGCTGGTTTGGATGACAAAAGTGCCAAGAAGTTTAAGAGTGAAATACTGCATCCGTTAAAGTTGGCTGAGGGATTAGAATATGCCTGCATTATAACTGGTTGTTTGCTATCTGGCTGTGTGGTTTTATTTTCTTTCAAAAAATGTCTTTTCAATAATGTAAGTACCTTGAATAAATTCAAAGTCGGGCTTGGGCATTAAGCAAACTGTCTTCAAGTGTGAGGAAAACAATGACTAATACATGTTGTATTAGAAGATGATTTATTAAGAGATCATCTCTTTTATTGTTAATCTACACTGTGAAACTTTCGTCACTGCCATACTATAGCAAGACAAAGACTTTATAGATAAAGGAAAGGTCGTGATATAAGTGTTCTTATTTAAAAAATGAAAAATTGTTCTTCTGTTCTAGATGCTGAAAGTTATATGAAGATCCTTCCAATACAGGCTATAGCATCTAGAACAGCAAAACCCAATTTCCTTTTTTTTATAGAAATGAACACTTGTAGCACTGCCTTTCCTTTATTAGAAAGTCCATATTTTGATATGTTTGAGATTTCTAATTATCATTAATACCAACTAAATATCATTACTCAAGAAAAATGATTTAGTTGATAACACACTGTTATTTTATGAAAAGTAATAGCATCTACTGACCAAGTACACTTTCTTTTTAAAATATTTAAGAATTATTTGCATGTAAAGTAAACAACAATCAATGAATTCATGATCACTATAACAGAGAAAAACAAGGCATTTATACAATATTTCAGAAAAAAAGTTAACTAATCATAAATAGTTTTAAAATGTAAAAAAAGCAAAAACACTGCTGGACATATAAAACTAAAAAAAAATATCATCTTATAAACAACTCATCAAGTCTTTAGTTTGACCTGCCCAAGGTTTGAACCCCCTTACTCCCACACTCGAGGTGAGATGTTACCACGGGACAACCAGATACAATATACATGTTTTGTACATGACAACATGTATTTTACAAGTTTTTAATTCAGAACTTCATTTTTGCAAGTAAATATAATAATTTTACTACCAGTTGACCATTATTATATGCACAGTTTGCTAGCATTAATTCTTTGTTTCCTTCTAATTCAAAAAGATAAAAGGTTCTTTTACAAGTGACTTGCATGGAGAAGACAATAATGAGAACTCAAAGCTGATCAATCCAGATAAAAAAATATCCTCCAATTCAAAAAGAAAAGGACAAAAACCAAAAGTGATGTTTAAGGATGAAGATAATGATAAATAGTCAGTTTTCAATCAAAATAAAGTATGTGAAAATTGTGAAACTAATTACTCCTCAATCAGACAGTAGTAATTAGTTAATGCTTATTGGACTTGTTCTGTTTATCATGTCATCTATAAAATACAAATATATACACAAGTATTGATAACATCAGCATATATCATATACTGAGGATTCATCATTATTCGTTGAATACCAATTTCCGTGGATTTCGTGGATACAGATGAACCACGAAATTAAGTGTTCCAAGAATTACAAATTTTCTATAAGGTTATATGCAGACTTTGGCAAGACCACAAAATCAAATATCCACTTAAATGCCAATTTTCCTCAATCCACGAAAATTGGTACCCAAGAAAATAAATGAATCCACAGCACTAGTATTAATCTATATTTAATTACTCGTGGATGTATTATAAGCTTCTTTTGTAAGAAGTGAAAAGTCGATACATTTTGTATTTTTCTCATAAGCAAAATACCGCATGAAAATATATCTTGTATGTAAATTCAGATGCTCAACTTTTGGGCACTCATTCTCTTATACTAAAAATCTCTGTTATCTTATTTTCATTTTACAAATTAAAAATAGAACTCTGAATTGATTGTTTTATTTTCATTTTAGCCTGACAAAATTCAGTTTCATCTTTTACATAAGGAATGCAAAATATTATTGTCCTACCCATTACTCAATACTATTATTTCTTTCATTGATTAGGGAGAACCCCTTTTGTCGAGGGATAGATGTAGATTGTCAACATTTACTTTTATATATATACTAGCTGATATCTACTAAGACTGTGTTTTTGAATCTATGTCTGGTCATTTCTATAATGTCTGCATGTCTGTCTTTGGTTAGTAATGAAGGTGGCAAGGGAGCTCCTCATTTTCTATGCATACTCAGTGGCTAATTAAGGAGGGGCATAGAGGGGGCAAGGAAAGACAACACTATGACAATAAACTGTTATCACAGAGTTATGTCTCACTTTTTGGTTATTTCGATAATGTAAATGTTGAAATTAAAATAGCAACACTTTTACATGTAAGTTTTGCAAATATTCAAAGTCAATGAATCATGACTGAAGGTACATGCCCAAACAATCTCCATGGAAATGAGATGTGCCAATGCTAATACAATTGCATACCAAATACCATTGGCTTATCATAAGTAGTTCCCTTTAAACAAACCTGAACACAAACTAATACATGTAAACTAAGCAAAATTTCAAATTCAATAAACATAACTGAGGGGGCAGGGTCAAATAATCTCCATTGTAATGAGATGTACCAATGCTAATACAACTGCATACCAAATATCATTGACCTACCACTAGTGGTTCCCCATAAACCGACCTAATCACAAACTAATACATGAAAACTAAGCAATAGCTTTAAAGTCAATAGACCATGACTGAGGGGGCGGAACCAAATAATCGCCATGGAAATGAGATATGCCAATGCTTATACAACTGCATACCAATTATCATTAACTTACCACTAGTGGTTCCCCATAAACTGACCTAATTACAAACTAATACATGAAAACTAAGCAAAAATTTCAAAGTCAATAGACCATAACTGAGGGGGTGGGGCCAAATAGTCTCCATGGAAATGAGATATGCCAATGCTTATACAACTGCATACCAATTATCATTAACTTACCACTAGTGGTTCCCCATTAACTGACCTAATCACAAACTAATACATGAAAACTAAGCCAAAATTTCAAAGTCAATAGACCATGACTGAGAGGGCGGGACCAAATAATCACCATGGAAATGAGATATGCCAATGCTTATACAACTGCATACCAATTATCATTAACTTACCACTAGTGGTTCCCCATAAACTGACCTAATTACAAACTAATACATGAAAACTAAGCAAAAATTTCAAAGTCAATAGACCATGACTAAGGGGGCGGGGCCAAATAATCTCCATGGAAATGAGATATGCCAATGCTTATACAACTGCATACCAATTATCATTAACTTACCACTAGTGGTTCCCCATTAACTGACCTAATCACAAACTAATACATGAAAACTAAGCCAAAATTTCAAAGTCAATAGACCATGACTGAGGGGGCGGGACCAAATAATCACCATGGAAATGAGATATGCCAATGCTTATACAACTGCATACCAATTATCATTAACTTACCACTAGTGGTTCCCCATAAACTGACCTAATTACAAACTAATACATGAAAACTAAGCAAAAATTTCAAAGTCAATAGACCATGACTGAGGGGGCGGGTCCAAATAATCTCCATGGAAATGAGATATGCCAATGCTTATACAACTGCATACCAATTATCATTAACTTACCACTAGTGGTTCCCCATTAACTGACCTAATCACAAACTAATACATGAAAACTAAGCCAAAATTTCAAAGTCAATTGACCATAACTGAGGGAGTGGGGCCAAATAATCTCCATGGTAATGAGATGTGCCAATACTAATACAACTGCATACCAAATATCTTTAATTTACCACTAGTGGTTCATCATAAACTAGACCTAATCACAAACTAATACATTGTTGATGCCACCGTTGCTGCTGGAAACAGCATACCTATGTCTCGCTTTTTGACTCTGTCAGGCAAGACAAAAAGGAAAAAAAACAACAGATCAAAAAACACTAAACATAAAATTAAACTTAAAATGGGGAACAAAAGTCTGAACTTTAAACTGGAGTGAACTTTGGTGCTCTGGAAAGTTATGCTGTTCCTGATCAACTTGTGGTACTGGTTGTATTATTCATGACATATACAAATGTTAGCTGTCGCCTGATATTATAGCTGAGAAATGCCCTCTCAATTGAATAAACTGTTAACACAGAGATATGTCTCGCCTTTTTGTAATTTTGATAATGCAAATCTTGAAATTAAAATAGCAATACTTTAACATGTAAGTTATGCAAATATTCAAAGTCAATGAACTATGACTAAAGGTACATGGCTAGACAATCTCCATGGAAATGAAATGTGCCAATGCTAATACAACTGCATACCAAATACCATTGACTTATCATAAGTCTTTCCCTTTAAACAAATCTAAACATAAACATTTACTTGTAAACTATGTAAAAGTTTCAAAGTCAGTGAACCATGATGAGGGGGTGGGGCTACATAATCTCAATGGAAACGAGACTTGCAAATGCCAATAAATTTGCATACCAAATATATCTGACTTAACATTAGCAGTTCATCTTAAACTGGTCTAATCACAAACTAATATATGTAAACTAAGCAAAAGTTTCAAAGTCAATAGACCATAACTTGAAGGGACTGGACCAAATATTCTCCATGGAAATAAGATGTACTAATGCTTATACAACTGCATACCAATTAACATTTGCCTACCACTAATGGTTCCCCTTGAACTGACCTAATCACAAACTAATACATGTAAACTAAGCAAAAGTTTCAGTCAATAGACCATGACTGAGGGGTAGGGACCAAATATTCTCCATTGAAATGAGATGTGCGAATACTTATACAACTGCATGCATACCAATTATCATTGACCTACCACTAACAGTTCCCCTTAAACTGACCTAATCACAAACTAATACATGAAAACTAAGCAAAAGTTTGAAAGTCAATAGACCATGAATGAGGGGGCGGGGCCAAATAATCTCCATGGAAATGAGATATGCAAATGCTTATACAACTGCATACCAAATATCATTGACCTACCACTAGTGGTTCCCCATAAACTGACCTAATCACAAACTAATACATGTAAACTAAGCAAAGTTTCAAAGTCAATAGACCATAACTGAGGGGGTGGGGCCAAATAGTCTCCATGGAAATGAGATGTGCCAATGCTAATACAATTGCATACCAAATACCATTGGCTTATCATAAGTAGTTCCCTTTAAACAAACCTAAACACAAACTAATACATGTAAACTAAGCAAAATTTCAAAGTCAATAGACCATAACTGAGGGGGCAGGGTCAAATAATCTCCATTGTAATGAGATGTACCAATGCTAATACAACTGCACACCAAATATCATTGACCTACCACTAGTTGTTCCCCATAAACCGACCTAATCACAAAATAATACATGAAAACTAAGCAAAAGTTTTAAAGTCAATAGACCATGACTGAGGGGGCGGGACCAAATAATCACCATGGAAATGAGATATGCCAATGCTTATACAACTGCATACCAATTATCATTAACTTAACACTAGTGGTTCCCCATAAACTGACCTATTTACAAACTAATACATGAAAACTAAGCAAAAATTTCAAAGTCAATAGACCATGACTGAGGGGGAGGGGCCAAATAATCTCCATGGAAATGAGATATGCCAATGCTTATACAACTGCATACCAATTATCTTTAATTTACCACTAGTGGTTCATCATAAACTAGACCTAATCACAAACTAATACATTGTTGACGCCGCCATTGCTGCTGGAAACAGCATACCTATGTCTCGCTTTTTGACTCCGTCAAGCGAGACAAAAAAGAAAAAAAAAGGGACTGGACCAAATATTCTCCATGGAAATGAGATGTACTAATGCTTATACAACTGCATACCAATTAACATTGGCCTACCACTAATGGTTCCCCTTGAACCGACCTAATCACAAACTAATACATGTAAACTAAGCAAAAGTTTCAGTCAATAGACCATGACTGAGGGGTAGGGACCAAATATTCTCCATGGAAATGAGATGTGGGAATGCTTATACAACTGCATACCAAATATCATTGACCTACCACTAGTGGTTCACCATATACTATACCTAATCACAAACTAATACATTGTTGACGCCGCCGTCGCCGGAAACAGCATACATATGTCTTGCTTTTTGACTCTGTCAAGGCGAGACAAAAACCAAAGATAATCTATAAATCTGTACCAGATAAGTACTTTTGATGAGTGGTGAATCTGAAAATGCATCAGGCAGTAAAGTATGCTCACATGAATTCTGAAACCAAATTTCAGCAAGCTCTAATTTGTAGTTTAATCAAATGGACTGACAGAAACAAAGACCTAAGGATGGACAAATATAAATCAGTATTATATTTCAGGGCAATGATATAGTTTTAAAATCAAAATTTAAAACATTCTTAAATTTTTATATAAATCAACCAAGAAGCATCATATAAGATAGGGTTCAATCAGTGTAAAACACATTTCTTCTCTAATATAGTATATTAATATTGTTAAACTTTATCCCAAACATCTCCATACTGATTCTTTGCACCTGAAATAAAGAGAATATACTTTGTGAATTAGGTAAAATAATTCTAACATTCAGACTTGTAAAAACAATTCTTTATATCCATCAAAACTATTGTGTGCTTGTCCCAGGATGGAAGTGGGCATAGAGTGGTTTCGGTATTTCTCCCCTTTTTATTAGAAAAAAACAACTCTTTTTTTGGCATAAAATTTCTAAAAAAATATTGCCTCTGTATGTTCAGTGCTATTTTTACCATTACAGACAATTACTCTATTCCAAACCTGGATGCTCCCCTGACCAATAGAAGTTTATTATGGTTTCAATGTGCTATAGGGTTGTTGTATCATTGATATATATCCAAAATAATTCTTTTGTTCATCAATTATCATTTCCGTTCACATTTCTAGATCCATAATTAACTTTGATATACACTTTACAACTAAGGTTTCCCCCCCTCAGGCAAAGTTGACTGTGGACAATTTGGGTTTTCTTTTTAGGCCCCTTATAATTTTTTATGCTCTTAAATGTCTTATCTATTTGGCTCAAGCATATATGATGAAGGTTATTCCAGAAACATGTGAAGTGCAAATTAGTATCATGCGTATTCATCTTTACAAAATAACAATCAATATGGAGAATAACCTTGTCATAGATATCGAGTTAATAATTTTGTAGGCAAGACATGTGCTCATCTACAAAAGACCCATCAGTGACACTCCAAAGAAAAAAATTAAAAGGCCAAATCAAGAAAAAAATTATCTCCTTGATTTAATCACCTGAATCTGGAGAAAACTGTGGTCTTCTACGTCTATAACGTGGTTCCTCATCCTGTTGAGGTTGTTGATTAAAAGAATCATCCCTCTGTGAAGAACTTCTATCATTGTCATTATTTTGTCTGTCGTTATCAGGATATACTGGTAACCTTGATTGATACATATCTTGTCTTGGTAATGGTGTAACCTTCTGTCTACTCATTTGCCTAAGCTCGTCATATGTTACAGATTTTTTAACTGGTTCCTGTGTTTCTTGTGGTGGCTGGTCAGCTGAATAAAAAAAAGGTAACTAGTAAAAACAAATTGTCCTTTGAGTACCAAGATTCATAATAAAACAATTAGCAAGAAATAAGTATTGTCAAAGGCCAATCAAATGAGAAGGTTTTCCTTTCATGAATCGATATCTATAACATCACCCTTGGTTTCTCAACTCCATCCTTGAATTTCTTAACATCTGAAGTCTTTGAAATTCAATTTTATAATAATTATGTATTTTTTTTAAATGAATTGTAATAATTGAAATTTGAGTTTAATTTGTATATTTTAAAAAATTTGAAGTTTTGCCCATTTCACAAACACTTGAAAAGGATTAAATTTACTTTAATGAAGGTTCCTAAAATATTCCCAAGCCACTCCAAAATGCTTCAAATTGATTCTTTAGTGATCCTTGATTACTTTCATCTGAATTTTCAGTGATCCTTGATTAATCTCATCTATATTTCCATGTCTTTTTCTTCATTAAATTTTAAAGGTATTGACATTTTTTTATTTCAGAAATCCAACTTTTACATAACACTTATGTGTTTTTTATCAATTAAAACAAGATTTTACCATGATCTATTGCTCACTAATTATACCACTGCTCAAAATATATGTTTTTGGCAAACAGCACTGAACATCAAATGAACTAAAATATGTCACACTGTATGGCAAAACCAGTTGAAGCTTGGTATTACACAAATCTTTGTAGTTGCTAGGTAAAATGATGAATATTTCATATGTGTGCATGTGTGCGGCAAACAGGAAGTAGAACATATATAGAAGCTATGACTTAAAGTTGCTGTGAAGCAGGGGTATAAAAAGTAGGTACTAATTTTATGACAGAAAAAATGACATTATAAAATAACCTATAATATTAATATGTGAACCTATTTAAGCATTTAAGACATACAAAACTATAACCAGCAAAATTAAATTGAAAATTAAGAAAATTTCGATAGTAATCTCCTGTTCAAACATTGTGAGCAATATCAATTTAATTATTTCTTCTTGACAACAGTTTCAGCCAGATTTGGATTTCGAAATTTATTAGCTTGGCATCATTTTTGAGTTTTTACAAATAGGTCATTACTACTGCTGGAGGACATTTTGCCTCTAGAGAATCACCAGCCCAGTATAATGCATTTAGCTGTACTCACATGAAATATCATTGATGCAGTCATTTTTACTTAATTAAATTAAAAATCATTCAAAACAATAAGGATTTTCTATCCTCAGCCATATATGGACTCCGACAGATTTGGCATAATATTTTTAAACTTTTTGTTTTAAAAAATCTTAAATCTAAAAGTTAAAGTCCCATAACTCTGGAATGACAATCCAGAAATTTCAAAATCGAAAGGGAGCTCATTTTAGCAACCTAAAAAATAGTGTTAAGTTTTTAGGAAATCAATCAAAGCATACATATGAGAGTAAGAGAACGATATGTGCAGAACTGCCTTAAATGTGACGATTAAAGTCCCCTAAATCTGATGGTTAAAGTTCCCTAAATATCAAATGTAAAAAAAAAATATTTTAAAATAGAAACGCAGCTTTTTTTTCTATCAATATCAATGTTATGTTAAAATTTCATGGGAATTGGTAAAAGAAATTTTGAATTATCTTATGATGTATTGATTGATTGACAGACAATGAACTGTTGGACTGCAGTATACCATAAGAATTCCTGTCTACGACAAACATATAAAAACCTAAAGAAATGCATAGTTACCGGTACCTTGTTGGACAAGTTAAATTGAAACTGACATGTTTGTATGTGGTTGTTATCTATGAACTGCATTTTATGCACTGAGAAAAAACATGGTGTTAATGTTATGATCTTTAAATTGAATTGATTCCCTACTAATCACTTACACTGTGATTGTGACATCCTTGAATCTAAGTCATATTGGGGTCTATTATGTGTATCCAAGTTAGCGTTTGTATATATTTCTTCTCCATTTTGTGTCTTATTAGTTTCTGTACTGCTCCCAGCTGACCTGAAAAATATCATTATTGTCAGTGTATTATTTGTTAATTTTGTTTTTATAAGTCTAAAATTTTAATGTGCTGGCAAAACCTTGTTTAAACAATGGTCTACAAAGCACCTATTATATAATTTAAACAACATTTTAATCTTGTTACGGTACAACAGGTGAACAAATTTACTGAAATCTTAAAGTTAAAGTCCCGTAACTCTGGAATGGCACACCAGAAAATTTTCAAAATCAAAACGAAGGATATGTTCCAATTGTCGTAACCAAAGTCCTGTCCTCTTTTCCCCAAATGTGACCTACCGAATTAGACTTATCACCAGGTTTGTACTTACATGAGCAACACAATGGAGCAGTATCTGCTTACCCTTCCGGAGCACCTGAGATGTTTTTGGTGGGGTTTGTTTTGCTCAGTGCTTAGTTTTCTGTGTTGTGTTTTGTATGCTGTTGTTTGTCTTTTGGTCTTTTTCTTTTTTTGCCATTGCTTTGCCATTATAAAAATAAGAAGATAAGGTATGACTGACAATGAGACAACTCATCAAAAGAAGTTTGTTTTGGACTAATGGGTTTGGATGTCCCTTTGGTGTCTTTTGCCTCTTTTTTAAATAAATTGGTTGGTTGAACCAGGCTTAATCATGTTAATAATGCATCAATACATCTAAATAAAATATTGGAGTAATACTTGTAATGCTTGTGGAATATCATCCCTCAAGTCTTCACAGACTTTGCCATGAATTATGCCTTATATTCATAAACACAAAAGGCACAAATATTTAGAATAATGCATTACTGTTTTTGATACTGACTTATCAGCAAGAATATCAAGCCAGCCCACTAGGTCTGTATAAAATAAATTTAAATGCCATTATTCTTTTTATCTACAATTTATCTTTGCAATATGTTTCTTCAGAGAGAATATGAAATTACAGGACTAAATAATAGTTAAAACTCTTTTTATGGGTTTGAAACATTGTGAAAGTTGTTTGGTTGTATGAATGACATCCCATGTCTTTCTTTGATAAATTGGCATGGGTTGACATGAAAAACAGAACATCACTGCATTGTTACATGATGTTGATGCCTAATATTTTTGATGTATCACATCCTGTCCTGAACATAAAAAAAGCATTAGGCAGCAGGATAAAAGGGAAAATGTGAAAGTTGCTGATTAAGGTTTTTCTTTCTCTCTCAAAATTATAATGAATTTTAATCTTTTCTCAACCTACTGGTTTTAGAATTTTAATTAACATGATTGTTTTCTAAGGATATGAGTGATATTTATAGATTTTCCACTGCATCGAGTGTGATTCAATATTTCTCATTTCTTTACAGTTAAATCTTAAATATTTAAAAGACTTGCAAGTCTTGTTTTTCAATTTGAAAATTAAACTACAGTGAAGAAATACCTTGGAGTTCGGTATTTTTGTTATTTTACTTTTTATTACACTCGGTGCAGTGGTTAAATCTATTAATGTCAACTCATAAGACTATTATATCTAAATTTACCTGTGTACGTTGTTTTATTTAATGCCATTTTGTCCCAGGTAAGAGTTGTCTTATTGACACTCTTCCTACATCTTTTTTATTACTACTTGTAACCTCTATGTTATATAGGCACCTACGTTTTAATATTGTATTTATATTGTGTCATAGATCAAACTTATTCATTCAGTGTATGTTTACTTGTTTTTGTTTAAATGTCTTTTTGATCGATTTAAGCCATTTCAATCGATATTTTATAGTGTGTATTTTTATGTTGTAATGTTACACTACTGTCTCAGGTTAGGGTAGAGGTTGGCGCCTGTTAAAAAGTTAAAACCTGCTGCAATTTTATGCAACTGTCCCAAGTCAGGAGCCTGTTATTCAGTAGTTGTCGTTTGTTGGTGTGGTTCTTAGGTGGTTGTCGTTTCTCGTTTTTTATATAGATTAGACAGTTAGTTTTCCTGTTTGAATTGTTTTACACTAGTCATTTTGTGGCCCTTTATAGCTTGCTGTTTGGTGTGAGCCAAGGCTCTGTGTTGAAGGCCATACTTTGACCTATAATTGTTAATTCTTTAAACATTGTGACTTGGATAGAGAGTTGTCTCATTGGTACTCATATCACATCTTCTTATTTATAATTTATATATTCTACATTAACTTCTCAATTCATTCTCTAACACATGAAATAAGCTTTCCTCTATCAAATCTCTGCATAGAGATTTTTACATGCAGTCCATATTTAATAATGATAAAATGTCCCGCAGAATGTGAAACCTGCTAGTATATGAATGTTAAGTTATATATCTAAGATGAATTTATTCTGCATTTTCAAGCATACAAATGTGACCTTAATATAAATGTATCTTAACATAAAATAAAATGCTCCACAGGGCGCAGCTTCATGCGAACCCAGAGGTCGAACCTTGAACAGTTGGGGCAAGTATGGACACAACATTCAAGCTTGAAACAGCTCTGAATTTGGATTGTGATTAAATATTTAACACAGCATAGGTTTCTGACACAGAATGAACGTGGTCTAAGAACTTAAAAATTTGAAATTGGGCATTTATCTATTATGGTCCAATATCCAAAATATAATTACAGGGTTAGATTCAGCATAACAAATAACCCCAAGAAATCAATGGTTGATGAAATCAAACAAAGTTTAATTTTGGATCCTGATTTAGACTTATAAGAAAAAATGGGCCCATAATCAAAAATCTAAATACATGTTTATTAGATTCAGCATATCAAAGAACCCCAAAAATTCAATTTTTGTCAAAATAAACTAAGTTTAATTTGGACCCTTTGGACCTTAATGTGGACCAATCTGAAAACCACCCAAAATCAAACATCAAAATACACGGTTAAATCAGCATATCAAAGAACTCCAAGAATTCAATTTTTCTTGAAATCAAACAAAGTTTAATTGTGGACCCTTGGACCTTAATGTGGACCAATTTGAAAACAGATCGCAAAATTAAAAATCTAAACACATGGTTAAAGTAGGTATATCAAAGAACTCCAATAATTCAATTTGTGGATGAATTCAAATAAGGTTTAATTTTGGACCCTTTGGACCTAAATGTGGACCAATTTAAAAACAGGGCCCTAAATCCAAAATCTACACAGTTATATTCAGCATATTAAAGAACCCCAAGAATTCAAGACTTTGAATTAAACCCCATTGAAATTGGTCAAGAAATAAGCAATTCACTAGTAGACACAGTATATAAAAAGTTTTGTGTTTGATCCCTTTTTCCTAAATGGTTAAGGCCATAACCGTCAAAATCAATCCCAACCTTCCAATTTTTATATGGAACCTTGTAGTACAATTTCATAGAGATCCATAGACTTATACTCAAGTTATTGTCCGGAAACCAGAAAATCCAAGTTTTTTGGCCCTTCAATCCTAAACGGTTAGGGCCATAACCCCCAAATCAATCCCAACCTTCCTTTTGAGGTATGGATTATTGTGGTACAATTTCATAGAGATCCATACACATATACACAAGTTATTGTACTAAAACAAGAAAAATGCTTGGTTTTTTATTCTTTTTGGCCCTTAATTCCTAAACAGTTGGGACAATAACCCCCAAAATCAATCCCAATCTTCCTTTTGTGGTATGGAACTTGTAGTACGATTTCATAGAGATCAATACACATATACTCAAGTTATTGTCTGGAAACCAAATGTCTTTGGACGACAACAACAACGTCATACCATTATACGGCTGCAAAAATTTTGCAGTTGTATAAAAATGATAAAATAATTGGACTGATCTTCTTTAATCTAATCCTATAAGTTTAAAATATGATCTACCACATCAAATGCTAAAATCCCAACTCCAAAAAATGAACATTTGCATAACTCAGGTAGTCATGACCAGAAGATTTATTGGAACATTTTGTAAGTGTCATGTTTTATCCTTACTTTATCTTGTTTATTGGATTATTTAAAACATACATATAATTTGTTGTATCACATGTCTTTAAACAGGATGTCTATGAAGGTTGTTTTATTACGTCATGACACTCTGACTTTAATCATCAAACTTTTCGACTTAAATACAATGTAGTCTTTAAAAATCTTTTTTTCAGGAGACTGAGGGGTTGTTCTAACCCCTAAACCGCTTGGCTATAGATGTGTAGCACAAATAAGAATTGTCTTTTCTTGTGTTTCAGTCAGTGTTTGTACAGTTTAAACATACATAGGATATCTGATACCGCACCTAAGAAAGGCATATCATAGAGCTGTTATTGGTGGTTGATGAAATATTTCTTTTCCATGGTGTTAAATCATTTAATTTCTAAATTGTTTCCATTGTTGGTTGTCTTTCCAGAAACAGCCCATATACAACTTTTTGATGATACTGTCAGAAATTAAAAAGTTTCAAGGAAAAAAAACTTGTATTTCTAAAAGACTAACAAGAGTACACACATTTAGGAATGAAACAGTAAGAATCTCATCAAATTGGGACCGGAAATAAGTTTTTGACAATTTTATTAAAATTAGTATTTTAGTAGGAATGTGCAAGTACTGACACAATTTTGACCTTGACTGTAGAATAGAAAATATTTTGAGTAAAAATGTATATTCATAATGCTAGTATAAACTTAGGCATTCAAAAAAAGTATTTGTTAACTGTTTTCACAATTTGAGAAGTCAGATAAATTTCAACAAAGTATTTGAAAAAGATGTAAACGAAGCCAGACCCGAATTTTTCAACTCCAGGAAAAATTGGTTTAATTGAACAATTACATCAAATTCAAAACTGCAATTTCATCTTTGTAAGAGCTTTGATGCTTAAAAAAAAAAAATTCTAAAATTCTATTTATTTTGTGTAAACTGTATGAAAGTTTTGTTAACATTCTGAAGGAAAGAGATATGCTATCATGAGTTTCATTTATTAATGAAAATACAAATGTAAAAGTATAAATTTTATCTATATTGATTCTGCACTCATCGCAAATTTTTGGCCTCAAGCATAACTGATGAATACTAGAAACAGTTGTGATGGGCAATGTTATAGGGATATACATTTATATTACTTGTGGATTTAAACAAAATATAAGATGTGGTATGATTGCCAATGAGACAAAACTCCACCAGAGACTAAATGACACAGATGTAAGCAATAGTCCAATTTCATTTGAAATTTTGAAAGTTATATGATATCAAAAGCATAAATATCAAAACTGTTGACATTTTTAGTAGAGTCTGAATAAATCCATCTGAAATCATACTTTTTAAATGTCAACAAGCAAAACAGTTTATCTGTATGATCTCATGAATAATATGAAAGCTGATAAATTATGAATGATGAATAGATGTGCTTACTTGTTCTCAACTGTTAAATCACTGTAATGATAAAAGATAATTCCGAAATATTATAATGATGTCTGAGAAAGAAAATGCAAAACTAGATAGTAGAAAAATAGATATTAATTATGTAGTGATAAAATTTAGATCATTAATCATTTTTACTTTAAAGCAGATTTCCTATGGCCAATGTGAAAATTCTTCATGATATGGTTGATTAATTGATTAGCATTTGCTTAACACATGATATAGACAATTAGTTATTTTTTAGAACTACATATTTCTAGTGGTTATCTTATTAAAACTTATCATTTTTTTTTTATTGTAGACACTTAATAACAGGATGGACAATAAGCCATTACCTATTTGATATTTCTTACCCATATGTCATGTATGTGAGGGTCTAGATAGGGGATCTTTTTTTTGTATTCTTTAATTTTAATGCCATTATTCTCTAATCTTTGTTTTTTCTTTCCCATTATTCTTTATTCTTTTGTCCTTTATTCTCTTTTTTTTGCAATTATCTTTTATTCTGTAAACCCAATCTAGACCCTCATTTGTACTTGGGTCAAACCCTAATAAGCCATAATTTGCTTTAACTTACCCATATGTACTTTGGTCAAACCCTAATAACTTTTCGCCTGTAACTGCTCGTGCCAAATTACTGTTAGGCAATCGTTCTACAATTCTTCGTTTACAAACAGGTATAAAGGAAGCCTTTCCAATAACATATCCTCCAAATAATGCACCTAAATAGTATATGGAAAATACTAAATGTCTGTTAACTTATCATAAAAAAAATTTCGGTGAGTGTTAACCTCATCAAGTAAATTTATCATGTGTTGCAAACAATCAATGTACTGGTTATATTTTAATGATATACAATTTTTGAACTGAAAATTATAGCACCACGGGTCAGAAATAGAGAACCGTGCTAAGACTTATAGGACAGCGGTGCTTTAAGGGCCTGGAGAGCTTTTTGGGAATTTGGCAGTATCTGCTAAATTTATAGAAGATTTAGAGTTTGACTTATTGAGTAGATTCCTGTCTATTGTTGGAGACAATATGTTGACCTCTAAATGTGTTTTTTTTTGTGTGTTGTAGGGTTGCTGTCTCATTGATTATAATAACATTTCAATGTATCTTAGCAAAAGTATATATATATTTCATTTATCCTGTTTCATATTTTGTTGAAATACATTTCTTAATTAAAGCTTTAATGACATTTTCTTTTTTATTCTGATTGTGAATTTGTGCAACAAAAAAAGTTGGACATGTACTGACCTCTTAAATGTTTCTATTATTGAAGACAATATATTAACTGCTTTATGTCTTTGGTTTTTTTTTGTGTTGTTATGTTGTTATCTGATTGACATATAGACAATGCAGTATATTTTTTTTACCAACTACTCCAAGGAAGCTGCATACAGTTTTTTGTTTGCTTTAATTTAGTCATTTTGAATTTAAATCTGTTTTTCAAATGGATTTAACTTTTTTTCATAAAAAATAAGACATTATCTCTGTATGGCAGAATTTAAAATCATAATAAAATATATCTAGCTTTTCCATGTTGGATAAATTTGAAAAGTGGGAATAAGTGTACATGTGGGATTGTAATTTGTATTTTCAATATAAAATCTGACATTTTTTCTTCTATTTATTATTGGTGTTTAATTAGCATGTATGAATACTTACCAAAATCCTTCCATACTGACCATTTTACAAAACCTGAAAAAACAAGATTTCAAATATATCAGAACATATGCTAGCATAGTAGGAAACTAGGCAACATAGACCTACATTATAGTTTAATGCATCACATTTTATACCAAGTCACTTAGATTTTTTTAATATAAAAAAAGACAGATGTTTGTTTTGAAAATTTGTTTAATAAAATTATGAAATGGATATCAGAATAAAATAAAGTAGTGCAGTTGACATGCCCATTTTTTATCTTGTTTATGTGCATCGGCCTGTTCCATGTCAGGAGCAAGTTATCCACTGGTTGTTATTGTTTACTTTCTGTTCACAACTTATCCCTTAAGGACCTTTAAGATCAATTTTTATCTGTTTTTGGTGTCAATATTTTATTATGTAAGTTCATCATCAAGAATGTTTTCAATATTGATTTATAAATATTTTACCATTTAGCTTCAATGGTTATATAATAATTTTGAACTAGACAAAAATTAACTAAACTTACTCCATAATTTTTTTTTTTCACTGTATGTTCAGTAAACCCAAATACATTGTTTTGTACCTGTACTTAATTGGACTATCATACCTTTCTGCTGGGCCATACGGAGACCAATAAAACATCCAATACTTAAAGGAAGACCTGAAAATCAATAGAAAATAAATATCTTTTTAAGTGGTCAGTCAAAGAATTGGGAAAAGTTTTTGTCGTACAAATGTGCAACCTCAGATGTACAAACCCAGTCCAATAATTATTCAATTTTAACATTCTTTAAAAAAAAAAATAGTTTTTTTAAATCAACTTATCAAATCATGTTGCCCTACAATACTTTTATCAATATTAAAAAAGCCAATAATCATGAAAATGTTACAATAAAGTATTAATAAGTACATGATGCAATCTGATTAAAATACAGGTCCTGTGTCAAGGCTTTGCTTACAAGGATCTGACAATGCTCCATTCTACTTTCTGTTCTGGTAATTATTACAACAGCCAATGGTATTCCTGCCTATAAATTTTTGAAGGTGTGTATCATTATGACAAAACCAGAGGATCCCCAAAGGTCTATAAAAATGAAAGTAGAACTGAGTGCTGTCAGATCCTAGTAAGCAAAGCATGGACACAGGATCTGTATTTTAATGAGATTGTACATATTAATGATTCTTTCCTATAATTTTTTTTGTCTGGCGTTATGTTCTAAGCAGTCAGAGATATAACTCTATAGGGTTATTACAGAAAATAACTTGCGTGTGTTATTACAGATACTTTCATGAGTTGTCTACTCTTTATTCCTTAAATTTTCTAAATCTGCAATAACATATGTTTGTTATTTGTAAAATAAATCAAAAATATTTTAATTTATAATGGGCTCTAGGGAACTCTTGAGGCTTTGCGCAGAAACTAAATGAATAGCCTTGATAATTAATTTTTTAATTAAATTAATACATTTTTGATTAACCATGGTAAATCAATGAGACGAGGCTTTTAAGGGATAAACTGAGCTGTAATAACAAAGCTTAGTTATTAAAGGAATGTAACTTATTATATGAGACACTTGGGAATTACTGGGAAGCTTGCGCAGAACCTCATTACATGCTCTTGTCATTATTTCTTACAATAAATTTAAATACATTGTAATTAAGCATGATGTATGTCTGAGAAAATGCTTTGGAGAAGCTGTGATACCACCGTTTAGTTATTACAGGCATATTTCTTCTTTAATAACATAGGTGTACTATGCAAAATTGGCAAACTATGAACTGTTATATCTTTGTATAGTTAAGTATACTTAAAGACAATAGTAATATCAATAGAACTTGGATGCATTTTAACTAAACTAGTGATGTATATTGTCCCTTTGAAACATGTAACATACATATGTTATCACAGTTCTTTGATTTTTTAGTCCACAATAACAAATGTATGTTATTTTTCTGTAATAACCCTATAGAGTTATATCCCTGACTGCTAAGTGAACATGTGAATTAATTCATAATCACAAATTATCATCTCTTAATTAGTGGTTTAACATACTTTCATGTATATAAATATTCCAAATAAAAGGCAATGCTATAGTTCTTAGTAAAAACTGTCATGATTGTGTGCTATAAAGCTCTGGCGTCTGAACTGTTTATGTATAAAATAAATATTTGAAATGCTATTCTTACTTCTCTGCCAAAAAGAATCCTTTCTACATCCATACAAAAGTTGTTTTTCCTCTTCTGATAATGTCTGAAAAATAAATAATTGATAGTTTATTCTTTACGAAATTGAAGTGTTAAGACTGCCATTTTTGTTTAATTGTAATGAAATAAGGGTCCAACTCCCTCAGGAATGCTCAGGTAAGGTTGACCTAACATGAATTCGGCTATGCTTTTTATGCCCATTTTGATTATATGGCTCCTAATGTTTCTAAGTATTTATACATCCCTCGCTTTCATATGTTTAGGTTTGAGTGAGTGTTCCTGATGAAGGTAAATCCAATAAATGTTTTCATTTACTAGCACTAAGTCATTACCACTGCCAATTGACAGTTAGTCCCTGAGGGCATCATCAGTTTAGTAGTCGGTGCTTTGGTACTGACATAATTTATCATGTTTATTACATACTATTTTTAAAATTTCGTTTTAATAAATGAGAAAACTATTAAGAAACAAATGTTCCAACTCCCTTAAGCAGAGTTAACCTTAGATGAAATTGGCTATGCTATTTAGGTCCCTATTGGTAATATAGATGTAACTCCAAATGTTTCTACATACCTGGCTTTAAATTTTTAGGGTTGGGCATTCCTTGTGAAGGTAAAACCAGGTTAGGGGAGGGTTGGGATCCCGCTAACATGTTTAACCCCGCCACATTCTGTATGTATGTGCCTGTCCCAAGTCAGGAGCCTGTAATTCAGTGGTTGTCATTTGTTTATGTGTTACATATTTGTTTTTATGTTCATTTTTTGTACATAAATTAGGCCGTTAGTTTTCTCGTTTGAATTGTTTTACATTGTCATTTTGGGGCCTTTTATAGCTGACTGTGCGGTATGGGCTTTGCTCATAGTTGAAGGCCGTACTGTGACCTGTAGTTGTTAATTTCTGTGTCATTAGGTCTCTTGTGGAGTGTTGTCTCATTGGCAATCATACCACATCTTTTTTATAAGCTCATGGGATGCATATAATTTATCTTGGATTATTTTCTTTTAATGTGATCGATGACAAATGTAGAATATATAGACAAAAGAGTATTATTCTTAATTTGTAAAATAAGCAAATTCAACACTAGGCTTCCAGAGAAGGAATTTGAGATATTGCCCATAGGAAAACAAGAAAACAGCATATATTTAGCTTATAAGGTCAACAATGAAATATGGAGCGATAGTATGGGACCCTTCACAATTATAATTGTACAATGTAAACAAGCTTGAAAGGATTTGGTTGTGTAGCTAATATGCTCGCTAAACTGGAACTTCAAAACCATCTAGAAGACACTGTTGTGCTCGCACCAAACATACATGTACACCTTATCACTATTTGTCCGCCATTACTGGACAACACAAAGGTTCCTGTAAATTTTTTAAATCATAATAGAAAATGTCTGACACCACAAAGGAAAAGTGATTGTTGTATGACGTAAATAGTTCAAGTGGCGCAGATTCCCAAAAAGCGATACTTTTATACACCTTATCGCTATTCCCGGCTGACCCGAGAATCTGTCCCGCTTGAACTTTTGACGTCATACAACAATCACTTTTCCATTGTGGCGTCAGATATTTTGTATTATGACGTCAAAATTTTACGGGAACCTGTGTGATGTCCGGTAATGGCGGACAAATACTGAAATAGCGATAAGGTGTATTGAGAGCTGCTCCCATGCATCTCAATAAATCTACAAAATAAACACAATAACACCTTACAGTTTATTCCTTGTGGTGTCATTTTGAACCCTTTGAAAATTAATATAATACAAATGATAACTGAAAATTTATGAATTTGAAAATTTATGTAACTTTGTTGTGAACACAAACCCTAGGATCATCCATTCGCATCCGCTGTTGCTGATCATAGTGTTGATTATGCATTGGTGGGGGTTTTCTATGATCGTAAGGTTCATTATATTGTCTGTAAGGTGGTGGGGCTTTATAGTCTTCTTTGCTGTCCATATTAAATGACATTTCGTATGTCAGCTGGGGAGCAAGGACACAAATTATTGGCGATTATCTCCCTTTCAACAATAAAAAAATTAAATCAATTCCTGTACAGTCAGAATTTACGTATAGTTCCTGGTTTCAGATCTGACATTAAAATGATAAAACAATTTGTAAGATTAATGCAAATATTTAAATTTACAAATTTAATCATTTTATCTTAAAATTAATTATACTTAGTTGGGATTTTGTCAATATAATAAATATGTGAAAATGTTTATCTGAAAAATAAGATGATCACTTTATCTTGCAAAATTCCCGGTAAACAGATAAACACTTGTTTTTGATTTGCTCGTCTCTACACTCTTTTTCAGAATTTGAAATGCTTGTATGTTATTGAAAAAAGTATATATATTATGAAGTACCTTTCCTTTTTCATTTGTTAGATTTGGTAGTATCAAAACTTGTTATACAACAAAATTCAACAGTTCAAAATAAAATTACTGATAAATTATTTATCAGTAATTTTATAAATTTCTCAACCATTTCAAACTGTCAAATTTGTTTAAAACATAGGCACATGTCTCATTAAATTAAAAAGAATATATGTCTCTGAATTCACATTATAGAAATAGGACAAGGTGTAGTCAATAAACGTATTTACACTTTTGGTATTTAGCTATATTTTGCCTCCGAATGACCTTAGATCTACTCCGAATCACCTTTGACGTCAGGCAACAATCACTTTTTAATTGTGACGTCAAGTGTTTTGAATTATGATGTCAAAGTTTACGGGAACCTGTGTGATTTTACGTAATGGCGGACAAATTTGCATACAAGTGTAAATACGTCTATACGATGCAGTACGGTAAATCCGCCCACATAAGGCTTTGATCGTATGTATTTCTGCTTAATTATATACAAATTGTATCACATTTAATATAAATCAATTCACTGACAGATCAACTTTGAGTAGTTTATCTCATTTCCCAAAAAATATCTGAAATAAATTTTAAAATCAACAAAACAAGTGGGTCATCCATGTTTTTATCGAAAATGTGTTTGTCCGGTAAATCCGTCCATGCACAGTTAATATGTATGGAAGGCCAATTTATCACAAATTTATGGAAGGAAAAGGTGATCTATTTATTAAAAGACCATTTATAAAGGGATTCCAGATAATCCAAAAAAAAAATTTCAAGTCAGAAATGAGTTTTGTAAATAATATGATTGTCCTTAGCTTTAGGAACTGTATTATAAATATCACTAGATATTTTCGTAATAAAGGATTTTTCTTTAAAATTTGACATGCAGTGATGATAAGTACAGTTCCTTTGAATAAATTAGCAGACGAAATATTCACAGAAGTGACAATTACGGAAGTAAACGGGAGTGGGCGGGTTTACCGGACGGGCGGAATTACCGGACACTACTGTAGCCTTAAAGTTTAGAAAAAACTGTTAAAAATTGATGTTTTGTTGGTATTAGTTTGTTCCAGCCCAAAGTTGATCCGGCCTAATAATAAAATAATGAATATTCTATATTAACATCGGAGGATTTGATTACATATTTGTTTCAGGGTAAATGGAATTTGCACAAAGTAACATCATGTTAATTTAAACTTGTTAAGATCGCAGTCAATTGAAAAAATGTGAATTGCTGCTGATTATTGTTGATGGTGCTAAATTCAGTTATGTATGTTTTTATCATAATTATGCATTCACAATAGTCTTGTTTACTTGTAATATCCATAGTTTTTTTTTTATTTTGATGTTTTGTGGTATTTTTTCACCTAGAATATCATTTTTGACTGATGTAGACTGTAAATACGAAGTCGGTGATCATATTATTATTTTACATAATTAAAATGGAAATTTATATATCAGCAACATACTAGTATAGCTTTTTACAAAAAATCTATGGATTTGAAATTGAAGATTTTATGATTTTAAGACAAATTTAAGAACATTTTTCGCCGTTTTATGTGCTTTCCTGTAAAATGTTTACCTATTTTGAAAGAATTTAATCAGTAATATTTGAGATAAAAAGAGATAAATGCATATTTTTTCAATTTTCAGTTATAGTACAACGAGCCAAAGTTGTATGCAAAATTTTACCAAAATCTGTGACAAAGCCCAATTACTGTAACCACTTGACCTTAAGGTGATAAATTGATTTGAATTCAAATATTTTATATCAAAATAATGTTATATTTCTATATGAAATATTGATTTAATATTTGACATATTTAAAAAAGTAATCCAGTAAATGTCTCATCTAATGAAAATCAGATAGATAACCTATTTAAATATTCGTCAAAAGCACACTTTTTATGACCCCACCATAGCGGAGGGGCATTAAGTTTTACCCTTGTCCGTCTGTCTGTACATACGTCCCAAAATTGGTTTCCTTTCTCTTACTTTAGTTTGCCTCAACCAAATGTTATGAAACTTATGCACAATGCTTATAACCGCAAATGCCCCCGCCGTAGTGGAGGGGGCATTAAGTTTTACCCTTGTCCGTATGAACGTCCCAAAATTAGTTTCCATCTCTAACTTTAGTTTGCCTCAACCAAATGTTATGAAACTTATGCACAATGCTTATAACCACAAACCACAGATAAAATTTGAATTTTGCTATCGTCACTTTTACCATTCTAGAGTTATGCCTCTTTACAAATGGAAAAATTGCTGAATTTTTTTACTGTTCAGCTTTTATATTATTATAAAATTCATATTTTTTTTCAAATTGGAGCCAGATCAACTTGGGACGAAATGACTTGGGACGGATCGAAATGAAAGCATTTTGCTCATGTTGCATTTGGTAAACAGTGATGCTTATTGTGGCATTATAGTGTATTCAACATAGAAATTGAATGCACAGCACAAGACAGTATGGACAATTGCATATTCACAGAAAATACCTTTGCCAATATAACCAGTGTTCCATATGCTGGTTTGCTTATAGTCCTTTCAGTCTGATATTGAGAGACTACAGCAATAAAGTTTAAAGATGTGATATATTTTCCTTGTTTGATTATTTTAACCCATACTTGCAATTGTGAAGCAGGCAGTATATACTGCCAGTAAGAACGGTTTAGTACCTTGTGGTTATGCTTCAAAAAAGTAGTTTTGACAAATTGTACTAGTTACAAAGGTGTGCAAGAACAATTTGAATGCAGGTTTTAACATATAGAATTCTTTATTGGTTGAACAGACAGGAAACAATTTCTTGTTATAAACGATTGGGTGGTGTTACATCTTACAACATGTACAAAGTCTATCCAAATTATTTTTGCACAGAATTCCTCTTAAGCCGGTGCTAGGGGCCGTCTTAAACTTGCAGTGAGGTGAGAGTTTTTTTGCTCCGTGTTGGTGTCTCACTGTGACTTTGAGATGAAGAACAGCAATAAAAGCGCTGTTCCTTTTCTTTTTGTATGTTTTTTTGTTGTGCATTTACTGATTTTGTGTCATGGATGGATACCCCATATCTTTTGTTTTTCTATTAAGCAGTCATCAAGAGTCACTTTTTTTTTACTTTTGCATACATATGTATTAAAACATTTATATAATCAATATAAGCACTTGTGTTTCTGAATCCTATTTGCCACAATGTGAATTCATAAATTGTACAAGATGTATTTAATTCATCAAAAAATATTGTTTACGCTAAACATTTATAACATAATGGATCACATTAGACATTAGTTTTTTGTTCTAAAACTTATTATTTTACTTCATGTAGTTTAGATATTCAAATGTTGATCAGCATGTTTGCATAATAAACTGATTATAAAAATGAGGTGGTCACTCTGGTCATCCTCAATTTAACTGGAAAAGTCAGTATCTGTTATAATATGTTTCATTTATTATACATGTAGGTACATGGGTAGCTTACTGTGACAGATGTTATAATTATTAAGAGATGGCAACTGGTGATATTGCTAACAATTTGAGAAAACTTCAGAGGGAATTGAAATTAATCAAGTTTTCTGACAATGTGGATCTCACAGGGTAACTTTTATTTAGTATCTTACACACACTTGGTTGAACAATTACATATATGTGATTCAAGACATGGATGGAGAGTTGTCTCATTGGCACTCATACCACATCTTGGAATTCTTATTCATATAATCATGATTATCTTATGGTTTTTACCTGTATTATATAGAAGCTAAGATACATATCTTTGCACCTAATTTATTGATATGTGCTGTGTCCAAGCTTAATGTATTCAGTTACACTATGATGTCTGCCTACATAAAATGTAAAAGGGTCTAAATGCTGGTGTAGATTTTTCATCATAAAGCCTTGTTTAACTCCCACTTTCCAAGTTAAAAGCTATTTTTGCAAGTCATGCATATAGCTTTTTTCCAATTGTAATTTCAGACAGTAAATCCATGCATATGTTGAAATAGTGTTGCCTGTTATTTACTATTTTCCACGTTTTGAAGGAAAAAAAATGTGTACATTTGTATCATGTGTATGTTTACATTTGTATGTTCTATCAATCATTTTATGTAATGACTTTTTTTTTACATTTAAAATATGGTTGAGTCATCAGCATAGCATACATAAGCTTTCTTTTCATAAGTCATAAAAAGATTTATACTTTAATTTTAAGTATATTTTTGTGGTCTTGTGACATGCAGTTGGACATCAGTGGCGGATCCAGAACTTTTTATAAGGGGGGCTCAGTGCTCACTGACTGACCTGAGGGGAGGGGTGCCCGCTCCAGTCATACTTCAGTGATTCCCTATATAATCAACCAAATTTTCCCCACAAAAAGGGGGCCAGGGCCCCCTGGATCCGCCTATGAACATGGTTTGACTAGCATGTGTGCAACAATTTTTCTGAAGGCAGTGAGAATATCAAAAACCTGACCTAATGGTTATTGATTTACTGAAATAATCGAATTCAATGTACCTAATGTCATACTGGACTTCTAAGCTTCCAATCTTAGTAATTACAGCCCGTGGTGTTTCATCCAAATCTTTGTAGCAATAGAGTATTGAAACTTATTTTTCACTCTAATCCTATTTGAATTAAGTTTAAAATTTATTGACAGTATATTTCTCTTTCATGTCAAAAATTTACAGTTATAGTGCTTCAAGGTATAAGAAAACAACCTCTGAGCTTTTTTTACATGTCTTTAAAGAACAGAATATTGATATGATTTAATGTTGTATGTTTTAGAATGTCACAGGGAACACCCACAGCTTTCCTGCCAATATATCATTATCTGTTCACCAGTTACAGTCATGCCATAGCTGAAATGATCTCATCATCAGATACAGAATTGTATGGCAAAACAGATTTTAGATTTATAGAAGCTGTATATAAGGTATTGTTACATTGTAAACTCAAAACCATGCAAACATGTCATAACTAGAGTTGGGCTTATATTTATCCTGTAAAAGCAGGGTTGTCAGTAGTTGTAGTTTGTTGATGTGGTTCATAAGTGTTTCTCGTTTCTCGTTTTTTATATAGATTAGACTGTTGGTTTTCATGTTTGAATGGTTTTACACTAGTAATTTTTGGGGCCCTTTATAGCTTGCTGTTCGGTGTGAGCCAAGGCTCGGTGTTGAAGACCGTACTTTGACCTATAATGGTTTACTTTTATAAATTTTGACTTGGATGGAGAGTTGTCTCATTGGCACTCATACCACATCTTCTTATATCTATTGATTTAGTATGAAATGGAAAAGTAGGGATATAACTTATTAACTCAAGTCACAAAATCCCTACACACATTTGACAAAACAAAAGAATAGGGCTTCTATTGCTGTTCTTCATCTCAAAATCACAATAATGCTTACAATATGGAGCAAAATCTTCCACCTATGAGTTAGGGATTTTGTATGTACCAGTATATCTTTTTAAATTGTGTATGATTGAGAACAGTAAAGGAAAAGGAGGTGTTGGTCTTGGTTATCAATGGTTATATTAGTAACTTTGTAGTGTTTCATATTGTTGCTGCAAGTTTTATAGAATCAATACAAAATTCCTTATAAATTGGATATGCATTTTACAATTAAATGCAATTAACCTACTTGTGTACAGGCACATATTTTTGCAATGATAGATAAAATTAAGCTGTGCATTAAAAGCCCTCATTTGTGTATTAAAATAATCTTTACTGTTGTTTAGGTGATATACTAATACATTCATATACATGTGAGTGCACTTCACTTGAGAATTTGATACAATGAATTTCTGAGGAATATTTGCCACAAAATGTGGGTCATGAAATTAGAAAAGCTTTTGTGATTTTATTCCAATGGTAAAATACATCTACAGAATAAATCAATTAAAAGTGTGATCATTGAGAAGAAACTCCATAAAATTAAGAATGGAAATGGGGAATGTGTCAAAGAGACAACAACCTGACCAAAGAGCAAATGAAGGGCATATATATATTGATTCGAAAAATAAATTTATTTTATTTTCACTTATAATTATGTTCATATTTTTCATGCATTATGATATATATCTACCATTGTAATTACAGCTAATGAGAGATATGTTTACTTACAAACCACCAGTGACTAAAGAACAGTTCTTCAATGCTGGATTTGCTGAGAGAAAGATTATCATGTGTGCTGATGTTATTCAAATGATCAGGGAGAAGAACAAATCTTTACAACCTAATAAAAAGTCAACAACATCTGCTGTTTCTACCATTTCCCAAAATCTCAATAAAAAGGTATACGGTTTGATAAAATTTTAATTTGATTATAGACAATATTCATTGTAAATCATCATGTTCATATGAGAAAGAAAATGATATAGAAATACTCAATGAAAAACACACAAAACTTCTGTTTCCCAAACCTCTAACAAACATTATTACAAGTATATACACTGTGCATGCTGTGTATAACCATTACATCAGAGGAAATGCTGAAAAGAACAGGAGAGCCATTTTTCATGCCAAAAAAAAGTTAGTTTCTTTTAACTCCCCAGATATATATGTGATTTTCAGGATATCTGCTCCAACTTTGACTCAACATGTCAATTGATAATTTTATGATGCATCACACAAATATTGAAACTGAATCAAATGATAAATAACCTTATAATCGACCCAAGCAAACACACAAATTCATGAAAATAATGATGTTTTAATGATTAAATGTCACATGAAAGTTGGTTCAGCTTTGAAAGTAATATCAGAGGGGGTGCATTTTGTTGAGAATCAAAACGAAAGCTAGAGCAAAATTTTAATTTTAAATCATTCTAAATTTATCTGTAATGATATTTGTACTTTTATTGCATTTTAAAGTCATCTAGACCCAAACTAACAGATTTAACAAAACCTCCATCACAATCAGTCACAGCAAAGTCCTCTACTCGTCCAGGATCAGCAGATCACAAGCAGGTTACATTTGCATCTGAGGAAGTTGTGAATGAATTAAAACAGCCACCTAAGCAGCATGCCTCTAGACATGTGGCACACAAAGAGCCACCATCTCCAGTTACCATAGTAAACATGTCTCCTAGTGTTACCAAGGAGATTATACGGATGGATGAACATCCATCAAGAGGATTTAGATATGCTGTAGTGACCCCTGCTATTGCAAAGATGCCTAACAAATTGTCAAGAGCAGGTGATACAAATGCCAGTAAAGGTATGTTATCCATTAAAAAGCTTTTTAACATGTTCACAGGCACCTGCAGTTAAAAGATCACAACTTCAAAAAAGGTAAAAAAGAAAAAGCAGGACATCTGCAAGACCTTTAGAAAAAAATTTGTTTGGAAAAACTTAATTTGAAATGGCTAATTAAAATGTGTGAACTTCATAGATAAATTTGAACCACATCTTTGTATGTTAGTCTTCATGTGCTTATGCTTGATAAAACAATTCCAATTTATTAGATATGGCATGACCAAACAGGGAATATTGACATTGAAACTAAGATGTAAATATGCAAATAGAATATTTTTGTGAAAACACAGCATTTATCACTGTATCTCAGTAAAATAACATATGACAAGGGTTTTTGAAAGTGAATGTTCTAAGGTAAATTATGTATGTTGATAATTTAATTGAAATAATTTTATTACATCTTGAATTAAAAATTTTAGGATTAAATTTTGATGAATGTGATGATATTGAAGTTGTAAATGCTACATCTCCTGATGCTTCTCTATATGAACCAATACACAACAGTACAAGTATTGCACAGGAAGAAATGCAGGATCATTTATCTACACTTCAACATGTAAGTATTCCTCTATCTCTGTATGGACCAATACACGACAGTACAAGTATTGCACAGGAAGAAATGCAGGATCATTTATCTACACTTCAACATGTAAGTTTTCCTATAATTCTGTATGGACCGATACACAACAGTACTCGTATTGCATAGGAAGAAATGCAGGATCATTTATCAACACTTCAACATGTAAGTATTCCTTTAATGTTGTTCAGGTACAATGTTGAGGAACAAATTAAAAACATACCCTGGTTGAGGGGGAGGGGGGAAAGCAGTCAAATAAAAAAAAAAATACAATGGTAAATAAAAGAATAACAAACATTGTTCCACTATATGCTACACAGAAAACCTTAGATTGAACAACATAAACCTAATCATAAACCAGGGGAGAGCTCAGGAGATTCTGAATGGAATAAAGCAGTCTTCACTTCACTAGTGAACTGGAGAAAGTAATATAAAGCTGAATTTCTTGTGTATTTGTTATCTTATTTGATATAAGATACCTAACATTTATGATGGTACTAAAATAGTAATGGTCTGTTAGTAAAATTTAGTCAATTCATAATCATTGGTTTTAAATTTGTCAAATTAACTGCATTAAGCCTACAGTGATTTAAGAGTTTATAAATGAGATATGCTTATTATTAAATCATGATTAAAAATATATTCTGTTATTCTACAGTCAGTTGAGCTTGTAACAGAAAGACTATCAGGTTTCGAGTCAGCTATGTCCTCAGTTACAAAGATTATGCAAGACCATCAGACCTCTACAGACCCCCATTTAATAGATGTAGTGACTCGAATACAACAACAGATAGAAAATCTAACCGCCAGAATGGTTCTAATGGAAAATAGAGTATCCATTGTTGAGTCTAAGGTAATCAGAGAAACTTGATATCTTTGAATATGACCACTATAAAAATATTGGGGTCAATATTGCACTGGCTTTATCCTTCTATGTCTTTTAAAATTTTGAATTGCTTTTAATGTCATTCTAAATGTAGATACACTGGATGTTAAAGACATATTTCTTGAGAGGAAAATTTATATAAAATTGAATTATTCTTTTTATTTTTTGTTGTTGATTTAATTGACTCAATTGTAAAATGGGAACATAATAATACACTTGGTTTTAATTGTTATCTTTAGTTAGAAAAATCCTCACCTATACCAGCAAGAAGTTCAGAACCTCTAGTGAATGGCCAAAGAGACCAGTACACTTCACATAGTCCAAAAGAAATCCGTCATAAAGAAATTCAGGGCTATTTGTCTAAGGAAAGCTATCCAAGTGAAGTGCAGCGATACACTTCCACAGAAATCCGTCCTAAAGAATCTCAGAAATATTCACCAGAACAGATCCGTCCAAGTGGAGTACACAAGACTACCACAGAGAGCCATGCATATACATCAAATCAGGCCCAACATCTAGAATCAAACTTAAAATATGTGGATTCTAAAGAGAATCATCTTCAACGTCAAGTACCTAATGGTAGGCATCTTTTTAATAAAGTTTTAGGAATTCTATGTTCCTTTTTTATGCCCCCGCCGTAGCGGTGGAGGCATTAAGTTTTACCCTTGTCCGTCCGTACGTCCCAGAATTGGTTTCCGTTCTCTAACTTGAGTTTGCCTCAACCAAATGTTATGAAACTTATACACAATGCTTATTACCACAAAACACAGATTAAGTTTGAATTTTGGTTGCATCACTTTAACATTTCTAGAGTTATGCCCCTTTATAAATGGAAAAATTGCAAAATTTTTAGTTTCCGTTCTCAAACTTAAGTTTGCCTCATCCAAATGTTATGAAACTTATACACAATGCTTATTATCACAAAACACAGATCAAGTTTGAATTTTGGTGGCGTCACTTTAACCTTTCTAGAGTTATGCCCCTTTATAAATGGAAAAATTGCAAAATTTTTATTTTCTTCTAAATATCCAGTAATTTTTAAAATTGGAGTTATCTTCCTTTGTTCATGATTATAGTTGAATCAACTACAATCAATGCTTTATACAATGCAATGTTTAATTTTGACTTCCACTGATAAAACACAGATCAAGGTGAATTTGGGTAGTGTCACTTTAACCATTATTGAGTTATGCCCCTTTATAAATCGAAAGATTGCAAAATGTTTAGTGTCCATTCTGTAACTTAAGTTTGCCCCAACCAAACATTATGAAACCTATACACAATATTCATTACCACAAAACTAAGATCAAATACAAATTTTTTGTTTCCGTTTTCTAACTTTAGTTTGCCTCAACCAAATGTTATGAAACTTATACACAATGCTTATTAATACATTATACAGATTAAGTACGAAATTTGGTGGCGACACTTTTACCTTTCTTGAGTTATGTCCCTTTATAAACATAAAAATTGGTGAATTTTTTAGTTTGTCTCAACCAAATGTTATAAAACTTATACACAACCGTTCTAGAGTTATGCGTGTTTACAAATAGAAAAATTGCTGAATTTTTAGTTTCTGTTCTCTACTTAAGTTAGCCTCAACCAAATGTTATGAGACTTACACACAATGCTTATTACCACAAAACTCAGATCAAGTTCAAATTTGGGTAGCATCACTTTTACCGTTCTTCAGTTATGTCCCTTTATAACTATATGATATGCAAGCGGGGGCATCATCTGTGCCCACATGTGGACACTATCCACATTTATTTTACAATTCATAGTCTTTTACAATGAAAACTTTAGATTTGGTTTATAATGTTCAGCCTTGCATGAAGTATTTGTGCAGATTGCAAACTTTCCTTCTGTACAATATTTTAAAAGAATCTGTATCATAATTGTCAGACTGATTGCTTAAATAATTAGGATGTCAATGCAAAAATTATAATCATCATTGTCATATTAAAGTGATGTCAAATATTTTAGATATTCACAAAAAATGGATACATATTGTGCGAAATGAAATAATTATTTGTCAATTTAACACAATGAAAAAGTTGCAACAAAATTGTAAATTATAGAAAGTGCTAGCACTAGGTTTATCCAATGAGACACCAATCCAAAAACACAAAAAAAACTAAAGATACTAGAATGTCAGGTCATGAGATTGATACTAGTAAAAATACATTCAAATGCAGTGTGACAAATAACACTATCTTTTGGATGACTGGCTCTTGATTTCATGCCTGATAGTCGGAGTAAAGAGGCAACCACATTGCACTATCACATCTTTAGGATATTTATTTTTGAACATTTTAATTATTGCATTAGAATAGGAATAACAGTACTGTATTTGTATTTGAAGAGTTGTCACCATCAGTAGGAGATTTTGCTGTGACAACTCTTCAGATACAGTACTGATATTTCTTGATTTTTGATATATTAAAGATAATACATGTGTAACCTATATTTCGCAGGCCAGACTGTACAACCAGTTCTTGTTGACCCTTCACACACATCTCATAGTGCTAACTACTCAGATAATACATCTATTCCGTCTCATCTAACTAGTGCTGACCAGTTCTCCTTTGCCTTGTCCCCTATCCGTACCATCAAAGACAGTAGTATAATAAAACCAGGACAGAACACTACTTGTGAGGATACTTTTGCCTTGGAAACAGAAGATGATGCAAGAAGGTCCAGTACACCAACAGATTTCAAGGACCTTCCTATTAGAACCACCTGTGAAGATTCTTTATCATTCCAATGTGGAGATGTATCAATGCAGCAAAGGGTGGATAGAATAAAAAATATGTAAGTTTTTGTAGATGGTTTCACCTGTCTATGAATTAGGTATTCACCAAATAGTTATCAAAGGTACCAGGCTTATAATTTAATTTATAATTTAATACGCCAGACGCGCGTTTCGTCTACATAAGACTCATCAGTGACGCTCAGATCAAAATAGTTAGAAGCCAAAACAAAATGTCTTACTCCATTATTTTAAGGCAATATGCAAAACACCTAATTACACAAAAACATTGTGACATAATAATGTAAATTTTTTTTTATAGTTCGACATTTGTTGATGTCAATTCTAAATATAGTTTCTGAAACTTCATTGCCTAGAATGAATGCAAAAATAATTGTTTTAGAACTCGAACATGGCTACTTAAACTAAACTTTGGCATTTTGGGGTAGTAAAGTTACCCTTATGATAAGGGAGAGAAAAAACCTATAATATATGGTGCATTATGAACATTTTTTATATGATCAAGGTATTTTTCAAGAAGCCAGTATATCAATTTATGAAATGAAATGATCAAATCAGCCTTAATTCTGATAAATCAGCATCAGCAATACTGATGATGTTGCCCTGTTGATATAAATACAGCTTTTGGGACCCAGAAAAATTCAGAAAAAGCTGTTTTGGCCTATTTGCTTATACCGGATATTCACTTCTGAATATTGGAAATCTGTTATGCCTCACCTCATGTAGTATGTATTTAAAGAAACTGAACACTCATTGATGTATCAGATTTATTACAATGATTCAAAAGCCAAATTTTTATGAGCCTGTGCTTGAAAATAGTTATTTTCCAATGGAAGGGGGGCTTATATAATCATGTATTTTTTTCCACAAATTAAAACGTTTTGAAGTTTTTTTATTTTAAATTATTCTTCCATATATATTTAATGAACTTTAAACGGAAAGAAGAGATACAAATAGCATACCACATGAGTATAAAATTGTCTTAGGCCATGTAAGACTGAAAATTATCATGCCTCTTAGGTTTAAAAATGGAAACTACTTAAAAGTGCTTATTTTGGCCATATAATGCCAAAATGGGACATTTTTACAGAATTTCTATCAAATAAGATGTAAATCCTTTACTTTTATTCAGTTTGACAGTTTAATACCAGCAAATCATTCAGGGAAGTTGCTTAAGTACAGAATCTACATTTACTGAATTCATCTCTTAGGCCTGAGAACACAGTTATTTTGTAGTGCATTTCTTTCAGACAATAAATTCAAGTTAAAAAATTGCACCTGCGCTCTATCTCAAAAAGATTTTAACAGTGTTGTTTACTACCTTTGGGACACATTATATTAAAATTATAGAAAAATCTATTGGCTCTAACTCAAAATATGGACTATTCTATGTTAAGTGGGTCTAGAATTCAGTTTGACAGCTTCAGACATACTAATTTTTGACCTATTTTAACTGGACCAAATCACTACTTTACCTAAAAATTCATCACCCAAATTTTTTTAATATGTGATTTCATCCCCTTACTTAATATTTCATGCATAAAATATAAATAAATTAATTTGGAAAGTGTATGAAAAAAATTTGCAAGTTATACAGTGTCCACACTCTGGGGACTATATTTGTAGACAAAGAAAATCAAAGGCTGATAACTATGTCCTCAGACCACCTGTTTCATTTCCTTTAATTTTAATTTCCTTTAAAACACAAACTGTTGGAGCCAAACCCTCCCCCTAACCTGGGACAGTGGTGTAACAGTACAATATAAGAGCAAACTATTAAAGTCAATTGAAAATGGCTTAACTCATTCATTAATTAAATAAGGCTTAGATAATTTTACTACTTTTGCAATTTAAGGGACCAAAAATGGGTCTTTTCATACCTTCTTTGTTTCTTCACCTTGCCATCTGATTGTATATTTTTTTCAGGATGGTATCAACAAAAACTATGCTGAACCAGTAATGAGATTAGAGATAAACAACTGACAAATGACAATATTCAGTGATACATAGATCAGAACAGTATATGTACTAATATCTGACAAAGGACCTGCCTAATTTTTCTATTTACATTTAAACAGTAACAGTGGGGAGGTTGACTAGAGACTACAACAGTACTTAAATGGATGACACATATTTCAAGGAAGTTGAACAAAAAGCACTTTTTTTAATGTTAAAGTATAAATTTGTCATTTTACATTTGTACACATAGTATTTCAATCAAAATTAGTCAAGTTCTCAAAATACATGAAGGAAATATAAAGTGAGCAATGTAAGAATTGGTACCAGATGTTAGTGTGGCAGCACAGCCTTTGTGTATTTTGTGTATTTTGTTTGTAAAAAGACCCAGGTTATATTTAATTTGTAGGGAATTTATACTATTAATAAAACTTGAAAAGAATAAAAGGAAATGTGAACTCAACTGTCAATGAACATAAAAATGAGAAAAGACATTAACACTGTTTTGTTTTTGAAGTTAACTTTCTCATTGTCTACTGAAAGTCCTTTCGGTATCTTATTGGCAACAATAGGCTAGCACTCCTGAGATATCAGTGATACAGTCATTTTATGTAAATTTACTGTTTATTAAATGTTAAAATCATTCAAAACACTTAAGGTTTTCTATCCCAGGCATAGATGGCTTCAGTGTGATTCAGCTTCCAAGGAGTCAAACTTAGAATGACTTGAAAGTTTTATCCTATTTCTATGCCCCACCTACGACAGTAGAGGGGCATTATGTTTTTCGGTCTGTGCGTCTGTTAGTTCGTCTGTTCGTTCGTCCGTCCATTCGTCCGTCTGTCCTGCTTCAGGTTTAAGTTTTTGGTCAAGGTAGTTTTTGATGAAGTTGAAGATCAATCAACTTGAAACTTAGTACACATGTTTCCTATGATATGATCCTTCTAATTTTGATGCCAAATTAGAGTTTTGACCCCAATTTCACAGTTCACTGAACATAGAAAATGATAGCACGAGTGGGGCTTCCGTGTACTATGGACACATTCTTGTTGTTTAATCTTCTAATCTTCTGTAGTGGTTGATTGTGGGAGAGAAACAGTGTAGGTAGTTGTATATCTGTCCAATGTCTTCTAAGAGTTTCTACATGTACTAGATTATTATTTATTTTGTAAAACTTACCATAGTTGGAACATAAGTCTATTTCAGTATACATATATTTATTAAAAAAAGCATTAGTAGTTTTAATTTATTAATGTAGTACATGGTTTTAAAAAGTTTGCTTTGGAAATAGTTGAAATCATTCTATACAGATTTTTTTGCTGCATTTAGACATGCAAAAACATTTCTAGGTTTTTTAGCCCAATTCTCAATTATTCAGTATATATGTATGATATCAAGTCCGTACACTTTTTAACATTTATTAAACAGTCAGGGGCATTACTTAAATAAGTAACAATTAAAATTACCTATACAAGTAATGTTGAAAACGAGGCTATTTTAAATATTACTTATATAAGTAACTTTTCTGAATATTATTTTTGTAGGTGTCCAATTATACAGATTTTAGTAGCTTTAACAAATTTTCATAGTCATCTGGTTATTTTTCCCATGAAATATAAAATCTAATCCTTCTGAAACACTAATTAACTTTCTGACGCACTTATCTTTCATACTGACGCTTCTGGGTCAAAGATTGGTGTCATGGGACTATTAAATTATCATTTTCCTTCAAAATCTTGAAGGTAGACTGATATAAATAGATAGATACTTGTGAATTAATTAAGACTTGAAGTTATTTATAACTTGTAACCAAAATCAATTACATATGTTCCTTCAATAAGTGTTATTACTATTTTTTTCAAAAATGTGTAAAATAACTTATTCAAGTAATATTTTTGTCATTATTTTTAAAGTAACCCTTTATCTCTATACTCCTCTCAAATCTAATAAATTCTTTATTTTATGATATAAAATGATGTAAAAATTCATGAAAACTACATTTAGTCTATGCTTCTATTGAAATTTAAAATAACTCTATTAAGTAATTTTATTATTTTTAAAAACAAAAATTACTTATATAAGTAACTTAAAAAAATAACTTGTTTAAGTAACGCCCCTGACTGTTAAAAGTGTGTGGTTTTATGTGTGTTTCATTGTTAAATTATCTGCTCTGTTTGTATCATGCCAAATTGTAACATGTAATGACAATTTTGTTATTGTGACAATGTGGTGTCAAGAAATAAATCGTGTCATCTGTTATTGTTTCTGGTGCAAGATTCTCTAAATTATCTTCATGAATAGTTCATGGAACTGGTGCCTAAGAAGTTGTGCATTTATTAATTGAATTTGTTCACATGGCCAATGCATTCCATTTTGATATTTATTTTCTAATAAAATGAAAAGTATTTAGTTAATTTTGTATTTCCATATCATATAAAGCTGACGGGTAATTCCATTGTTCCTATATGGGCCTTACAGTGGCCTATAATTGCTGTTATCCACTTCATTTGAACTGGATATTGTCTCATTGGCAATCATATCACATCTCCTTATTTTATATTTTTTTCTAGAATAGATGTATAGTCATGTCTGTTTGTCTGCTAAGTGTACGATTTCATTAAAGAAACTTCATATGAACAGTGTCACCAAGGAGAAAACCCATATCAAAATGGGCTATAATTTTGTTCAAAGTCTTCTAATGGTCAAATCCCTTGAAATGATGTGACTCAATATGATTTTTCAAGCAGTACACTGAAAATATACTTAAAACGGGGTATAGATCAGTCAGACAGTGACATAACACAAAAAAACCTAAAAAGTAATCTTATATTAGTGTAAACATATTTAATCAAAGAATTTGATTTGTATAACTACAAGAATAAGTAAATGAAAAATATAAAAGTAATTGAAAAATTGGAATTAGGAAACAAGAGAAGTGCTCTTATATAAATCCATCTCCCTAAATTCAAAAATAAGATTACAAAACTATATCTACATGCTGAATGGCAAACGAATATGTATGAAACAAATAACAATTAATGAATACAATAAACTAAAAAAAAGTTCATTATTGGTTGTTATACATAAAATAGAAATAGTAAAGGGTGGAGGGAGAAAGGTGTTAAGAAAAATGACAGTGTTGTAACAGAAAGGGAAAATATTTCTTTATATGGGAGGAGTGAATAGAGGTATTGGATTGTACATGTTATTTCCAAATACACATTGTATATGACACTGTCACTCATGTGATGCTGTATGATATATTAGAATAAGGTACACACCAATACCTTCCAGAAAAGACTTAAAAGACTCTTAACATGTATCAGTATGTCTATAAATGATATGTACATATTAGTCAGATAAACAGAGAAGAGGAAAATGCATGTATAGTAAACAGAATGGAACTTACAAAAAAGAGAAAATACAAAATAAAAAAAAAATACACAGCAAAAAAAAAAATGACAATGTCAAATACTGACTTTACAGATAAAAACACTATATCATACTGATTAGTTTTTTTATCTTTTGTATGTTAGACCACAACTTGAACCTTGAAAGTACAAAACAAACATTAGTACCATATATAACAATAACAGAATATAAACTCTTGTAATCTTAGTTGAAGAAAAATCATGATTCAGTTTAAATTTAAGATATCTGGAATAATTCCAACATGAAACACTAAAATTTGAGAGTAATTATTGCGATTACAGGAAAAGCTGCATACAAATATATGTGTCAGATTGCAGAATGCAAATTCTTATTATTTCGATACTCACCCGTTTGCATAAATAAAAACTTCAAATAATTTCTGAATTTGCAGTATTTGAAAACACATTCAAATGAATCGATATATTTTACCCTCTTTCATCAGAATGACAAAATTGTGTATGGAGTTGCCACATGTAACCTTCTTAGTCAGTCTATGTCATCTGATCTCATCTAACTTTGATATCATCTTCACATTCAAGGCCATGCTATGTTTCGGTATGAAGTCTGCTCCCACAGTAGTTAAATCTGTTAGATCGATGACGAAGTGGTCCCAACATTGGGCTTCTGAACTTAAAAAATATTGAAAGAACCCAATCGGTGGTTTCAATGAGATGTGGATTCTTATAAAAAAAGTACCTACTCCAAAATCTTCCATAACATTCATTACAATGTTGCTGAAATTTCAAAACCATTGAATTTTCAAAGCTGTACACTACTATCCTCATTCTCAAATGAAAAGATCTATTACATCTTTTCATTAAACTCTACTTATCTAGGGATGGTAGATAACAATTGTTTTTTTATCCATATAAAAATCTTCTTTTATGAAAAATTACACTGATTTCAACAACAAATACACCAAAAAGGATATCTTCAAAATGATGACCTTTTTGATTCACAACATATTTGATGAGTTTGTTGGATTGGTATTTCAACAAACAGTCGATATTTCAATGGGTACTAGTTGTAACCTCTATTGGCTAAAATGTTTTTGTACTCATTTGAAGCCGCATTCATACTGGAATTTATAAAAGACAAAAAGAAAGGCATCCCACAGAGATATATTAATAATTTCCAAATTAGAATTTCAGTGTACGCATCTCATATATCCAAGTTATCATGAAATTAAGGGTACTACCAAAACTAGAGGGTCTGTCTTATTCTTTTCTTTGATTTTGAAACACATATGCACATCTTCAAACTAGAATCTATGACGAACGTGAGAATTCCAGCCGTTCTAATTGTAAACTTCCAATTCCTCTGCAGAAACATATCCGATGGCCTTTACATATCTTAAAAGAAATTGACAATGAGAGTCGATTGAGAACAATTCTTTACAAAAAAAGGTGATTTCATTATCTCAATTGCGAACTTTCAATTTCTATGTAGTTACATTCCAGCAGCGCCAGTTGATACGATATTCCAGAGCTCGCATTTCCTATCATGATTTCCTTGATAAAGGGTTGCTGCTTACAAGGAAGCTATTGAACCAAGAGTTCCCAGTGGTGAAGTATTAATCATCCCTTCGAAAATTTTACGGGCGCCATCACGAGTATGTTAACCGTTATGGACTTTATTATCAGGGCTGTACACCTGCCCCAACATGGTTATGAGGAAAAACAATTGAATTCACCACTACATAAGTAACCGTCAACACCATGCCTTGGTTAACCGATGCACTGTACATGTGTTTCAACTCCCTAGTGAAATGTGTCCGTGGTCTAAGATCTTTAGATTAAAGAAGATTCTACTCTGTAAATTTTCCATTTGTGTACTTTTGCTATTTTGCTATTCTGTCAGAGTGTGGATTTGCATGCCGAGTGATTCATGCGTAGCAGAATACGATTACCCTGTCGACGCACATCATCTTGCTCCTTTTTGAATTCACAGGATTCCCTGATATTTTTTTTTCACCTGGATTTGTATGTTCTAAAATTATCTGAGAGATTTGAACATCGGTAAACTACTATTGTTCGAATTGACTGACATTGAAAAAAATTACCGCAGCAAGAGAAATGAAGATGACCAACTAAGACAAAGAAAGTTTCAACTCTAGCTAAGAAAACCACAAGAAAATTACAGGGTTTGTGATAACGAACATCTATTTGGAAAATATCGTGAGTTTGCATATATTAGTTGTACCTTGGAATATCAACTCCCAAGTTACATTCCGATCGCGTTTCACAATTGGAGCAGGTATGATGCCCATATGTTCGCGGGGGGGAAGGTGGAAATTCGTGACAGCAAGCAAAACTTTATATCAAATACCGACAGGTCGTACATCATATTTCGAAGAAGGCGATGATCTAAAGATGTGATTCATTGATTCTTCAGTTCATGCCGAACTAACTGGACATCTTGGTAAATCACCTGACGACGAAGGATTTGTTCAAGACTGTGAAGACGTGTGGCGATCAATTCGAGTTTTTGCTACAAACGGGAGTGTATCCCTACTATAACGTAGAGTCAAAAAGGCTGAACTAACATCCAAGCAGAACTTCTTACAAAGCCAACTGAGAGAACATCAACGACGAAGACTTTACAAACGCTAAGAAGCTGTTAAAACATTCGGCTGTAGGACTTGACTACCACAACCACTACCTAACATCTGAATTCATTTTTCTAACGAACATAATTATTTGAATTCTTCAGGAATTTTTGCATGATAATCTACAAAGTAAACCCCATGTCGTAAGACATTTCTACGAGAATATCTTACGACGCAGCGCCCAAAACCACAAAAGTCAAACTTGAATTGTTGTACGACCCAGCTACATGTTACTGGTGTGTTAGAAAACAACCAGAGAAGGTGTCTGCAAACGGGTCATGTGGACAGATTATCGATTATCATCCACTTTCTGATTAGTATTAAATCTATGAATAAAAGGAGGTATACGTACAACCAAACAACGGCAAACGAACAATCTAAGAACCATCATGCATTCTTATATACTAGACAGATATCTTTGTTAAGCTCTAAATCGCCCCGGGTTTTTGAAAAGGATCATGTACTAGTATATATTTAATATCATAGACTATCAAAGATCTGCTATCAACATCAAGTTCTTCTTAACTACAACATACAATAACACATTACTACTAACGAGATTTCTGACTTGAGGTAGGCCTAGGTTAAACTATTTTTTTAGATTCAACCTGCACTAAATAATTTTTGTTTAATGGATTACCAAAGGTAACCTAAAACACATCAGTATATCAGAAATTAGTGAGCAAATAGTACGTAACTCTAAAAAAAAACACAGTATCATAATAGCTAGAACGTTAACGTAACACGCTCTCAATACAAACAAATCCAGAAAGATAAACCTTTACGTTCAGGGATATAAAATTGCCATCAGTTTAACAAGAAAGTGTTTTCATTGCCGTTAATATATCTTTTTACGTCTTCCAGTTTGCCTTGATAATTTTCCTAGCTCTCCATTTGTCTCGGTCAACAATTATAAATTTTCTGCTATTTATTCTAAATTACATTATAATCATATAAAATATAAATTTTCAACGTAAATGAAATATCAAAACATCAGCGCACCACGACGTATATGATCAAAAAACAAAACAAAGAATAGCAAACAACAACGCAACACATGGTTTTTAAAAGAAAATACAATGTTACCAACATTAGAAAAGTTGATTCAATGTCAAGTAAAGTAATAGCTAAACGCACTTGCCTATCATTTACCCTTCTCATTTATCTTCTTCTTTGTATATGACAATCAAATTCATATGCCCAAGATTATGCGGGAGTCTCTTAGTATTATTAACCTTACAAGTTTATGAAGTGCATTTTATTTATTTTTTATTTTTAACTTGATGGATTAATTGATGAAAGTTGTATTTTTACTGTTTTTTATCATTTTGTACGGTTGTATTTCGATGAACATTTATAGTTTGAAGCAATACT